TGGCCTGAGAAGTGTTTCGGGGAAAAAAATATTTGTTTCTCCGTATTTTTATTATTTTTTTGCATTTTGGACACTTGAAACAGAATGCCAAAAATTGGCGGAATTTGAATTTTAAAAATTTTTCGTAAAAAATTAAGTCCTAAAACAAGGTCGAAAAACATGGGGACACTCAAAAAGGTCGCTTAGTGTACGTAAAAACCCGTATTTTTACCATTTTACACATTTTTCGGCATTTTGGGCACTTGAAACAGAATGCCAAAAATTGGCGGAATTTGAATTTTAAAAATTTTTCGTAAAAAATTAAGTCCTAAAACAAGGTCGAAAAACATGGGGACACTCAAAAAGGTCGCTTAGTGTACGTAAAAACCCGTATTTTTACCATTTTACACATTTTTCGGCATTTTGGGCACTTGAAACAGAATGCCAAAAATTGGCGGAATTTGAATTTTAAAAATTTTTCGTATAAAATTAAGCCCTAAACAAGGTCGAAAAACATGGGGACACTCAAAAAGGTCGCTTAGTGTACGTAAAAACCCGTATTTTTACCATTTTACACATTTTTCGGCATTTTGGGCACTTGAAACAGAATGCCAAAAATTGGCGGAATTTGAATTTTAAAAATTTTTCGTATAAAATTAAGCCCTAAACAAGGTCGAAAAACATACGGACACTCAAAAAGGTCCCTTAGTGTATGCAAAAACCCATATTTTTACCATTTTACACATTTTTCCGCATTTTGGGCAGAATGCCAAAAATTGGTGGAAATTTCAAATTATTTTGCTGTTTTTGATCGGCTAAATGCCCTGATTAAAAGGAAATAGTACTAAGCTACTACCAATGCAGGAAAAAACAATAATAGAAATTTGATTTCCTGCTCAAATTACATTATTTTTGACATCAAAATCTTATTTTTGATATTTGAAAAAGTGTCCCTAAAAAAAGCTCAAAGAACCAGATTTCCCGCCAGTTCCTCATTTTCCACAAATTACCTTCTAAGAATACGAAGTGAAGGATCTTCCAATGTTATGAAATTACCCTATTCCATTAAAAATTCGAGGGAAAACAGCGGATCCCTCGTGGAATATTCGATGAGAAGGGTGGTGAACAAACGTTGTAAATAAATAAAGGCCGGCGCTAAATAAGGTTGTAAAGAATAAAATAAAACATTTCAAGTTGAAGAGGTGCCATTTGAATGGCGTAAATGTGGGGGCTTTTGAAAGGAATCCCAAATTTGGGGATGTAAAAACGATGATTTTGAAGGAAAAGTTTGAATTTTTAAACTTTTTGGGCGATGATTCCTATATAAATGGTAGTTTTTTGTAAAATAGAGCATAGGGGAAATAAAAACTCTAAAATTTTTTAAAAAATTATTTTTCGGTTAAAAATTTTCACCCAAAAAATCTCTTCAAGCCTGCTATTTTGAAGTCGAAAAAAGCAAAAAAAAACTAAAATTTGGCCAAATAAAAAAGTCTCGAATATTTCTGCAAGATCATGATATAAATTTGCAACTTTTTCCTCCAACAAATGTCTGCAAATTACAGTGAAAAAAGCCTTCCTTTTTTCCGGAAAAATCCGTTCAAAAAAGAACTTTGTGGCCAAAGTTTTGAAAGGAATTATAAATTAGAATGATGTAGAGGGAGTTTGCAATGAGTTTAGGGGTTCAGCAAGACATTTACTAGTACAATAAGCAGAAAAAAAATTTAATGGAAAAAAGATTTATGGGCAGAAAGACAAATTTTGATCATTTTTAGACGAAAAAATGCAAAAGTAATAAACTGGCAGTAAATATTGAAAGTCTAAACGTTAATTTTTTAATAATATTGAAAGAAATTGCAAAAAATACCAATTTTTTGTCGACTTTCTGTAAAAAAATAAAAAAATTCCCTCAGGGCATTAGAAAAAGACAAAACGTTTCTTGCTACAAATTTGTTGCTCACTTTTTCTTCATTTCTCGGTTTATTTTTTCAAAAAATTCCGCAAAAATCCCGCAAACTTTTGCTTATTTACCGAAACCCATTAATCATGCCCTAAGGGCAAAAAGTTTCTTTTGGCGCCAAACCTATCCCTCCTAATCTTCACGCATGCCCAGTGGGGACCGCGGAAGGCCGGCTCGTCCCCCGAGGGCGGCGGGAAGAAAACATGCGCGACAGGAGAGAAAACAGAGAGAATTTCCCCGCCGAATCTCGCCGCTTTTACGGCCGCGAAAAGCGGCCCGAGAGTGCCAACAAGGGCCCGAGGGCATGTCAAGGCGCTTGGCGCGGCTTCCGGTCGCTTCAGGCGTACACCTTTTCTCTTATGGCCCATTATTGCGGCCCATCTTCCGCCGCCAAAAACCGGGCGTCTCCGCCGCGTTTCTTTCTCTCTTTTTTTTTGATTATTTTTTTTTTTTTTTTCTGAAGACCCACTTGTCGCATTATTCATTGTTCTTAAGGCCCAAAACCCCCGGCCCTCCGACGCCAACCAAGTCCGCAAATAAATTGAGTAAATTCGTTTACTCGGTAAAATTTCCCTTCGGTTTTGTTGGGCCCAAAAAAGAGTCGGAGAAGCGCGGAAAACAGGCTAAAACGGAAATGTGGAAATGTTGCCGGACAAATAAAGGTGTCCGTATTCTCAAGATAAACAGTGAAATAATATGAGAAGCTCAAAAAAAATGCTATGACAAATTAAAAATTTGATGATTTGGGGGGATTTTTTACTTTTTTTTAGTAATAAAACGGCTCATTTTATAAAAAAATCTTGGCCGAAGCGTAAATCAGTATATAGAAGATGGCGTGTACATCGTATTTACGAACTTTAACAAAGCTGTTCTTTATATAAAGCTTACTAATTCGAAAAAACAAGCATTTTTTCCTCAAATAATGTCAAAAAAAGTCTCCTCAAATCGGCCAAAAATTCGAAAAATGCAATAACTTCCATCTAAGATCTTAACGCATTAAAAAATGATTGTTTGAAGTTTCAAAAACCCATTTAAACTACAAAAAAATCGATAGGAAATCTCACTTTTTCTTCAAATTCCTCGGCCCAACCACAGCAATTGCGGATCCGTCTTCCGAGGAATAAAGCTCCGGGAAATTCTGCGCCAAGTCCACGGCGCCGAACAACAACTTCTGTCGAGCTCCCACCTTATCTCTCAGCAACGGCTCCACAATCTTTCGACACTTTTCGACGCGTCGCTGAAGCCGAGGACTCATCTTACTGTGGATGCGGATCTGAAGAAGACAAATAAAATATGTACAGTGAGGGGCCTGATCCAGTGCCAAAAAATGTATCTTTTTGCATCCGGGAAGTATCAAAAATGTGGCAAACTGCCTCCCTCTCCAACTAAAAAAACCCCGTTTTGAAGGGCGCCGGAGTTTTTTCGCTGGGAGAGGGAGGTATTTCGCTGCATTTTTGAGACTTCCCGGATGCAAAATGGTACGCTTTTGGCCAATAGATCAGGTCAGCTACTGTATAGATCGTTACAATTGTATGGCTTTAATCTTGCTTACCTGATCAACCAGCTCCTGAACTAGCGGATCGTTCGATCTGATCATCCGCTCCAGCCGGGCCAAATCCATGTCCAAATTCACATTTCTGGTCCGCAGCTCGCGAAGGACTGTTCGGATTTGGTCCTCTTCTGGAATTCATAGAGAAATTTTCAAATTTATACCTTCTGATTTCGATGAACTTTGCATAAAGTTAGAACAAAGTTTAAATTTATAAAATCGAGATTCTGAGAGTCGCGTTTTGCAGAAAAACAACCAAGATTTTTATGTCGAAATTTGGAGAATATCCCTCAATTTTTACATTATTTGTCAGTGAGTTTTGGCATGGTATAATAATTTCCGTCTCGCTTTTCGTTTCCAATTTTAGGGCAACGCAGACGATAAAAACGAATATTATATTTCCAATCCAAAAGTGGCAAAGATGAGGCCATAACACCTATTTTCCTCAAACAACTTTCCGCATTTTTATAGTACATATTATGTTCTTGTGTACAGACGTCAATGAATATTTTAGGCCCGTGTAATCAAGAGCTAACAGTTTTACAAATTGATAATTTTTTTCATTTTTTTCTTGGCTCTTTTCGTTCAAAACTTTTTTATCAAATTTCAAGCCCATTGATGTTTTAGGAAACAGTGGTAGAAGACCCGTATTTTACCCCTAAAAATTTTACTTATATTTTTTTATTTTCAAGGGCAAAAGAAAGCGTTTTTCTCTGATTTTTACTTCTAATCTTCTACATTCTATCTGCAAAAATTGTTCAATATCTTGCTGAAAAATGTTTTTTGGTCAGCCGACTCTCCTCATTTTAAGGAGTCTTTCGAAAAAAAAATTCATTACATTGCATATTTTAGCAGCGTCTGCAAAGGTAGACTACTGTCTTCACTGGTTCATATGCAATGGACGTACAGTGGGGGAGCTGATCCAGTGGCAAAAAAGCGTACCATTTTGCATCCAGGCAGTATCAAAAAATGTGGCAAAATGCCTCCCTCTCGAAGTGAAAAAACTCAGGTTTCAAAAGCGCGCCCGCTCTTTTTGTGAGGAGAAAGGGCACGCCCTTCAAAACAAAGTTTTTTCACTTGGAGTGGGAAGCATTTTGCGCCATTTTTGATACTTCCCGGATGCAAAATGGTATGGTTTTGCCACTGGATCAGGTCCCCCACTTATACATGACCTTTCACAATTTCAAAGAGCTTTCCGACAACTCACCCAACGGCCTGACCGGCGAGTTGTGATCGGCCTGCGTCGGGGACGAAGAATAAATCTTCTTGATGGATCTTCGCATATTCTCTCCCCGCATTATTCTCGAATCATCCTAAAGCCTGCAAAACGTCTATATAAACATCTTCAAAAAACATAAACCGGTCTGATGACATTTCCCGCGAAAAATAGAAAAAAAAGACGGAGCGCCGAAACTCCGAGATTGCCAATCCCCCGGAGGGCCGCGGCGCGGAAGCTGGCCGTCGAAGATGGACTTGAGGACGGGCGACAGCAGTTTTTTACCGATCGCCGAGTAAATGGCCGGCTTTACATTACTCAAGGGGATCTCCGGAAATGCGGCGTTGCCCTGCTGGTGGCAGAGGTCAGATTCTGCAGCTGATAAATGGAATTCCGATGGGTGGAGTGGGAATGTAGATGAGGGATATGAGGGAATGAGATGTCACGGAGCGATGGGACAAGGGATTCTTATGATGAACCGTGGCAGTAAGTTAGACATGGCCAAAAAACGAAAACTTTCTTTGTCAACGTATTTGAGGCGCAACAAAGATTTTTGGTCTTCTTACGAAGGTGCATGTAAAATTTCGCTGACAGGGGAAGTACTCCAAGTGCGACGCTCAGATTTTCTTTAAATTTTGCACACACGTCGGGTATGGACTAAATATCAATTCCTGAAAGTTTTAGCTCGCGCTTTGCGGGCGCCGCCGAGATATCGAACGATTTTTGCCGCCGAGAGAGCACGCTAAACGTGGAGAGCGGTCAGAGAGAAGAGCGCTTTTTGGCCATAACTTTGGCAGTTTCGTGCGGAAAAATTCAATTTTTTGTAGAAACATTATCCTTTACGGTAGAAACAGGCATGAAACTTTTCGTGCCGAAATTCGGCAAAAAGTCCTAAATTTTCGCCGACTTTCGATCTAAAAATCTCGGTTGTTTCTGCAAAGCGCGAGCTAGGATTCTCGCATATATCTTACAAAAAATTATTCTAAATTTGTGCCAAGTTTCATCAAAATCTGAGCGTCGCACTTGGTGTACTTCCCCTGCGAATAGAATCGTCTTTTTGCTTATCGGATTGGAATTTTAATCAATAGAAAAAAGTTTTTGGTCCTGCCGACTCTCCCTGTTTTACGTACTCTCTTGAAAAAAAGATAATTTAATATCTCAGAAGCCCCTGCAAAATGAAGGCTAAAACCTACGGGAATATGCATGCCAGATCTTCAAAGAATTTGAAAAAAATCTCCCTGGTAAACAGTGAACTCATAAAACTTTACAGCATCAAAATTTGAGTATTTTTACGCTAAAATTTTGGTATTTTCCGGGGTAAAAATCCCGTTTCACATTAATAAAATGCTTGTTCGATGTGCTGAAAAAACCGTGTTGCATTATTCTGCGCCTTCCGCAAGTTTGTCCCAGTTTTTCAATGCTCTTTAAAAACAATTTTTTCTTTCGTTCGTATCCTAATCTCCCTCAAAAATCAGAGATCCCTCCAAAAACCATATAAGTACATTAAAAATAGCGCATCAAAATCATGTCCAAGATATCAGCCGGAGATTTGAATATCGCACGCCAAAATTACAACGAACGGATCGCGGGGATGAAAGCCGGCGCTGAGTGACAAGATTCCGACATTGTTCTGACAACTCTGTTCGGCCGCTCTCTTCCCTGCGCCTATAATAAACAAAAATTATGAAGAACGGAAGGGAACGTGTTGTAGAGGATGTAAAACGAAGGGAGTTTAAAAAAGGAGGGCGTTTTTCTAAACGCGGATCAAATTGCCGGCCTTTTAGTATATAAAATTGAATAAAAAAGTGAAGCGCGAACAAGCGAGGTGTCTCAGGTACGAAAATTACATTTTTTTCGTTTTTTGGCCGCGCCTCCGGCAATCTCTTGCGGAAAAATTTGATCAACTTTACAATCTTCTACTGAACTCTCGAAAAGCTTTTTCCCTCCATATAGAACATGGTCGTATCTTGTAGATAGTAGTAAATAAATAAATATTTTGTGGCCGACGAAAGGGGGAGGAGAGCCCAGACGGGATGGCCAAGTTCTCCTCGAATTGAGTGGAAATTGAGTGGCCGAGAAGTCCCATCGGAGTCAATGGACGCGCTCAATGAATCGGCCCATAAAACGGTTTAATCGAGTTTTTGTTCGGCCGAAAAACTTGGCTTAGACGGATACTGAAGCATTGCTTTTGCACGGTAATTGCGAATGGGTAACGAAAATTATACCGTGGCGGTCAAAACAAGGGCCATCCTATCTTTTTGTGGCAGGCTCTCTCGGAGAAGAGAGAGGTGTAGGCAGGTGAACGTGGTATCAGCGTGAGGCATGTGTGGTAAGATGTACGACCATAAAGTTTCGGTACTGTATGCTGGCTTAGAAAGTATTTTCTGGGACAATATGTACTTTCGGATTGGTCAAAAAATAGCCACCCACAAATGTTCTGCATTAAACGAGGTTCATGTGGGAAATTCCTGCCGTAGAGAACGGCTAGTTTAATTGTGTCAACGTATCAAAAATTACAAGGTTTACTTTATACATAAGCCCTCAGGCATCGGTCAAATTTGATGATGTTTTTCATGGTTAAAGCCCAGACAAAAAGGTTTTTTTTGAGGTTGTGCCGTTATTCAAATACTTCTGGGCAATGCTGTGGATGTTATTGATGCCGCAACTTTACAGTACTTCGTAAGCTCCAAGTTGATACATACCATATTCATCTACCTACAAGCGATCTCTTCTGCGGAAGACGTGCCATCGGGATCGCCGTATTTTTTTTTTCTGATCTCCACTGTATATGTGATTACATTTTATTCAAATAATGTGAACTGCTTTTGAGGTTTTGGACAAAAAATCACGTTTTGAGAAAAAAGTTTGCTTATGACCTTATGACCCCATAATATTTATAAAAAAAGGCAAAATTTACTGTCCGAGTACACTACATATGACATTCCTAACGCAATTTCCATAGTAATTTCCTTTATTTGTCGACCAATTGTTTGTAATATGTCATCAGATCAATAAAATATAATATTTTTTGCACATTTTCGCGGAGACCATCATCTTGGATGAGATTAGTGATTGTAGCGAGTAAAAGTCGGCGCCGATCACTACCTTTTGCCACCACCGCAACAGCAACAGCACGGACAACAACAACAGCAACAGGGGCAGCAACAACAACAGCAGCAACATCTCCGACGACGCGCTTCCACTTCGGTGATCGCGACCAAACTGATGATGAGAAGAACGAGCCTGAAATAAAGTTAGGGGTAGATGGGGGGAGATGGGAATGCTACGAGTGGGACCTCTGTATAACGAACTGAGCTGGTATAAAGCAGTTTTTGGTTGACGAAATTTCGATACAAAAAATTGACCAGTAATTTTAAACAGTACATTCTTCATTGTTCGTGGTACAGAGAATCCATTGTAACAGGAGAACCTTTGATTATTAAGGAAGAAGATGAGAAGGGATGATAGCTTGAGGGGTAAGTAAAATATTTACATATAAGATTACATCGCTCTGGTAAAAAAGGCCGCCATATCTTGCACTATAAATCATAGAAGAGTTAAAAATATAATATCATAGCTTTCTTCTCAAACATAATTTTTCTTGCGCTAGGAGACATGCAAAACTGTGGCATCTACTACCGATGACAAAACCTTCTTTTTCTTATCTCCTACGATTATAGCGCATAGATATGCATAACCTCCCAACCACCAGAAAAATCCCTAATTCCCTCCCAACTTACAGAAACCGCAGTGACAAGAACTTCATGTTGAATGCCGGAGTCCGAGAATGTGTCCTCAATGTCCTCGCGATCTCTGATTTTATACCCCATCTTCCTCCCCGCACACGTTTGTTTGCCCGCACCTCTAACCGTATTGGGACAAACAACAGCACAATAACACAAGGTTACTGACCGGTATCCTGAATGCGGTCGCGCAAACAAGAGTTGCAACAACAATTGTGCGGCTATTTTGATACACATCGCGAATCAGATGTGAGAACACTACAATTTTTTGAGCATTACGTCGGGTTCAATGGGATGGGTTTTCGCAATAGATAGTCTGTATTGTGTCGAATGTTTGCAAAGCGGAGTTCTGCATCATGGAAAAGTAGAGTGTTTTTAATCACAATCGACAATATTTCTTTGATACGTGGAGGCGCCAGAAGTTGAGGCCCAAATTATTATGTATAGCAAACAGTGAAAAAAATGCCAGGAATGGCAACATTTCTGCGAAAAAACTGTTTACAGTGGCGGTCAATAAAACCGGCCGTCCAACGGCGGGTCACTGTCTCCCGCAGAAAAGAGAGGATGTAGGTACTAGTCGCGCCATAAAGTCCTGACACATTTGCACAGTGCATTTTGTTTTTCTTTCGGACCCGTCGCGGCAATTCCCCGTTTTTCCACTAGCGACATGCATCTTCGCGCGAGCTTTCCACTTTTCTCGCGCGACACCCGCGACAAAATGTGTCAGGACTTTATGTCGCGACTAGTAGATGAACATGGTATCTATCAATCTTGTAAGACGTGCGACTGTAGACCTGTGGTACTGTAGCGCTGGCTGAGCATGTACAGAAACAACACGTGCTTTTTGTCTAGTAAGAAAATGGCCATGAACAATTCTTCCGGCAAAGTTAGAGCAGATATTTTTTTTCTCTCTGCATTTCGGATACTCCTTTGGTGATAAAAATTGCTCCAAAGTTTAGATTTTTCTACAGTGGGGACCTGACCCAGCGGCAAAAAACGTACCATTTTGCATCCGGGAAGCATTTAAAATGCGGCAAAATGCTTCCCTCTCCAGGTGAAAAAACTTCGTTTTGAAGGGCTCGCTTGCTTCCACACAAAAAGCGGGCGCGATTTTGAAATCTGAGTTTTTTCACTTGGAGAGGGAGGTATTTTGCCATATTTTTGATGCTTCTTGGATGCAAAATGACACGTTTTTTGTCACTGGATCAGGTCCCCCACTGTAACATCGCGCTTCACACGCATTTCTTGCAATTTAAAAAGTGAAAGGTATATATAATACGTCTTCTGTCTTTACGACTAAACTTCTAAACTTTACAAATGGTTTACACGATTTTTACTTTAACTTTGGTCTTATTTTGTTTGCATGTTAATGCACATCAAGAGATGTTCTCGTTGATTTCTCTTCCACAGCAACAACTGCCTGAAGAAGGGGTAAAATACACAATAATAATAACGTTCACAGATGTTTCCAAGTGAGTGAAATGTACATAATATTTGATTAAGGTTTTATTCAACAATATTTTGCTTGACTTTTTTGGTTGAGGCATGATTTTTTTAGTTCTTATACAACAAATTCATTCGTCGATCACACATGTCCTTAACACTTGCCATTTTTCTTTTACTTGGACAACTAGCAACATTTTTTATAAGAATAGTTTATTGATTTCCAACGGCATCACAACAAATTGGTCTTGAATTAAAATCATTACAAATGCAATAGAATAATCATCTTTGTTAATTTACAATTTGGAAAAGAATGCGTTAAACAGTCCCTTGGGATGTTGTGTTGTCTCCGCGGCCTTAGGCGACTCAGTTGTGAGATCTCGGCGAACAAAACTTTTATGTGGAGCCATACAGCCGCCAAAGCCGCCTTTTTTGAATTGATCTTGCATCCTCATCGCACCACATGAACATGATCCAAAGGCCATTTTGTTTCCTGTGCTAGCCGATGGGTTCGGGCATCCACCGCCGGAACAGCCGTTGGCCAGACAGCCGGGCCCGGTGCAGCCAGTTATGGTCGAATTTGATTGGGCATACAGAGAGGTAGCGAGAATTGAAAGGACCAGAAGAGAGCTGAAAAATTTTGGGATGATTTTGAAGCTTATGTAGGGTAGGATTTGCAGGAAAAGCTTTATCTAGATTTTGAGGACGTGACCTATGTATTTATGGGCCTTAAATTGCGATTGTCGCAGCGGTAGAAACCTAGCGGCTGTCTACGACGAATTTCAGCTAATTTTGTCTAGCGCTATGCTTGAAGTACAAGGCCAGATTTTCATGTGACTTGACACGAATTTCTTTTCTAACCCATATGCATGATTTGCAGCTCACTTTCCGCAGAGGCAACAAACTTTTAAGGTCAGAAATTAAGGCCTGACAGTTTTTTTAGTCTTTTCATGAAAATATGCATGTCAAATTCTACTGTACAAAATCAAGATTTCCAAAAAAACTTTTTTCTACAAGAAATTGGCAAAGGTATGGCCCAAAAAGGTTCTTCTCTCTGATTTATTACCCTAGCTGCATGGAAGAGCCAGAACAGAAATCCTTAGAAATTTGGGACTTTGCCGAAAGGACAAGACGTGTCCAAAACCTCAAAAAATCCAAGCTTTGCAGCCTCAACCTATGACATAGACTTACATCATCACAAAATTTGACATTTTGACTTCTATCAACTACTAGTTTCCAACAACTGAGCGGAAGCAGGTTCAAAATCAAATGATACGTTCCCTCCATTCCTCCGGTCATTTTTATACGCGTCCTTGAGCAAACATTGCCAGAGGGTATCTAATTGTTTTCCGATTGACCCAAACATGGACAATGGAAAAACAAAAGACCCACTGAATGGGAAAATAATGAAGACCAAAAGAAGAAACACTGGTTTCTGGAACAACCTGATTCTTGGTCATTTTCATGGATAAGATGTCATTGCCAACCCGTGAAAATTGTTTGCAAATCGAGATACAAACTTTGTTCAGTAAATGCAAGATACGAAGAATGAGGATAGTAGGAAGATTTAAACGGCAGACTCAGTTATTTGTCGCAAAAATTTTTTGCATTACCGTATACCTAACATAGTCAAAATGTCAAAAAATTCGTCAGTTGTTCGAAATGCGTTAGAAAAAGAAACGAATCTTGCGCATGACTAGCTCACAAAGGTGTCATAATAGATGCAAAGTAAAAATTCAAAACAATTTTTACAGGCATATTTAATTGTAAAACAATTTTTTTTCTCAGTCGTATTTACAAGGTAAGTACCCCAAGTGCGACGCTCAGATTTTCTTTAAATTTTGCACATACGTCGGGTATGGACTAAATATCAATTCCTGAAAGTTTTAGCTCGCGCTTTGCAGGCGCCACCGAGATATTCAACGATTTTTGCCGCCGAGAGAGCACACCAAACGTGGAGAGCGGTCAGAGAGAAAAGCGCTTTTTGGCCATAACTTTGGCAGTTTTGTGCGGAAAATTTTGATTTTTTGTAGAAACATTATCCTTTACGGTAGAAATAGGCATGAAACTTTTCGTGCCGAAATTCGGCAAAAAGTTCTAAATTTTCGCCGACTTTCGATCTAAAAATCTCGGTTGTTTCTGCAAAGCGCGAGCTAGGATTCTCGCATATGTCTTAGAAAAAAACGAAAAAAAAATAAATAAGTTTGTGCCAAGTTTCATCAAAATTTCAGCGTCGCACTTGGGGTACTTCCCCTGTTAGTTGTAAATAAGCCACTTACCGACGCTTCAACATTGCATCCGAGACACTCGTCGCGGCAAAAAGACCTCGGAATTTTCATTTTTTGGCTCTGCACTGTGCATGAACCCGAAAAAACATTTTGCACCGTGCAGCCGGTCCAAAAAGTCCATTTGCCCAGTGCAACTTTGTTTTTTTGCCCAATGTCGCGCGCGATTCCCATTTTTCGCAGCGACAAATCAACTTTTCGGAGTGCGACGGAATTTGGGGCCGCGAAAAATTCCAAAGACTTCGTGCCGCGACAATCCGACAACCTTTGCCACTGCGAGAGTGCGAAAAATGAGGGAGATCGGCCAGAGAAAAAATCGCTTTTTGGCTCTGCTATTGTCAATATATATAGCGCGGAAAAACTTCATGTTTTTGTGGAAAAATTGCCCTCTATGGTAGAAATAAGTTCACAGCTCTTTATGACAAAATTTATTTTTTATTTTTCGTCAAATTTCAATCTAAAAATCTCAATTGTTTCTGCATGGACGTCGCATAAGTCATCAAAAAAATAGCTAATTTTTTGCCAAATTTCATTCCAATCTTAAGCACGTCTAACGTTAAAATTTTTTTGGTTTCTGCAACGCATTAACGCTGTTCTCTCTCCACTCACTTCTTGGTCCATTCAACCTGTTACAATTCTGCTCTTATGACCAGTTGAGATCACGCTACCCAAAAATATGGCTCTGTTTACAGCTCCACTTGCAAGAGGCTTCATAATCCTTCACAAGTTTACACTTTCCCCACACAAATACTAAAGAAAATGGTTCAAAATACAAAAAAAATCGTTGATTATTGTTCCGCTTAGCCAATAAGACTGCCCGGGTTCACTTTGAATGACGTTCTCGCGCGTATGAGCAAAAAATATCTACTTGTTCATGGTCGAGTGCCCGCTTCACGCCCCGGCTGATATTGATCTGCAGCCGGTGAGAGGGAGTGAATATGAGGGACCCGGTAGTGTCACTTATGCTCAGGTAAAAAAGTTTTTCTTACCTTCGCGCTTTGTTTGGAGTTTTCCTTTTGAAAAAAAACGGACGATTTTGGAAGGGAAGCTATGTTTGGTGGTTATTAACCGTCAAAAGGTTGTTATTTACAGAGAAAATGATCAGGTTGCGCTGAGAGGAAATTGGAAGCATTTTTAACGGGGAATTTGCTTAATTTTTAACTGCAACTTTTTCTAAAACTGGGAGCAAATTAACAGAGAGAGAGATTAGAATCTTCTAAAGCATATGCAAGATTTTTAGGGCGCGCTTTGCAGAAATCATCGATATTTTTAGGTGTGTTATGCAAGACCTTCTATGACTTTTCGGATTATTTTTGTTGCTTCATTCCAGCTTCACTCAAGTCCCTTTTACAACGAATGCCACGGTATTCAATGATCTTTGTTAATGAAAAAAGAAGGGCCAGAGAGAAAAAAACCCTACTCTCTTTTGACCTGAAAATCTTGGCCGTTTCTTTAGCCATAGGATACCATACATGTCTTAAAAAACTTTGCTTTAATGCCTCTCAACTTTCATCGAAATTTGGGTGTCGCCCTGCAAGCATTTCGAAAATGGCGCAACAGTTTCTACATCTATTTTTTTCAAATTCCATCAAAATAACGTTTTCTTTTTAGCTATTCTTCAAAGCACTTTCTTCCGATTATCAAAAAAGCCCTTCTCAACGTTGTCATAGCTCTTGTTTGATGACCTTTCAGGTTGCTGTAATATAAACGTCTCGTTTTTTCCGCGGGTTCAAACCGTTTCAATTCAAGGGGAAAGTGAAAGGGTTTATGAGTCCGTAATAACGATTTATCTAAATAATCGCAACCAAGCAACTTTTGTTCGCTTGATTATGGTGTGGGTGTTGATTGAAGCCGCTTTTTCTCAGGAGTTCGGGCGTTGAGAAGATGACGACAACGGCGGAGCGTCGGGAACAATTGGAGAGGCATTTGCAGAAATTCCGAGAGATTGCCGATGAGCGAATGCAGGAGAAGGTGAGTGCAAAAATTTATGCTGGCTTATAGGCAAATTGGGCGAAATCTCGTACGATGACTTTTTTAAGCTACTGTATGCTCTCTAACCAAAAAATTATCTTCAGATCGCCCGATGGGGAGTTTACCTACCCGCCATAATCTCCGCAACGATCCTGATTTGTCAAGCCGCCAACACCTTTATTTTTGGATCATTTGCATACAACTTTGGCCAGTTATACACCCTGCTCGACGAATATATGAGAACTACGGCCGCTATGAATTTAACTTTATACAATTCCACCGATGTCTACAAATACGAAGGCCATAATTTTGAGAGAATCAACGAGATCGACTTGGTATGTTGATGGGAATTTTTTTGAAACAACTGTGAATTTAGTATCACGATCAATTGTGGACGTTGTTTGTGGCCGAGGTTATTGAATTGGTCTTTCCAATTATCAATATCACAATGTTTGCGTATATTATACAAGATAAGAAAAGGCATAAACTGAGGTCGGAGCTGCAAGCAGTTTATTTGGTAAGTTGGAGGAGAGCGCTGGATTTTTAATCACGCTTGGAACCCCACTGGGGACCTGATCCAGTGGCAAAAACGTACCATTTTGCATCCGGGAAGTATCCAAAATGTGGCAAAATGCTTCCCTCTCCAAGTAAAAAACTCCGATTTCAAAATTGCGCCCGCTTTTTTGTGAGAGAAAGGGCGCACCCAAAACGAAGTTTTTTCTCTTGGAGAGGGAAGCATTTTGCTACATTTTTGATGCTTCCCGGATGCAAAGTGGTACGTTTTTTGCCACTGGATCGGCTCCCTCACTGTATATTCATTTTCCTTCCAGCTGGCTCCCGCTTTGGCCTTGGTCCTAAGCATCACTCAAGCCTTCACAATCCATGTCACACTCTTCGATTCAATGTATACGATACGATTTCTACTCTCGAAATTATTGGCACAACTCTTGGAATTGAACAGCCCAGGGCGATTCCCGATCGAGCACTTCTTTGGATGCGAGTTCATCAACGATGACGATATTGTTGTAGGTTTTTTGATGCCTCATTCATGTATGAATGCTTGGCAAGTTGGATAAAATTTGACTTTACAGAAGCCCCCGTGTGCCGGGACAATTCACGATCAAGTGGTTTCGAATACAACCATGAATGTTGTGATTGGCATTCATTTCATTCCGATTGTTATTGGGATCTACTTGTTTTTGCAGAACCTCAAATCCACCCAGACCGATCATCTGTTTTTGTACATTGAAAGTGTGGATCCGGCCATTATGGAGAAGATGTCTGAATTGTAAGTGAAACATAACAAATAGAAGTATGGAAAGATACGTTGAATAACTAAATAGGATGGTCCCGTGCCCAAAATTTTTTGAACACTCCCCCATTTTAAAAATTGAAAAAAATTGGGTGTGACATGTTACACGATGAAATTTTTTTTCAAATTGACAAAAATTAGGTGTGACGTTTTATACGATGAAATTTTTTTTCAAATTGACCAAAATTAGGTGTGACATGTTATACGATGAAACCTTTTTTCAAACTGACGAAAACTAGGTGTGACATGTTATACGATGTAAAAAATTTTCAAATTGAGAAAAATTAGGGGTAACATCACCTGATTTTTTCAATTTGAAAAAAAAATTTCATTGTATAACATGTCCCACCTAAGCGGGAGAGTTCGAATTGGGGGAGAGTTCAGAAAAGGGGCTCAATCTTTTTTCCATTCTTGTTTTCCTAGTAATCCTCCATGTATTGCAGTAAACAAGAAGATGGCGAAAATCCCAAACGAAAGACCTTGAGAGACACGGTAAAGGAGATGCTAATGGAATGGAACGTGAAGTTCATCCCGAAGCGGATATTCGACCTCCAAATGGGGGTGGAGCGACGATTACAGCGCAGTAAATCCACTTCCTCGGCGCATGAACTCGGCCACACAGCACTGTAATATACACCTCTGTAGCGTATAATTTCGTCAAAATTCATTTTTATTTTTGGTGGAAATTAAGTATTATTTTGCATTTATTCCTCGGACAAGAGCAGATGACAAATAAATAATGTTACAATTAAAGCGAAGAAGCCGAGTAAAGTGAGCAGGATCAAGGCCCAATGGGCACCCCATTCATGGCAATGCCCGGGGGCATCCTGGAGTTTGGAGGGGCGGCGAAACGAGAGGACGAAATCTTCGGATTCCTCGAGTGGAACACGATCTTCTTGGAGGGGCCTGAGTTCAAATATATTGCTGAAAACAAGGATTCCAAGTTTTTTTTAAATCTGATCACCATTTCCCCTGTAACCAATTTCTCCGTTTCTCCCAAAAAAACGCAAAAAACATACCAAAACGTTTCCATCAGACGGCAAATTCTGCGTCTTGACCGAGCAAAAATAAATGAAACTGGAAGGTAAAACTTACTCTTTAGAAGTCGGAGCCATTTGAGACCCGCTCTTCCCGTAACTTTACATTTCCCGGTTTCCAAACCCGAAAAAAACAAAAAAAAATAATTCGATTGGCGATGGAAAATAAAAGGATTTTCATTTATTATCACTTTATTTGGATGGAAAAGGTAGACAGTCAAAGCTCCGAACGACGGAACCAAAGAATTCATTCGTTTTGGAAGATTTTTTTGTAAAGGCTCATTTTGGCTTAAAATTAGCCGCCTCTATATTGTTCATTATAGACAAGCTTTGTTGTAGATTATAGCTTGTTATTTGTTGTACAGTGGCGGACCTGATCCAGTGGCAAAAAACGTACCATTTTGCATCCTGGAGGTATCAAAAAATGTGGCAAAATACCTCCCTTTCCAAGTGAAAAAACTCTGATTCAAAAGCCCGTGCTGTTTTTTTGAGGGCCCTTCAAAACGATTTTTTCACTTTGAGAGGGAAGCATTTCGCCACACTTTTGATGCTTCCCAGATGCAAAATGGTAAATTTTTTGCCACTGGATCAGGTCCGCCACTATATAGAAATTCCAATGTAAAAAATTGGGAACTATACAAGAGAAGCAGTAATAAGAAACTTTAATAGAGGAGCACTTCTTTTCTAGCGTGCCAAAATATAACATAATAATACTGCATTGTCTTAAACGTGCGTTACCTAACGGGCATTGTCTAACAAGGCATCTTATTCCTTCAGTTTTCGTTTAGCCGGTCTTCTGGAAGTTGACTGCACATCTTCTCCTTCCCTCTGTCTTGATTCTAGGAGATCTCTCAATTGCTCAAAGTAATGAGTCTCCTTTCTCATCAGTTTTTCCGTGACGAGAAATAATGGCTTTCCTGAAAATATTGGTACCAGTTTCAGAATCCTTGAAGTCATAGCCAGAAATAAAAAAAGTGGCCACAAAAAAGCGCATTGCGCTTACCATTCCTCCAGGTCAAGATCTTCACACCTTTAGGGCTCTTCCATTTCTCCTTAATTATCCCAAAGTTTCTAGCATTCGAATCCTCGTGCTCGTTGAAGCTTCGTGTGTAGGGATCGTCCCAAAATTTTTTAAACTTTTTCGGATACTCTTTCCAGATGTTTTCAGTCTTCTCGTAGTACAATATCTACAAAAGCTATGCTAACAAGGGAAGTAACCCCAGTGCGACGCTCAGATTTTCTTTAAATTTTGCACCCCCGTCGGGTATGGACCAAATATCAATTCCTGAAAGTTTTAGCTCGCGCTTTGCAGGCGCCGCTGAGATATTGAACGCTTTTTGCCGCCGAGAGAGCACGCTAAACGTGGAGAGCCATCAGAGAGAGAAAGACACTTTTCGGCCATAACTTCGCTAGTTTCGCGGGGAAAAAAATCGATTTTTTGTGGAAATATTACCCTTTATGGTAGAAATAGGTACGAAAATTTTCGTGCCGAATTTCGGCAAAAGTTGTCAAATTTTCGCCAACTTTCGATCAAAAAATCTCGGTTGTTTCTGCAAAGCGCGAGCTAGGATTCTCGCATATATTTTATAAAAAATTGTTCTAAATTTGTGCCAAGTTTCATCCAAATCTGAGCGTCGGACTTGGGGTACTTCACCTGTAAATTCAGAGCAAGTTTTGCCACAAATGGTTGAAGAAATTCGTTTTAACAGAAATTAAATTCACCTTTCCAGTAGTGTAATTAGCAATGCTATAATCGCTAAGTTGGACCCAAATCGAATGGGGCTCCTTGGTCTTTATGACCGAGTAGTCTTCGTTCTGGACGCTGTAGATGGTCATTGTGGATTTGGCTTCTGAAATTCGGCGTTTTCGACTCATCACTTCCTACCGCTAATATTGAAAATGAATCCGGATTCGGGCAGGATAAAAAAGTTGGTGCTGTTGTAGAACGCCTTATAATCAACTCTTTCGTATATCGTCTCGTTCAACGAGTTCATCACGACGACGCCTCGAGTATGAAACAGCACAAAATATTGGGTTTCCGTGCGATTTGCGTAATAACAATTGAAGCCATTTACATCTTTGCGTTGCAAAGTGTGTTCCGTTTGATCGTATGCGTCAAAAACTTTACCATCCTGGTGAATATAGGCAGAGCCATTTGAGATTGTGCATCTACTTTTGAAGGCTTTTTTAAAGATTAGAGATTCCGAGTCAACGGAGAAGATGTGGACGGTTGAAAGACGGCGTTGTTGGTGCTGTAAGTTTTGTTTTTTCATTGCTTCGTTTTTTTCTCTGACGTCTCTCTGTGATTCAGTGACAAAAAACGTACCATTTTGCATCCAGGAAGCAAAAAAAATGTGGCAAAATACCTCCCTCTTCAAGTGAAAAAACTCCGATTTTCAAAAACGCGCCCGTTCTTTTTGTAAGTTAACTTCGTTTTCCCTACAAAACGAAGTTTTTTCACTTGGAGAGGGAAGCATTTTGCCACATTTTTGATACTTCCCGGATGCAAAATGGTTCGTTTTTTGCCACTGGATCAGGTCTCCCACTGTATATGGAATGTAAATTTTGGTATAAATTTATTACCAGTGCGACGCTCAGATTTTCTTTAAATATTGCATACACTTCTGGCATATGCCGATATCAATTCCTGAAAATTTTAGCTTTGGCTTTGCAGCCAAGATATTCAACAATCTGTGCGGCCGAGAGAGTACACGAAGCGCGGAGAGCAGTCGAAAAAACATGTTTGTCCATAAATTTGCCATGGCCCACTCTTTCATAACATACCCAAACACTCAACAAGGTTCCATTTTTGATCAAAGCCATATGTCCGATCTCAAAATCTATGGGAATGTACTTGTAAAACCGCTTGCTGACATCCAATGTGCTGATCACGACGTGGTTTTTAATTGCCAAAGCAAATCGATCAGTTTTTGGGCAGAAAATCAAATCTTTGCTAATCACCATCCCGAGGTTGTAGATGCGTCGGGGAGCGCTGGAAAAAAGTATTTACAGGGGAAGTACTTCAAGTGCGACGCTCAGATTTTGATGAAACTTGGCACAAATTTAGAACAATTTTTTAGCAAGATATATGCGAGAATCCTAACTCGCGCTTTGCAGAAACAACCGAGATTTTTAGACCGAAAGTCGGCGAAAATTGAGAACTTTTTGCCGAATTTCGGCAAGAAAAGTTTCATGCCTATTTCAACTGTAAAGGATAATGTTTCTACAAAAAATCAATTTTTTCCGCGCGAAACTAACGAAGTTATGGCCAAAAAGCGTTTTTCTCTCTGACCGCTCTCCACGTTTAGCGTGTTCTCTCGGCGGCAAAAATCATTCGATATCTCGGCGGCGCCCGCAAAGCGCGAGCTAAAACTTTCAGGAATTGATATTTAGTCCATACCCGACGTGTGTGCAAAATTTAAAGAAAATCTGAGCGTCGCACTTGGGGCACTTCCCCAGTTAGTGACTTTTTTCAATGGTGAATGTAGACAAAAAAAGGTCCAGAAAAAACTTTTTTCCACAATTTGGAAAAAATTTTTGGCGTAAAAAATCGACTCGATTTAAAAAAAAAAAAATTTTCTGAAAGTTCTGTTATGAAATAAACCGATGTTACAACTCAATTTTTTGTAAATTTTTTTTTGTCTGGCCGGCTCTCCATTTCTATGCACTTCCGCAAGAATCTCGATGCAAAAACTCCAATACAACGAAACTTCCCCATCGCAAAAAAATTCAGAGGCATAAACGACCAATTTTAAGTGAAACCTCGGTACAACAAAACCTTTCCATAACAAACAATTTCTTTTTTTCTTCATTCAGACTACTCGTTTTCCCGAGATTACATCTAGGACTTACTCATAAAACGCCTTGGCCCAATATTCATGCTCTAATCGGTAGATCTTGCTGTTCAAACAGACCTCTCGATAGAACGAATCGAGAATTTCGCAGAAAAAATCATCTATCGAAACCAAAGTTTGCAGGTCCTTGGAGTCGACTTCAATTATAATATCAACGATTTTCAGCCATATCTGTAACAACTGGTCATAAAAAAATAAAATAAAACGATTTTGCAACTTTTTATTTTATTTTTTGCTCGAAAAATTACAAAAATTCAAAAAAAAATCAAAAAAAAATCGAATAAAACTTACATCTCTCCCTATGGATTTAAACTTTTCAATTGTCATATTAAAAATCCATGCTATAATAATCCACCATCTTCTATAATCCAATCGTAACAAAAAAGAAGAGAAAAAACATTAATTCCGCGCCCTTTCCGACGAAATCCCACTATTGATTTCTTTAGGCCTACTACAATATAAAAAAACTCTATAAGAATAAAAAATTACATTTTTGCTTTTCCGATATGACAAATTAAGCCTATCTATATTTATCTACACATATTTAGATGCAATTTGAAAAATCTACACAGTATAAAAGCCACTATTTTGATATTAATCTTCCTTTTCCCTCTCTTCCTCTTCCTCCTCATCCTCTTCACTTGAAAACAAAGTCCGGAAGAAGATGACAGCCACTGCCAAACCGAGTGCGGTTAGATTGATCAGAACCAGGATAGCTAAGAACACATCCACATTATAATATTGGAAAATGTTCATGTTTCTTCCGGCCAACTCCAGGTGTTTGTGAACGTCGTGTTTGGCGGCGAACTCCGCCGTTTTGATTATTCTCTGTTCGGGGGTGTCCGGTTTGTCTTTGAGGAGTTGGCTGAGCTCTTGGGCGCGGAGTTTGTATCTAAAAAATATGAATTTAGGGGAACTGGGACGATTGGGGAAAAGTAAGATTGGGGAAACCGAAAAGTACTATTTTTCTTCGATGAAAGTGTCGAAATTAGGATAATCGAGGGTGCTGATTTCGAAAATGACATTCATTTTGATCTTTACTTTTTTCCTTAAGTAGTACTGTAAAGCAGTAATTTTTTGATTTTTTCTCATGAATACTCGATTTGAGGGTTTTCGGTGCTGCTTTCAAATCAGAAAAAATAAATAAGATTTTCGAAGTCAGCAAGGCCGAAAGCCCCCAAATCGAGTATTTGTGAAAAAAATTCAAAAAATTACTACTTTACAGTACTACTTAAGGAAAAAAGTAAAGATCAGAAAAAAATGAATGTCATTTTCAAAATCAGCACCCTCGATTATCCTAACTTCGACACTTGCATCGAAGAAAAATAGTACTTTTCGGTTTCCTCGATCGTATTTTTCCCCAATCGTCAAACTCCGGGATTTAGGATGGAGATGACCAAAAAAGATATCCGATTTTCTCTAAATCCACAAATTCACTTGTAAAAATCTTAGATGGTGCTTGCAAGCCCCATTCGGGATTTCCCAAAACACCCGACCTTTCCAACTTTGCAGTGATAAAAGGTTTTTTTTTCTCCAAAAAAACCTTTTACCCCCGCATAGTCTACTACAACATCGCCAACCCACCTTTTATCATTCAACACCTCCGTCAGAACCTCCACAATCTTCTCTTTGTTCACCAAATCAAATTTATTTATAACTTTCGCTGTTCCTTTCGCTTGAACCATGGCCGCATTTCGAAGTTGATCTCCAAATAACGGGACACAGATCAACGGGATGCCTGCGTATGTGGCTTCGGTAATGGAGTTCATTCCTCCATGAGTGATGAAGATTAGGGCCTTTGGATGGGAAATAATCTCTCTTTGAGGGAGCCATCTCTCGACATGGACATTCGAGTAGTTAGCGGTGATGTGGTCCGATTCGTTTTCGTATTTCCAAATAAACTAAAAAACAGGTACAATGAGGGGACCTGTTCCAGTGGCAAAAAACGTACCATTCTGCATCCGGGAAGTGTCAAAAATGTGGCAAAATGCATCCTTCTGCAAGTGAAAAAACTCCGATTTCAAAAACGCGCTAGCTCTTTTTGTGAGGCGCCCTTTAAAACGAAGTTTTTTCACTTGGAGAGGGAAACATTTTGCCACATTTTTGATGCTTCACGGATACAAAATTGTACGTTTTTTTGCCAATGGATCAGGTCCCCCACTATATCTTAGACCTCGGAAATCCTTGAGATAGAAAAAATAAAGTGCCAATTGCCGACTACAGTGATCCAATGGCAAAAACCGTCTCATTTTGCATCCCGGAAAGCTTTGAAAAGCGCACCCCTTCCTTCAACGGCTTTTCAAAGCGGGGTTTTTTAGCCTAGAGAAAGGAATGGTTTGGAGACATTTTCGTCCCTTCCGGGATGCAAAATGAGACGTTTTTTGCCATTGGATCCGGTCCCTCACTGTATTTCATCCATTTCGAGCCATTTCTGACCTTACTTTATATTAAACCTCATAAAATTTCGATCTTTTTCATTGCAAATTTGACACAGCAAGATACATCCAGGATTTTTTAAGATCCACCCTTCACAGGGTTATCGTTTTTCACAAAATTTTTCAACAAAAAAAATTGCAAAAACTCGTATCTCTATTATGTAAATCATGCCCAATACAAAACGTTCAAGAAAACCTCTCAAATCGCTTTTGTATTTCCCGCATTCCAGTATTCCTTGGACGTGATATTTTATCTACTTCTTATTTTGATAAGAAAACAGAACATCATTACGAAAGCAATTTTGGACAAACAAGATTATCATCACGGTTAACATAAACAAAATTAAAATCACAGGGCTGTCGACAAGTCTGGTAATAAACTAATGATTCTAAGCCCTTTGAAGTAAGATACCACTTGAAACCAGACATCACCAACTTGAAACTAATACCTAACACATCTACTACAATATAATCGCTTTTTGTGCCTGAAATCGCCTTTCAAAAACAAAATTTGAACATAAAATCGCAATATAATGACCTCTCGTTCCTATATAAACCAAAATCCACCGCAATGTTGCGCAAAAATCACCCCAAACCCGCAATATTATCCATGCTTACCTGAACTTCCGGGAATTCCTTGAAAGCCTCCAAAAAGGCCGACTTCATCTCCGCGGGCATAAGCTGGCTTTGCGCAACAGACCCAAATGACATGTAGATCGCTCCTTTCACCGCTTTTTGGAAGATCTTTTGATATTTTGGCTCCAGGACACTATTCTTCCCATTTTTTCTCATTCCAAATCCTCCAATATTCACGTACTTATGCGAAATGGGACGAGGAAAATCGACAAATTCATCGGTATTCACCCAGAAAAACGAGCTATTTGCAATGAGGTCCTAAAAACAGAAAGAAAATTCAAAAATAAGAAAAACTTATCATGGATAATATAAATTTTTGTCGCAAGACCCAAATGTCCCACCCTGTAATCCAAATTGCTGTCGAAAACTTCGTAGGCTTCTCCGATGCTGCCGAGGAATCCGGGGAAGATGTACTTTTCCGCGTACAAAAACCCGAAAACGTTCTCGAATCTGGTCCAAAAGCCCCTTGCTTCGGATGCGTCAAAAAGTCCGGGCACAAAACTAACCGACGCCGGAACCCCGAGCATGGACATGAATTGGGGAGGAACGGCCGAGCCGAACACGGTGATCCACTTTTGCAGGCCGATCATCTTGAAGAGACCCAGGCCGCAGACATCGAACCATTCGCCCACTCCCAGGTCGAAATGCTCGCCTTTCAGCTCGTTGATGACCGGTTTATTGTTGTACAGCTCGTAGCATCCGTCGCGGAACACCTTGCCAATGGAACGCAGGTTCTAAAAATAGAAAAACACTAGGTAATTTTGACATTTTCCCAATTTTCGATATTACACATGACGATTGATGGAAAATTGATCAAAAAAAGGGGAAATGAACAGAATACTTACAGTATTCGACTTCTCCGTGGTCCACATCTTATCTCCGTCCTTGCTGAGTTCCGCAATTGACGCTTGCACGCGGACTTCGATCAGCCTGATCTTCTTGTTGGTGTGACCAGCATACGTCAAATTCTCGTTTAGCACCGTTTGGACAACTACCTAAACAACAACCACATCATTAGAAGCCATATTCGCTGTTTTGACCAAGAAGCGCTGAATTTGCGCCGGTTTTTGACTAAATGTTGCACTTTCTACCTACTACAACATAACAAGCAAAAACAACGGACTTACCACTTCATGACCGGCTCCGGCCAGCTCATCCGCCAGCTTTCCCATCAACAACGCATGGCTTCCGCCGAATTTGGGATTGTAGACCAGGAACTTCAACCCCAATCCAGAGCCGGCCAGGAGAAGGAGGGATAATATAAACAGCAATTTCATGACCACCGTCTTGTTGTTGATCACCGCAAGGGAATGCCTTCTTTCCTCAGGGTTGCCGATAAGAACGAGCTGATAACTCCAGTTTGGTCAAAGATTCCGCCTTTTCTGTCAACAAACAAATTGGAGGTCAGAAGAACAAGCAGTGCAATTTAGTGTTGAAAATCCAAGTTTCTTGTGGTCGCCCAGGAGTTGCCAACGCGTTGCAACAGGCCGTTTTTTTTTTTTTTTTTTGATTTTCGGAGGCAATAAGTTTAGTTCCGGACAGGTTTCATCGTATAAAGTGTAAAATCGCAGGCTGCAGCCGTTTTTGCAAGCTAAAGTGGTACGTAAAAAAGAAGGTACCTCACTAACTAAGTCCGCTGTCCGGGCATTGACAACGACGAACTGACCCTGCACGCCAAATTTGGGCTAATTTTGACCAGTTTCCGAAAGTTGTAAGTTGTGGCCAGAATAAGGAACTTTTATCCGGCTCGGCGTCCGTCCCACCACGACCGAAACTTTCAGTGCCAAAAAGTCTTGGCGTTGTGTATTGCTTTTATTGTATGTATAAAATGTCGCACCCAGACTGCGTGAAACCTGGGCGCGAAACAAAGAAATATTAATTTATTCTTTTCTTTCCATGTATGCGCTTCTTTGATCCATCATAGCCTCTCTCCAGCTTTAGTGTCAAAAAAAAAATATTTTGTTTACATTCACATATTTTTCCCGTCACTGTGAGTTCAACTTACAACATCTTTATTAAATTTGGACCTAAAACAACTTCAAGAAGAAGAAGCGGATGGCTCGTAAGTCTTTTTTGTTTGTTATCTTTTGCTTTGATGTTTAGAGCTCTGTCTTAACGTTGAGATAAAGTTGTACCAGTTATTGGAAATTGAAGAACATATTATATTAGACTAGACACTGAAATTCAAAAAAAAATCGGAAAATTCCAGATCGCTCCGACCTCCCACTGCACGGAGTGTCGGCGGAGACATGTGGAGTGGTCCTGGATAACCCTTCCAATGACAGCAGCAGCCCAATCCTTCACAAGGTCATGTGCAATAACAAGAAATTGTATTACCTTCCTCGAACCGTTTTTGATTCGAATATACGAACGCTGGACAGAAAGAAGAGAAACGACTGTTTGAGGATGCATGAGGAAGCGTTGGCATTTGGAAATAATATCAAATTCAAGTACGAGATCAGGGATAACGTGCGAGTGATTCAGAGTTTCGAAAAGGGCGGGGATTTCTTCCAAGGAGAGGCTCGAGACGCCCATAACTACTTGGCCTCTTTGTCCGTTTTCAGTCCGGACCTGACGGAGATCAACAGCGAACATTTTGGATACATCAAAGTGGACCCCAAGCTTTTGGTGAGCTTTTTATTTTGTTTTCTCTGTTTTAGGCATGGATAATATGAAGTTGCGGTGTTTTTATGCCCAAAACATTCTAAATTGATTTCAGAGGAAACTCGCTATTCTTCCCACGCCAAATGTGGAGATTATGTGCTGGTACAAATTCATTATATTGGACAACACCGGAGTCCTGGGAGACAGGGCCGACGTTCAGTTCGAGTTGGCTGAATTGTCGGATAATCAGGAAGATATCGACCTTGGCCGACTGGCTGTTTCAGCGGTATGTGTTTTATCTTGCATTATTGTTGGCTTTTAGAAATGGAATCAAGAGAAAGTGATTGCACCCACTCGATTCGACTATGGATTTGACGACGATGATGAGCCGGAAGTTGAAGCCAAGGAAGACGAAACGTTCAAGGTGGGAAATTGACACTTTTTTAACCCTATAATGGACTGGACCTTTCATTTTTTATCTCATGTTTTATATTATCCTTATGTGTAATATAATTTTTGCTCTGAATTGTTTTTTTTCAGATTGAAAAGGACCGTGTAGGCCTTATAACAGGTCTAAATACCATTTTCATTCCCGACCTGCCTTGTGATGCCGTCCTTTTCACTACGTATCGCCCATTTCCAAACACTTTTATTGGCTGCAGAGTAACTTGTAACCTGGTTTGGTCGCATGTTTGCAAGGCCTACTTTGCAGTCCGGCCTAAGATCAGTACGGGAACGCTGTTTGACGCGATTATCTATCAATCCAGGAAGTTTGGAGTATTCGCTTATGTAAGTGCCATGAATTTTATAACCTGGCAAGCGTTTTGCTTGAAAAATTTGGGAAATTCATACCCCGTAGAAGTACTTTCCTTGCAAAAAATTGCGGAATAATTCAGAAATATAAAGTTCAGTTTGAAACATTCGTGCGCTCGGGCGACGAACACAAGAGCCAGTTCTACCAACACCCATTCCTCGGCCTGATCGCCGACCCCAACAATGTGCTCGATATTGCGCCCATCAAACACAAAAACGCGAACGATCACAAGGTTTACAAAGTGATGATCAACGACTTCTACGGCCTCGAAAACGAAATGACCCACAACCGCGTGGACGGCCGAATCACACGACTGGACATTGTCAAATTTGTCGGCGATCGTGAGCTGGAAGATGAAATTGAGGACTGCAAAAAGAGACAGCCCAAGTTGATCAATGTGAAGGGCGTCTTGATCGATTCCGCAACTGGCAGAGTGTATTGTGAGGAATACGCGCATTGCGAGTTCTTCCTGGCCAATACGAATGACATGCCGTAAGTGGAAGGTTACGGCATGCGGGAAGGTCTTGGTAGAAGTGGGAAATTTCTTTGGATTATAGGTTTTGGGGTACATATATTTTTTGAGCTTTACTTTTTTCCTTAAGTATGTACTGTAAAGTAGTAATTTTTTGATTTTTTTTCGTATATACTTGATTTGGGGACTTTCGATGGTGCTGATTTCGAAAATCTTATACATTTTTTTTCTGATTTGAAAACAGCACCATCAGGAATTTTAGGTTGTCGAGGCCGCAATTTTTTTTTTATTTTTTTTTTCAATCCGGAAACAAGGGTTTTCCTGGGTAATCGAGTACTGAAATTGTCCAAAAATGATTTTTTTGTTATCCAAATCTGACAAAGATAACGTTAAAAATTTTTTTTTATTGTCATGGATAATATCGTGAAAATTTTTGTTGTCAAATTTATGTTACAGTGACGGACCTGATCCAGTGGCAAAAAACGTACCATTTTGCGTCCGCAAAGTATGAAAAAATGTAGCAAAATACCTCCCTCTCCAAGTGAAAAAACCTCGTTTTGAAGGGCTTCCCTCACAAAAAGAGCGAGCGCGCCCTTCAAAACGAAGTTTTTTCACTTGAGGAGGGAGGTATTTTGCCACATTTTTTGATACTTCCTGGATGCAAAATGATACGTTTTTGCCACTGGATCAGGTCCGTCACTGTAACATAAATTTGACAAAAAGAAATTTTCACGATATTATCCATGACAACAAAAAAAATTTTACGTTATTTTTGTCAGATTTGGATCACAAAAAGTTCGTTTTGGGGCCTTTTCAGTACTCGATTACCCAAGAAGCCCCTTGTTTCCTGGTTAAAAAAAATTTTATTTGGAGAACGTATAAGAGTAACACTGTTGCTCGGACAGTTGTTTATCTTGATTTTTACAGGAATGGTGCCCTTATCCACATCGAATTGGCGACCAGAACCAAAAATGAGGTCAAACCGAAGCCATATTTTGAGATCTCCAACTTTTCCATCGCCCCGGCCAGCAAAGAAATGCAATATGACCCGACGTCCAAGAGGTTCATCTTCAAAGCCATGTTCGACGACAAATACAAGTGCTTTTACAGCAATTACTTTGGATTTGTCCCCCTCGAGTATGGAGAAATGTAAGATTTTATCGAAATTTGCGCTCCTGTTTTGGCAATTTGTATAATCTTTCAATTTTAGTGACAAAAAATTGGATAACATCAAGAAATACACAATCTCGGCGGAGCAGAACCGAAGCGTCGGTGCACAAACCATTCTTTGGAAGGGAAAACTTTTCTCAAGAGACAATTTCTGAGGGATCTTGTATTTATTACGGCTCAAAGCCAATTGTTACTCTACTTACGGGTTTTTTTCACTAATTTTTTAACTTGCCTTTTCATTTTTTTATTCATAATAAAATAAACCGTGCTGATATTTTGAAATTTTTGGGAAGTTGAAAGTGCTATCAAGGCGGAAAAGTATCAAAATGACTCAAAAAATTAAGCGCGCCAAGTCAAAGTCGCACGGATTTTTTTTTTTTTTTGAGGAGTTGATCATTTTATATAAACGTACAGTGGGGACCTGATCCAGTGGCAAAAAACGTACCATTTTGCGTCCAGGAAGTGTCAAAAAATGTGGCAAAATACCTCCTTCTCCAAGTGAAAAAAACTCAGACTTCAAAAACGCGCCCGCTTTTTTTGTGAGGAGAAAGGGCGCGCCCTTCAAAACAAAGTTTTTTTTCACTTGGAGAGGGAAGAATTTTGCCACGTTTTTTGATACTTCCCGGATTCAAAATGGTACATTTTTTGCCACTGGATCAGGTCCTCCCACTGCGTGTAAAAATTGTAAACATAATATAAAAAATCAGGGGTTCGCACTTGGCGTCTTGTACATCATTAGTTTTACTACAGTGGCGGACCTGCTCAACTCTCCCTCTCCAAGAGAAAAGGCTTCGATTTCAATTGGAGAGGCATTTTGCCACATTTTTTGATACTTCCCGGATGCAAAATGGTACATTTTTTGCCACTGGATCAGGTCCGTCACTGTATTGGTCTAGAGAATTTTCATCCACTTGAGTTTCTGCTCTTCTCCGTATACGAAGTGTACCTTGACCGCCCATCCTCGACTTTACGACTCCATTACAGTTTTGTATATTTTGCAGCCAAAAAGAATGACCGTTCGAAAGAAAAGTAATCCGGTCATTCGGACGTTCCCTTGGCCTCGCAACTCTCGACCTCTAAAGCCGGCTGCTCAAACAAAACGAGGCGAGGGGAGTTCATGTCCGGCTCGAATTCAAGACCGCCCACCTTTACACTACTAATAAGCGCTTTAAAAAGGCGATCCCTTCGAATGGACACAGCACTCCTCTGACTTGTGTTTCTTGGGAATAAAAGGCGAGTAATTGAGCGCAGTGAGGAGTATCTTCTTCTACAGTATTGGTGTGAGCTATGGGGCTGACTTTTTTTCCGGTAGACGGCCTGTACAACGGATCGCAAGGGAAAGAAGATATGTTCGCTTTAGCAAGGCTTTGTTGAACTTAATTTCGGCTTAATAGGGGAAGTGAAACGACACACTTTAACGTCAAAGTGTGTCGTTAATGAAACATTGCATAAATTTAAAGTACGCCTTTTTTGGATATATCCCACACTCCCAGCTCGCACTATGCAGAAAAAAACTGACATTTTTTTGTCTAAAGTTTAGCTGTTTTAAAAGTTTTTTCAACTGTAGAAAGCAAAGTTTTCAGAAAAAATCAATCTTTTCAAGTCAAAATTCGCAAAGATATGTCTAAAATGTTTTTTCTCCAACGTTCTCCGCTTTTCGAGTACTCTCTTGCCGAAAATGATCGTTCAATATCTCGGATGCTTCTGCAATATGCGAGTTAAAATCAACAATAATTGATGTATGACCTACAGTGGGGCCTGATCCAGTGGAAAAAGACGTACCATTTTGCATCCGGAAAGTATGGAGGTATCAAAAATGTGGAAAAATGCTTCCCCCTCCAAGTGAAAAGACTTCGTTGCGCCTTTTTCCTCACAGAAAGCGCGCTTTTGAAATCTAAGTTTTTCACTTGGAGAGGGAGGTATTTTGCCACATTTTTTGATACTTCCTGGATGCAAAATGGTACGTTTTTTGCCTTTGGATTAGGTCCCTAACTGTAGGTCCAACGGGTGTGCCAAATTTTAAAAAATCTCATCTCTCTCAATACACTTTGCATGCTCCCCTCGTAATCTCCTAGTGTATGTTTTTTTGTAGTATTATCTTATCCATAACATTACCTGAGAATCCAGTAGATTTCCTTCTGTCTTATGACTTCAGAAGCCGGATAGATGCTCGCTTTTGACTCAGAGATGAGTCATTGTTTCCCGCGGTACAGTTTTTTTATTATCCATGAGGATTCTCGAACCGTTACCCAGTTTTAGGTTTGATTTGTGACTTGGATGGGTATAAAAGAGTTGAAAAAAATAGAACCACCAGTATTCGAGTTTCTAAGGGCTCTTGAGAATTATTTATTTTTTTGCTTACTGTACAGTAAACCTTTATATTACAAGTTATTTTTCTGTGTAATTTCGTTTCCGCGGTTTTCGTAAAATTTGGCAGTTCTGTAATACTTCACAATTTCACAGATATCCCAATGAAAACCGTCATCTTCTTGTCATTTGTGGCCTCCACAATCCTCGCCTTCCCTCCACCACCACCTCCAGGTCCTCCTCCACCATTCCCCCCAGGACCTCATGGACCTCCTCCAGGTGGACCGTTCTGGATGATTTTCCGCGACCTCAATGAATCCCAGCAAAAAGAGTTGACCTCGATTCTGGAGAAAAACAGGGACTCCAGCAAGAAGGTGTTCAAAGAGGAGCTCAACAAGTTCAAGAGCTCTTTGCCCGAGGACCTGCAGAACACGTTGAAGGTGGAGAAGGACAAGTTCGACAATTTTAAGAAGGAAATCGACCAAAAGGCCGAGAAAATGAGCACCGATGCCAAGGCGTTGTTCGATCAGCTCAAGAAGATTGTCGACGATGATTCGTTGAGCTTCAAGTAAGCCCACACCAAAAATTTTTTTACAGGGGAAGGCTTAATACTCCAAGTGCGACGCTCAGATTTTGATGAAACTTGCCGCAAATTTACAGGGTGTTTCAAGAAATTTGGCAGAAACTAATTGCGAATATCTTTGAGCTCTTGCTAGTTATCGCAGAAATTCTTTTTGTTTCTAAAACTTGATAACGGGCGGTTTTGTACTGAACAAAGAAAAATTTTTTTCGTCGGCGGAGAGGCCAGTTCTCGGCGGAGACATTTGGGGCCTTTTTTAAAAATCACACCTTATTACATGGTGGAAACTCTGTTACAATGGCCAAAATCATGTTTACGTTAAACCTCCGTGGATTTTACGGTATGCTTTTTTTTGTTTTCGATTTTCGCTCATCCGCGGAGGCACGGCGGAGACCTCAGGTTTCGGCGGACGTCGTTTTGACTCTTTGGATCATTCAATTCAGGTTGGAAAAAAGTGTGGGGTGATTTTTTGTTGTCATCCGATGCACAGATGCAAAAATTTCGCACTTTTTTTCCCCGGCGGAGGATTCGGCGGAGGCTTTATCAAAGGGTCAGAACAGTCTTAGGAGTCCGGGAAAAAAACTCAGCTACAAGAATCCATAACAGCAACATCATTTTTCTTATTTTTTGGTTCGGCGGACACATCGGCGGAGGATTCGGCGGAGGCTTTATCAAAAGAGTCAAAGTTTTATTTTGACCCTTTGATAAAGCCTCCGCCGAATCCTCCGCCGGGGGAAAAAAGTACAAAATTTTTGCCATCTGTGCATCGGATGACAACAAAAAATCGCCCAACCTTTTTTCCAACATGGATTTGCAAAAACCGAGGGCCCAAAACAAAGTCCGCCGAAATCTGAGGTCTCCGCCGCGCCTCCGCGGATGTTGCGTAAAATCGAAAACGCAAAAAAAGCATACCGTAAAATCCACGGAGGTGTAACGTAAACATAATTTTGGCCGTTGTAACAGAGTTTCCACCATACAATAAGGTGTGATTTTTAAAAAAGGCCCCAAATGTCTCCGCCGAGAACTGGCCTCTCCGCCGACGAAAAAAATTTTTTTTTGCTCAGTACAAAACCGCCCGATATCAAGTTTTAGAATCAAAAAGAATTTCTGCGATAACTCCCAAGAGCTCAAAGATATTCGCAATTAGTTTCTGCCAAATTTCTTGAAACACCCTGTAGAATATTTTTTCTAGGATATATGCGAGAATCCTAGCTCGCGCTTTGCAGAAACTACCGAGATTTTTTAGATTGAAAGTTGGCGAAAATTTAAGACCTTTTGCCGGATTTCGGCACGAAAAGTTTCATGCCTATTTTTACTATAGAGGATAATGTTTCTACAAAAAATCAAATTTTTCCGCACGAAACTGCCAAAGTTATGGCCAAAAAGTGGTTTTCTCTTTAACCGCTCTCTACGTTTAGTGTGCTTTTTCGGCGGCAAAGCTTGTTTAATATCTCGGAGGCACCCGCAAAGCGCGAGCTAAAACTCTCAGGAATTGATATTTAGTTTATTCCCGACGTGTGTGCAAAATTTAAAGAAAATCTGAGCGTCGCACTTGGGGCACTTCCCTTGGTAGCCGTAGAATTGTCATCAAAAAATTAGTCCCACTCATCCCGAGATTCTTTCAGAGAAGAGTTCGAAAAGGCCAGAGAAGTCATCAAAAAGGCGGACAAGTCTGTACTCGACGAGTTCCGCAAGAACCGCGTCCCCCTTCCCGGCAGCCCTCCACCTCCACCACCTCCACGAGGAGGACCGTTGGGCCCCCTCTATCACAAATTAAGTCAAGAGCAACAAAAACAATTGGATAAGATTATGGAAGAAGGAAGATCCAAGACCAAGAAAGAGGCCAAAGACGCAATGGACAAGTTTGTCGATGGCTTGAGTGAGGAGTTGAAGAAGGAGGCGGCTGTGGAGAAGAAGAGACATGAGGAATTCGAGAAGGAGATCAAGGAGAAGGTCGGGAGATTGAGTGCTGATGCGCAGAAGGTCCATAAAGAAATGGAGGTGAGAGGTTTTAAATTTGCAAATTGAGTCTATTAGGGTGAACCAAAAAAGTTTCCGATTTTTTATTAAAAAATTTTAACATAATTTTACACCAAATGAAAACCGGTTAAATTTCAAAGTAAAGGCCAGTTGACCAACGGCTATTTTGCCCAAAAACTGCAACTTTAAGCTCTTCCCTTCCATTATTTAAATTAAAAGAAACTTTTTCCAGGATATCATGAAAGACGACACCATTACTTTCGAGCAAGATCACGAGAAAATGAAAGCCCTCTGGGATCGAACTGACAAGAAAATTATCGACGAATTCGCTCAAGCCCACATCCCATTGCCCGGCCTGTTCCCACCCCCTCCACCAGGGCCATTCGGACCTCATCCATCAGGCCCATTTCCACCACCTCCACCAGGTGCCTTCCCTCCACCACCTCCACGATTCTAGAGGTATCTGGAATCGCTTCACACCCTCGTTTAACTTATTAACCCACTACTTTTTTTGATTGCTATCTTGTAATTGTATGTACATTATGTTGAGCTTTAGTAAGTAATAAAAACGCTTTACTTTGCAAAAACGATGACTTTAAAATGACCAGAGGTTATGATAAAACCCAAGACCTTGATCCAAGTCACAAATCTAAACCCATATCTGGTTCTGTGATTTCAAAATCCGAACCAAGGCTGTTTTTGAAGGTGCCGAGTGCAGCGCGAACCCTTTCGATCTTGTGCCCTTCGAAGCCAAGGTCAGAGCGGCTTCTCGAAGGTGGGAGTGGTCGAGATTTGAGGGGATATAAAAATACGTGATATATGCCAGCCAAAACGGCAGAATCACAGTGTGGGGTGTGTTAGGAGGGCAGGGTTTTTAACCTTCTTTTATTTCGATTAATTTATTTTTTGGTCGTTTTTTTACCTTGCAGATATCTGACTTTATAAAACACGACATTTCAGGTTGAACCTTTCTCGTAAAATGTCATCTCTCCGCGTCATCCTCCCCCTCTTGCTGATCTCCCTGGTTATTGCTGAAATTCGACCAAAACGCCAACTTCTGTCAACCCTCATTGCTGAGGATGCGGCTCGACGAGCCCAACTCCAAGCCCAAACTGCCGCGAATATCGCCGCCGCTAACGCGAATGCGGCCCGTTTAGCGGCACAAGCTCAGGCCAGGAACAATTTGATCAACTCTCAAATCATCGCGAACGCCGCGCAACGTCAAGCGCTAGCGCAGGAGCGAGCGGCCGAAGTGAATGCGGCGCTGGCGGCTAGTCAAGCCCAAACCCGCGCTCTTTTGGCTGTGGAGAGAGCGACGATTGCTGGAGCTCAGGCCAACGCTTTGGCGCTGGGAAAATAATTGAGGAAGTTTGGTGGCCGTTGGAAAAGGAGATATCAAGAACTGCCTCTGGATTCAGTTGTCTGTAAATTTGGTTCGAATAAAAGGAAATTTATATATTCTCGTGCATGGCTCATATTTCGATAAGATATAAGGTAATTCCTAGTATAGGCGAAGCGTCATTTATTTCAAATTTTAGTCTTTTCTCCCCAAAGGTCGCAGAGTTAATAAGCAATTATTTGATGGTGATAAAAGACTATCGAAACCTTATTTTCCGACTCTCTCTTTATTCTACAAGGCCGGGCAAAAGTCATTGAATATCTCAACGACGCCTTGAGGGCTGTAGCCAAACAATAAAATCAATGGAAACTTCATCTAACAGGGAAAAACTGCCAAAGTTATGGCCAAAAAGCGTTTTTTTCTCTGACCGCTCTCCACGTTTAGCGTGCTCTCTCGGCGGTAAAAATCGTTCGATATCTCGGCGGCGCCCGCAAAGCGCGAGCTAAAAATTTCAGGAATTCATATTTAGTCCACACCCGACGTGTGTGCAAAATTTAAAGAAAATCTGAGCGTCGCACTTGGAGTACTTCCCTTGTAAATTCATCTTTTCTCCCCAAAGGATTTGTTAAGAAATGACTCAAAAATTATCAGTCTGTCGGAAAAATAACGGCGGATCGCCGCAGCAAAATGTCTCGCCTCGCCGCTATCGCGCACCAAATCCCAAGTCGCGGCCTGCAGTCGCAAAGCGATGATGGGCGATTCGGAGGCGCGACGATCCGCCGTTTTTTTCCCGACAGACCGATACTGTTGCTCTTCTTCGTCGAAGGTATAAGCTCGCTCAATTCTAATTCGAATTAGTTCCATGGTATTTGGATACACAAGTCTGATTAATTAATCGTTCTACCTGACCAATTTTGAACACGAATCCGACCGGGATTAGTGTAAACAATTGCGTAATTCAACGTGCCGTCAGATGAATCTTAACTGGGACAGTAATGGAGTACCTCGTTGTGTTTAGAAGGTGGCTTCAGAGTGCTAACATTGGTTGGCTTTTGAACGGATTCTTGAGCTGAGATATGTAGATTTTCTAGAAATTTCAGTCTCTGTGTTAAACCGTATGGATTACCGGTAAAAGGGTCAGAAGAAGGAAGTCAATGGTTGTTCTCTGACAAACACATCCTAGTGTTTGTTTACAGCGCTTTTTAACTATTTTGCGGAATTGCTGTAAAGTCTGCTCATTCCACCAGCAAAATTAGGCGACTAGAAAACCCGTGCAGATATTTTTGAAGCGTACCTCCGCTTCCACTGGAAGCCATTTATTCTCTAAAAGGTTTTCAAAGAGGTCGTGGCTAGTACATCTACAGCAGAACATCTACAGTGGTGAACCGGACCCATTGACAAAAAACGTATCATTTTGCATCCGGGAAGTATAAAAAATATAGCAAAATACGCCTTCTCGCTAGCAATGAATCCAACTTTCTGGCCAACCGGAAAGCTCCTTTCCAGATCTACAGCGAGGGACCTGATCCAGTGGAAAAAAGTATCATTTTGCATCAGGGAAGCATCAAAAATGTGGCAAAATACCTCCGTCTCCAACTATCAGTCTGTCGGGAAAATAACGGCGGATCGTCGCGCTTTGGTATCGCACATCATCGCTTTGCGACTGCAAGTCGCGGCTTGGGATTTGGTGCGCGATAGCGGCGAGGCGAGATATTTTGCTGCGACGATCCTCCGTTATTTTCCCGACAGACTGATAAATAAAAATCCGTTTTGAAAGGCGCGCCCTCTTCCTCACAAAAAGAGCAGGCGCGCTTTTGAAGTCGGAGTTTTTTCACTTGGAGGGGGAGGTATTTTGCCACATTTTTGATACTTCGTGGAGGCAAAATGATACGGTTTTGTCACTTGATCAGGTCCGTCGCTTTATACAACAAATCTAAATATCAGGGTTTGCTGAACAAAAATTCGTTTCCACCGAACAACAAGCATTTACTTTGAAAACTTTCCTTGTAAATTTCACCGAACATGTTCGTCGCCTGCCTTGTCGTTGACAGTCCCCAAATGATTGTAGTTACTTAACTGTGAACGAGTAAGTCCACTGTCCTATTCAACTCTCTCTCCAACACAAAACACCCTTCGAACGAGATGTTCGAGAGACAGAGGAGAGAGTTAACAACGAACAGCAAATTCTCCACCCCTGTTTTAAAATTAAGTTTTATAGCGGAAATGATTTCTGTAGTATTAAATTTTGACCCTGAACCGTTTCGTCAACCCGGTTTTCAGCGTGCAAAAAAAACATCTTTCATTTTCAATTCTCGCTGAACTTTTATATATCTATGAATTGAAGCGTTCTTTCAAGGCGAGTGAAACGAGATATCAAAAATATTTTGGGTGATTTCTTTCGGAAATGGGATAGTTTTTTGGGAGTTTTGGGAAGACAGTTCAGGCATTTTTTAATATACTTTTATATCGCATTACAAAAAATCAACATTTTCCGTGACGAAGTAAGAGCTACCGACTAAACTTGTATTCTTCTAGCCGCCTCTCTTCATTTTGCGTTCTCTCTCGCAAGCCGTTGAAAATCTTGGCTGAGAAGTGCGCAATACCAAAATTTTCAAGTCTTAATTTATGACTTGTGTCGGCCGTATGTGCGAAATTCAAACCAAAACTTACAGTGGAAGTACTCCAAGTGCGACGCTCAGATTTTGATGAAACTTGGCACAAATTTAGAATAATTCTTTTCTAAAATATATGCGAGAATCCTGGCTTGTGCTTTGCAGAAACAACCGAGATTTTTAGGTAGAAAGTCGGTGAAATTTTACGACTTTTTGCCAAATTTCGGCACGAAAAGTTTCATGCCTATTTCAACCATAAAGGATAATGTTTCTACAAAAAATCAAGTTTTTCCGCTCGAAACTACCAAAGTTATGGCCATAAAGCGCTTTTCTCTCTGACCGCTCTCCACGTTTAGCGGGCTCTCTCGGCGGCAAAAATCGGTCGATATCTCGGCGGCGCCCGCAAAGCGCGAGCTAAAACTTTCGGGAATTGATATGTAGTCTATTCCCGACGTGTATGCCAAATTTAAAGAAAATCCGAGCGTCGCACTTGGAGTACTTCCCATGTTAATAGAGTGTCTGTAAGAAATCACTCGTTAGAAAATTAGAGGCAGTTCACCTGTCCTTTCTATTTCCTCTGTTATCCTTTTCAATTCGCTCCATGAACACCCTCTTCCGTCTTTGCTTCCTTGACGTCGTCGGAGCCTCAAGGAGGCGTCGATTTAAGGGTCCTCGGGAAGAGTTAAGAGTTAATTAAGTACCGCTTTAATTCATTCAATCGACCGAATCACATGCGCTCTCGCCACTCGCTGTGGAGTGTTTTCGACTCGTCGTTTCGTGATTGGGAAACTATTTTCGGCGGTCTTGAGGACCTTTTCGGAAACACGATATAGATTACGGCGCACGTGGTGGGAGAGGGTGTCATGTTTGGGGCAACAAGTTGAAGCTCACTTTTCTGGATTGAATTCGGCTTTTTAGGCGGGGTTTGTTGACTCATTGCGTGATATCATCCCATCGTGTAGATTACATGGACCTAAAGGACTTTGATGCCAAAACTCGAAGGCAGAGGGATGTTTCTTTTGCCATGTTGAGTTTTCGTATCAAAGTCTTGAATTTTCAACGCTTCTGTTCAACCTTTGAGTTTTTGATGACTACAGTGTTCATAGTATTTGAACGGTTCGGGTCGACTGCCCAACCTTGACTCTAATTAACCTCAACTCACGCCTCGGTCTCCACGTGATCGGCGCGTTCAAGGCTGATTGTTTTTTGTCGACTTTCAAGGAGTCTGAATGAGTTCCGGGAGACTTGTTTTGATCCCAAGGAACGTTGTAGCATTAGGACTTTTGTGTTATAGTAAGTTACAACCTATCTCATCTTTGAGGACTTGCCATAAGTCTTCGTTTCTTATTATTCCTGCCATGTGGCCCTTAATATAATCTGCATTTCTGGATGTTCTAAAAATTTAACTCTTTGTGACACCTCTAATTTTTACCCTCCGGCTTGCTCTTAATGGACAGAAACATATTCCAGTCCTATCCGTCTAATATTATCTTGTTTCTGTTCGTCTAATATTATCACGCTAAATTTATCATTACTTTGACATGAGGCTAAAGAACTCGGCTGTGTTTAGAAAATGTTAGCCAATTTTTTGGCATTTCTTTACAAACTATGTATATCTGTTTAAATCGAGGCGTTTTCAAGGGCATTAAAGTTCTGAAAAAATGGAAACGTTGATCAAAAACTATGTTTTGTAGATAGCCCCTGGCGCTCGTAACCCCAAAAGAACGTTGAATATCTCAGCCAAGTCTGTAAAGCGTTAGCTGAAATTTTCACCCATGAAAATATACCCTAAATATAGTGTATTCTCATGGTATAAAGAAGATTGGAATATCGGCCTATGAGAATTTGCGGCTTCGCGTAGTCGTCCGCTTCACAGATCAGCTCACTTTGTCTTCCGTGTTTTCCCAATTCCCGACCTTACTCTCGACCTCAGCGTCTTCCCTGTGATCACGCAATTAACGTACGGTCTGTTGGCCCACTAATTGAATGCACTATTTATCGAAAATACACGATTACATCCCGATTACAGCGCTGGATTTTACCGTACTCTTCCGAAAACAAAAAATATCTGATTCGCCCGGAGGGGGGCTGCGTTTACGTGGGTGCAGGTAGACCGGTGACAAAGTCCTTTTTTTCTGAGAGTTTAAAGTTAGTAGGAATGGGCAGTTAGTAGTAGTAAGTGAGAGTTTTCTCACCTTCTATCGAAACTTTGGGAATTTTAATTAGAAAAGTTTTACTGTTTGAGGAATCATTACTCCCGGGTTGTTTTTACTTGCTCATATTACACTGCGAACATATCAAGTTTTAGGTTTGACCGAATTTTACAGCTTCCAAACTTTACAATATTGGAAGCAAACATAGTCTGGTCTAATTGGTTGGGGTACCAATTATGATGTTTTGTTTCTGGGAAGACTTGGCGCAAATTTGAGACATTACATTGTATATTTATAACAAACATTCCAGTTTGCGTTTATTTTATATCAAAAAGGAACAACCGGGTCCGTGATATTGAAGTATGGCAGAAAAATATTTTGGTCTTTGCCTTCTTCGCGGAACTGCATGAAGAGCAGTACTCTCCAATATAATTATTTTTCTTTGAACTGAGCTTGAAAGGTTGTTGACAGAAACATTTCTCCTTTACGTTTGAGATTATGAGCGATTGGGAACCACTGTTTTAACAAGATAATTTATTGATTAAAAGGCTTCTCGCTAGCCATTCGGCTAGCAAAATGGCTTGCCTTCTCGCCAGCAAGTAGTCCAACTTTCTGGCCAACCGGAAACCTCGTTTCCAGATCTAGTGAGGGACCTGATCTAATGGAAAAAACATACCATTTTGCATCCGAGAAGTATGAAAAAATGTGGCAAAATACCTCCCTCTCCAACTAACAAAACTCCGTTTTGAAGGGCTCGCCCTCTCCCTCACAAAAGCGCTTTTGAAATCGGAGTTTTTTCACTCGGAGGAGGAGGTATTTTGCTGCATTTTTGATACTTCCCGGATACAAAAAGGTACGTTTTTTGCCAATGGATCAGGTCACTGTAATAAGTCTTTTAATCCCTTTAGCTAGCAACCATAACCTTTGAATTAACCAATTATTTCAAACATTGAGTCATAATGGGCCATAACTGCTTTCTTTTGATCTATTATAACTTTTTTTGATCCATTATTTTCGCTTACAGGCAAAGAATGAATGAATATCTCAGCCATAGATTTGATTACACCCTTAACCATGAGCTAACATTTCCAGTGATTCTGCCAGAAAAAGAAATTTTTTTGGCCATGCCTACAATAATGAACTAAATTAATTAAACTTTTTACTATTCTAATTGCTTCCACCCTCGAGTTTAGATCGCGCGTTTTGACGTCAATTGCAGATTCCTCGAGGGTAATAAAACCGGAGTTTCAGGGTCGAAGAGAAGAAGGAACCAAGATGGGAGAGTCAAGTTATTTGGAAATCTGCGGATTCAGACTTCATGTTCATGTAGGTTGACGATGACTTGAAGCATTTGGATGCTAATATCGATGAGATAAAAAACAGCAGTGTTAATGGCATTTTATCGCTAAAAATTTTCGTAACGCTTCATAGCTTTTTTTAATTCAATGAATCCTTCAAAATTTTAGCTCTGAATTTCAAGTGACGTCGGAAATAAATAATTTTTTTCAGAATTAATCTTTTTTATTCCATATTTTAATTTTAAAAACGCAAAAAACACAGTGAGGGAACCGATCCAGTGGAAAAATGTGCCATTTTGTATCCGGGAAGGATAAAAAATGTGGCAAAATGCTTCCCTCTCCAAGTGAAAAAAATTCGTTTTAAAGGGCTTCCCTCACAAAAAGAGCGGGTTTTACTTTGGGAGGGAAGCATTTTGCCACATTTTTGTTACTTCCCGGATGCAAAATGATACTTTTTTTGACATGGGATCAGGTCCCCCAGTGCATATTTGAATGGTATAATAAAAAAAGCAACAATATGTTTTTCAGAAAGCCGTCTTCTTGATTGCCGTAATAGCCATCGCTTTCACGCTACTCAACGCGATAATCATGCTCTACAATGGGAAGTTTGTGATCCTCTTCTTCCCCGCCGTCTCTCTCGTCGTCAACCTGTTGCTGTTATACGGAAACATGAAGAAGAAAGGGATCTTGTATTGGCCTTATTTGGTGTGGACGGTAAGTTTCTTTGGCAACTTTTAACTTGTTAAAAATAAAAGGGGTTCTCAGGAATTGACCCAGCATAAAGATGTGCCAAAATTTTCACAGCCTTATTATTACGTAGAAGGTTGTTGTACAGAGGTTCCATCAAACTGTAAAGCGAATTGGAGCTCATTTCCGATATCAATTTCCTGTCTACAGCCCATTTCCAACTCGTCGGGAAAAAGAGCATCCGTTTTGCTGACCGTCTCTAAATCATTTTTGCAACAAAAAAAAGTTGTGAAGGTCATTGTGAAGACCAAATCTTACACCGAAAGAAGGGAGGAATTTGTAGGAAAAGTAGTAAAAGTGCGACTCTCAGATTTTGACGAAACTTGGCACAAATTTAGAACAACTTTTCTATAGAAGATATTCGAGACTTCTAGCTCGTGTTTTGCCGAAACGACCGAGATTTTTATAGATCAAAAGTTGGGAAAAGGGAAACACTTTTTTTTGAGAATTCTGGCAAGAAAGGTTACATGGCATAGGCTAAAACAGTCCGGTGAATGGATTGGCGATTTGCCAAAAAAAGACGCGAAAAAACGTTTTGTCGGGAAAGAAATGGGGAATTTTTGGGGCGAGAGAGTGTGATTTTGCGTGTCTTTTTTCTCTCTTTCTCTGCGAAATCAAGACGAAGTGTAAAAAGCCGATAGCGAAGGGTCTATTCCGGTCACCGGACTCCTCAGTTCGTGCATGGCTATTTTTGCCGTATGTTTTCACAAAAAAAACCATTCTTTCGCACAAAGCTTCCGAATGAATGGTGAAAAATGTTTTTCTCTGACTCCACCGCAAATATTGTTGAAGATCTCAGCTGCGTCTGCAAAGCGCAAGCTAAAATTCTTAAGAATTGATAAGGGGAAGATACAGTAGTGGACCCGCAAAAAACGTATTATTTTGCATCCGGGAAGCATAAAAAATGTGGCAAAATGCTTCCTTCTGCAAGTGAAAAAATTCCGATTTCAAAAGAGCGCACTCTTTTTTTGTGAGAGAAATGGCCCTTAAAAACGGTTTTTTCACTTGGGAAGCATTTTGCCACATTTTTTATACTTCCCGGATACAAAATGTTAAATTTTTAACTTCCGTTTTACAGCAGCGACCCAAGTTTTATCTCCGAAAGTTGTTAAAAACTTGACATCGTCGAATCTATAATAACTCTCTAAATTTCAGGCGATCCTCATTTGCATCAACGCCGCCTACTTCATCTACATTGTTGGCTGCGCCTTGAACGTCTTCCACCCGTGGGCGTGGCTGGATTACCACGTGGGCTTCAAAGATACGGCCAAGTTCTTTACCGGCCAACGAGTTGTGATCGGGATCGCCTTCTTCGTGGTCACCTTCTTCTACGTGTTCTTTTCGTATGTGGTTTACAAGGGCTTCAACTACTTGAAGACGTCGTTGCCTTTTTGATTTTGGGATGGCCTGTATTGTACATTGTAATGTTATTCTGGTTCTGAGCGCTGCGAAACACTTTCAAATAAAATATTCAGTACAAGTTTTGGCTGCTTCAAGTTTTTCTTCACTAATTTTTTATGCATGAAATGGGCAATGTTTATCGTAAAAACCCTTCCTTAAAATTGCCCAATTTTCAACCTCGAACAGCCGTCTTGAACCTGGGCTAATAACTGGTTTGGCCCGTCCAAGGTCAGTTGTTGTTTTTTTTCGATCGCTTTCACCTTTTATTTTTGCCGTTAATCATGTTCCATCCGAGAACATTCGATGATGTTGCGGATGACGAAGAACTCAACGATTTGATGTGGTTTACATGCTTCTTTGGCTGCCTGAACAACCCTGTTCATGTTCATGTAAGGGTTTGTTTCAATTTGAAGGGCATCTAGCAAGAGAAGTTCTCAAAGTGCGACGCTAAAATTTTCCTTAAATTTCGCACACACCTACAGTGGGGAGCCTGATCAAGCGGCAAAAAACGTATCATTTTGCATCCGGGAAATATCAAAAATGTGGCAAAATACCTCCCTCTCCATGTGAAAAAACTCCGACTTCAAAAGCGCTCTTTTTATGAGGGAAAGGGCGCGGCAAAAAAACGTGTCACTTTGCGTATCAAAAATGTGGCAAAATGCTTCCCTATATAAGGGCGCGCCCTTCAAAACGACGTTTTTTGACTTGGAGAGGGAAGCATTTTGCCACATTTTTGATGCTTCCCGGATGCAAAATTATTTGTTTTTTGGCACTGGATCAGGTCCGTCACTGTAGCAATCCCTGAAAGTTTTGACCCGCGTTATTCAGGTGCAGCCGAGATATTCAACAACTTTTGGGGCCGAGAGAGTACGTGAAACGCGGGGAGCGGTTACACAGAAAAACTCTTTTTGACCATTTGATTGCCAGTGTCGTGCAAAAAAATTGGTTTTTTGTGAAAACATTACCCTCTACTGCAGAAATAGCCATAAGACTTTTCTTCCCAGAATTCGCAAAAAAAGTATTATATTTCTTTTTTACCAATCTTTGATTTAAAATCTCGGTCGTTTCTGCAAAGCGCAAGCTAGAAGTCTCGAATATGTTCTATAAAAAGTTGTTCTAAATATGTGCCAAATTTCATCAAAATCTGAGCGTCGCACTTGGGGTACTCCCCTCTAAGTTTTAACCTTTTAAAAAAGGCTTATTTTTTCCTCTTTACAGGCCGCTAGCTTCGTTATTGCCGTTCTTGATGTAGCTTATTCCTTCTATTTACTGGTCATGATATACCTCGGCAATTCCGTCTTTTTTCTTCCTGAATTCATGATGATGCTGTTTATGGCGTCGGTTTTAATAATCGGCAACAAAAGCGACCGTCCAAGGCTTTACAACGCTTGGCTGATTTGGAAAGTAATGCCTTTGATTTTGCAAAAACTTTCGCTTTGAATTTCAGGGACTTGTCCTAATCACGCGACTTTTCTCGGCCACCTATCTCATCCTCATGATCGCAAAATACGTCCACAAGGTGTCAATATTGGAAGATTATACCCGAATTCCCGTACTCCGCGATGTTTTCCAGCAGAAAACGCCCGAGAGTTTTTCACTTTTCATGACTATGACCTCTATCATACTGGAAATCCATTTCTGGCAGATTATTTATTATGGAAAGAGGTACCTGATAGACCGCCATAGCGACGAAGAACGACGGTTCAAGAAGTTTTTCCACAGCCAGAGCGACGATAACAGCAGATCGTACTTTATAATTCGGGAAGAAGACGAGGAAGAGTTTTTGAGGAGCAGGATTAATAGTGTATGAGGTGAGGAGATGCTGTAAATATAGTGAGTAGAAAGTTGTGTACTGTGATTAATAAAGGAGCTTATTTTTGTGATTTGAAAGACGGACTTGCAGATTGGCATTGATACGATCAAATAAAGTTTTTTAATTGGGAAAGTACCCCAAGTGTGACGCTCAGATTTTCATGAAACTTGGCACAAATTTATTTATTTTTAGCAATTCGTGAAAGTTTTAGCTCGCGCTTTGCGGCCGCCGCCGAAATATCGAACGATTTTTGCCGCCGAGAGAGCACGCTAAGCGTGGAGAGCGGTGAGAGAGAAAAGCGCTTTTTGGCCATAACTTGGGCAGTTTCGTGCGGAAAATTTTGATTTTTTGTAGAAACATTATCCTTTGCGGTAGAAATAGGCATGAAACTTTTCGTGCCGAAATTCGGCAAAAAGTCATAAATTTTCGCTGACTTTCGATCTAAAAATCTCGGTTGTTTCTGTAAAGCGCGAGCTAGGATTCTCGCATATATCTTAGAAAAGATTATTCTAAATTTGTGCCAAGTTTCATCAAAATCTGAGCGTCGCACTTGGAGTAATTCCCTTGTTAATTCATGACTGACATGTGTGCAAAAATCAACAGAAAACCTGAGCGTCGCACTTAGGATACTTCCCTTGCAAAATATGTAGAAAATTTAAAGAAAATCTGACAATGAGAAGTTGCGTAGATTTCTCTCGTAAATTAACCTTGCTACAACTCGTTTGAACCGTTTATTCCGAAAGAACAGCTCACCATATCCTCTGCAATCCTCGAGTTGGCACAAAAGCTTGGCCGCATTCGAAGAAGCTGAGCAAAATACAAACCAACAGAAGCATTATCTCCAATGGGTAGAAGAAATCCACACTCGGGGGTTGGTAAAATGCCATGGGTGGGAGGGTTCGTGGCAATGGAGCGAGATCGTGTCGAATGATGTCATCGATTTGAATGTCTTCAATGCGACGGATCGTGTAATTGGAGGGCATTGGAGAGGCGTTTTTGAAGTATTTTGAGCTGAAAGAATTGATTTTAAAATAAAGGCATAAGAAGTTTTTTTTTAATGGGTTGAAAATTCCCAAAGCCTCATTTTAAAGCTCTAGCGCAACTCGAAATAGAAATACAGGGTGGGGCATCTTTGTGGCCCGATTTGAATTGGCTATAACTTCTTTAGTTTTTGGCCAAATTTTAAAATTCTTTTTTCCCTGAATCGTCAGCCAACCCCATTTTGTTTGATACCAAATATGTTATACATAGTAAGTGTATATCTACAGTTATTGGATTTATTCTTGGAGTTCATTTTTTCGGTCGTTTTTCGGTTGTTTTTTCGGTCTTTCCCGGTGTGTCCAGAAATGGAGTACGGTGCGGAAGAAAAATACGGCGGAATTTACCCTCCCGAAAATCGACGATGAGAATAAGAACAAAAAGTGAAGATCAACCTCCAGAGTTCGTCGAATGGTCCTTGGTGAAGGCATTCCCTCGGTTCTGGCCAAACTTCGTGTACTCATATGCGGATTTTCTCGGAATTTTGACAAAACTTCTTAAATTTTCAGCTCCGTTCGTACTCATTTTTTTCCTGCTTTTTTTGTTTCCTGTTAACGCTGCCAGTCTCAAGAAACTTATTCCACGAACGTCGAATTGTCTTGCGATCTGGAGGTTAGGCATTACGTCCGTATTTTATGCGGTATCCCCATTTGAAAATTTATCGCCGAACCGTACTTGCTATACCAAACCACAGACCAAGCCTTTTCTTCCACACCGGACTCCATTTTCGGACACACCGGGAAAGACCGAAAAAACAACCGAAAAACGACCAAAAAATGAACTTCAAGAATAAATGCAATAACTGTAGATGACACTTACCTATGTATAACGTATTTGGTATTAAACAAAATGGGGTTGGCTGACGATTCAGAGAAAAAAAGAATTTTAAAATTTGGCCAAAAACTAAAGAAGTTATAGTCAATTCAAATCGGGCCACAAAGATGCCCCACCCTGTATATATATATACATATATATACGTATATATATATACGTTGACTTACCATTCGTTATACAGCCTCCAAGTCTTCTCGATCAGCCAGCTTTTCACCGTTGAGGTCACCAATCGCCAATATTTGATTATCTTCTTCAACATCGCTGTAAGCGAGCGCGTTCTTTTTTCTGGCTTTTTTTGCGAATGCAAATGGCACTTGCGTTGGAAGCGGCGATATAACGCACTAGCAGCTGCGGAACACTCGATTTTCATTTGCAGGGAAATTGTCCCCTATGCGTAGGTTCTTCGGAAACTTAGCATGTAAATTGCGAAGCGAGAACATATCAATCCTTAAAAATTTTTTTAATTTTAACGCTTGCTTTACTGGGAGAGCCAAGATATTCAATAATCATTGGAGAGAGAGGGAATGCGGTACACAGAGAGCGCTCAGAGAGTAAACGGTCTTTGGTCATTTCGCCTAAACAACGAATTTTGGGGAAACCTTTCCCTCCGGCAGAATTGAAGTCTCTGCACAACAGAATCCCATACAACAAAAACTGTATACAACAAACAATTACAGAAGTCTCAAAATTCAATTATCGGTCACGCAGAAACTCGTAACTCCATAACAAATACAGGGTGCTCCATCTTTGTGGCCCATTTTGAATTGGCTATAACTTGCTTACAGGGTCTTACAAAAAACGTGAAGTAAAGTGGAAGGCTATAACTTCCGGCGGAGGCGGCGCAGAGACTTCGTATTTGAAATATGTATTTTTAAAAGACATTAGTTTTTGTCTACGAAATAACAAGCTTTTAAAGTGCAAACTGAGGTCGCTACGACCTTCTGAAGTAGAGGCATCTCTACCCAGAAAACCAGGTTTTTTTCGGTTGAAAATAGTCGAGAAATTTCGGACTTTTTCGGTTGAAAATCACCAGGAAATGTCGGAGCCTTCCACTTTCCTTCACGTTTTTGACCCTGTACTTTTCGACCAAATTTGAAGATTCTTTTTCCCCTGAATCCTCAGAATCCCTCATTTTGTTTAATACTAAATATGTACATATGTGGCAGACCTACAGAAATCTCGCCAGCTTCGTCGTGAAGAACAAGAGATCTCAAAAAATGCCTAAAAATCAGTCGTATCTCGTGACTGTTTCAATGCAAACTTCAAATCGGGCCACTAAGATGGAACACCCTGAAGATGTTTTTTGGTACTTGCTATAATATTTTGGTGTGCAAAATATTGACTGTGTTTGATAGAGTATAACTCTATGCATAAATCGAAAGAATAAGTCATACAAACTGTGGTCTTAAAACATAAAGAAGATAAACTTTTGCTTTTCCGAAAATTGTGTGCAGTTTATATTTTATGCTTTTTAGTCTGCGTGCTGCTGCTTTTGATAGTTTGGGAAGGTGATTTACATCAATTCACACGAAATAAGGTCCGGGATTTCTTTTGATTTACCAGGGTGAGACTCAGCACTAGAAATAGAGTCAAAAATTCACATTGGCGTCCTATCTTCAAAAATTTAAAAAATTATTTTTGTGAGCAAATTTTATTACAAAAATTCCTCCTCCATCAAAGCAAATGTCATCCAAACTCGAAACCAAACTACACAGAAATTGCTTACAAAGTCATAATTTCGTTTCGGAGGCTAGCAATTCAAGGCCATTTCATACGATTCCCGCCCATCGAAAATCAAGTATTTAAGCTCAATGAGAGCCTTGAGTTATTAAACTTTTTGTTTACGGAACAGATACAATGTCATTCAAGGGTAAAGCGGTGATTGTGACCGGCTCCAGTGCAGGGATTGGCCAAGAATGCGCCGTTTTGTTTGGAGAGCAAGGCGCCTTTGTGACAGTGCATGGAATGTCGATCGACGGAATTAATGTGGGTTTGTAGGATTTACCCTTACTCCTCCGTACATCAAATTGCTTAAGAGTTGCCTAGAAGAATTTCGTTTTACAGGAATTTCACTGTATTTCAAAAATTTGTCAATCAAATGATCAAAACTGCAGAAATTTTGAGAATTTTTATAAAAGCTCCTTGGCCTCGGTCATGTTTTATATAATGCTTGCAATCTTAGCTGGCAAAATATATGAAAAATATATAAACAAAATACGCAGTGCAGCTTAGAGATAACGACGTTTGCAGTCTCAAGAAAAATTAATCTAACAGGGGAAGTACTCCAAGTGCGACGCTAAGATTTTGATGAAACTTGGCACAAATTTAGAATAATTTTCTCTAAGATATATGCGAGAATCCTAGCTCGCGCTTTGCAGAAACAACCGAAATTTTTAGATCGAAAGCCGGCGAAAATCTAGGACTTTTTGTCAAATTTCGGCACGAAAAGTTTCTTGCCTATGTCTACCGTAAAGGATAATGTTTCTACAAAAAATCAAAATCTTCCGCACGAAACTGCCAAAGCTATGGCCAAAAAGCGCTTTTCTCTCTGACCGCTCTCCACGTTTAGCGTGCTCTCTCGGCGGCAAGAATCGTCCGATATCCCGGCGGCCCCCGCAAAGCGCGGGCTAAAACTTTCAGGAATTGATATTTAGTCCATACCCGATGTGTGTGCAAAATTTAAAGAAAGTCTAAGCGTCGCACTTGGAGAACTTCCCCTGTAAATTCATCTCTTCCTTCAGACGACCATAAAAAGACTACAGGAAGCCGGTGTTCCCGACTCCCACTATGAATATGTCCAGGGGCCAATTGAAGACGAAAACGTTCAAAACGAACTGTTTGAAAAGACTGTAAAGAAATTTGGACGAGTTGACGTGCTCGTAAACAATGCCGGAGCCACGCAAAAACCCGGAGTAGAAGCGTCTTCCTTGGAGAATTTTGACTATGTTTTGAATGTGAATCTGAGAAGGTAGGTTGCTGGTATTGATCCAAGCTCTTCTTCTGCTAGTTACATGTCTATATTTCCAGTGTGATCTCATTAACTCGGAAAGCTGTAGAATATCTGGCGAAAACACACGGAAATATCGTGAATATTGGCTCCATCTCCGCGGAAGTTTGTTTCCCAGCCGCTGAACACTACGCTGCCAGCAAGGCGGCGTTAAATAGTTACACAAGAAATTCGGCGTTACAGTATGCCTCAAAAAACATCAGGATCAACCTGGTTAGGTGAGTGATTTGATTATCAGTAAGCCTAAGCCACTGGACTTCAATTTCTGCTGTTTATTCGAAATTTTTTCCTTTTTAGTCCCGGCTCAATTTACACCAATATTCGGCTTCGCCATTCAAACAAAGCCGAAGTTGACGCGCTCTATGAAAGTCGGCATGCAGGGATCCCATTAAAACGGACCGGAACAGGTAGAGAAGTCGCAAATGTTGTGGAATTCCTGGCCTCCGACAAAGCCTCTTATGTAACCGGCTCTATTTACGTTGTAGATGGTGGGGCGTTGCTTATGAAGCCATTTTAAAAAAAGCTACGGGTTGCTGACATCAACTGACACGGTTATAAATATTTTATTGATTTTTTTACTGCAAATCAAGTTTACAGAATCATAAGTAAATAATATAGATAATATAGTTTATTGTCTTCTAACTCTCTTTATTTTGCTACAAAACAGATTATCACTATACACTTCACGAGACATACACTGGCTCGAATGGCTTCCCAGCCAAGGCGCCTCCGTCCACCGCATAATTGGAGCCGGTTACGTACGAGGCCTTATCGGAGGCCAAGAACGCGACCACATTGGCCACCTCTCGGACTGTCCCCGTTCTTCTCATGGGGATCCATTCGTGTCGATTCTCGTACATGTAATCGATTTCTTGCTTATTGTCCGAATGACGAAGCCGGAACTTGGTGTAAATGGAGCCGGGGCTGAAATACGAATATTAGAAATGCCAAACCTCTGCTTTCATAAAAAAATCCATTTTTTACAGGCAGCACTCAAAACACTATTGCCAAAAAAGTCTGTCGTTTGTTTTGCAAGTTGACTCACCTAACCGCGTTCACTCGGATAAATTTGTGGGCATACTGTAACGCCGAGTTTTTCGTGTAATTACTTAACGCCGCTTTGCTGGCACAGTAGTGTTGAGATGGTGGGAAGCACATTTCAGCCGCAATGGAGCTGATGTTCACGATATTTCCGTGAGTAATTTCGAGATGATCAACCGCTTTCCGAGTCATGGAGATCACACTGAAAATGTTGAGTATTACAGTGATCCGATTCAGCGGCAAAAAACGCAGCATTTTGCATCCGAGAAGTATCAAAAATATGGCAAAATGCTTCCCTCTCCAAGAGAAAAAACTTCGTTTTGAAGGCTGAGCTCACTTCCTCACAAAAAGAGCACTTTTGGAAACGAAGTTTTTACACTTGGAGATGAAAGAATTTTGCCACATTTTTAATACTTCCCGGATACAAAATAGCGCGTTTTTGCCACTGGATTAGGTCCCCCACTGTAGATAGTTAGAGCCATTCTTTTTTGTAGACAATATAGTAGCCTGTGAACAAAAAATTACAGGTGATAAAAAATCACTCGCTATAGGAGGTTTCATTTTACCGAGGTTAATTTTGGCCAAAAATTGACTCTTGTGATCATAAAACTTGTTCGTTAAAAGCTTCGTTGTAGGAGATTCTCTATACAAAGACTTTGCTGTAATATGTCCTTACCTCCTCAAATTGACATTCATCACATAATCAAAGTTCTCCATGGACTCCTGTTCCAAGCCAGGGCCTTGGCAAAGTCCTGCATTGTTCACCAGCACGTCAACTTTGGCAAATTTCTCGACCGTCTTGTCAAAGAGTTCATCTTGAACCTTTTCGTCCTGAATCGGCCCTTGAACGTATTGATAATGCGTCTCCTTGACGCCGGCTTCTTTCAGCAGCTCGATAGTCTCCTGAATATTTTATGTAAGAAGAAATAAAGACTTTATTATACTAGTCGGGACAAAAAGTCCTGATAATTTTGCACCGTGCGGATTTGAACGTTTTGGGTTGTCGCTGCGAAAATCGCGAAAAAAAGAGTTTCGCACGGTGCATTTGACCCGAAAAGTGCATTTGCACAGTGCATTTTGTTTGTTTTTGCCTTATTGTCGCGCGCGATTCCCATTTTGCGGAGCGACAAATCGTTTTTTCAGAGTGCGACAAAAACCGCGCAAAATCCGCACGGTGCAAAATTATCAGGACTTTTTGTCCCGACTAGTATTTATTGTGAATCTTGAAATCTTCAGCAACTTTTTTAGTGGATTCTATACAAAATTTTAGAACTTTAGGTGGCATTTTAAGCCCTAAATAAACCAAATAAGGATCGCTGAATTTCGCGGTCATACCTGAAAGGCTCCAACTTAAAAATTTCAAAGAATAAAGTCAATTTTGCAAAATCTCCGAAAAATTTCATCGTCCGCTTTTCAAGAAACTTTCAGCTTTTGTAAGACAAGAAAATAATATTTTTGCCAACTTGACAGTTGTTGCAAAATTTCAAACATTTTTACTCAAAGCACTCACATTGATCCCTTCCAGCGACTGCCCATGAACAGTAACATAGGCACCTTCCTCTCCAAACAACAGTGCGCATTCCTGGCCAATCCCGGAGCTGGAACCGGTCACAATAACCGACTTGCCCTTGAAAGACATTTCCTTGCAACTGAAGAGAGAAGTTTATGATCGCGTATTTTTTCGCATAGAAAAAGGAGACGTTGTTTATTAGCGATTATTTTTTATCTGTCTTATCGTTGAACTATGGAGAAATAACAATGCGACGTGACGAATTATCTGCGTTCTTTGGGGTCGCTGATCTTTTCGGGAACGTGGGGAATTTGAATAAATAAAGGCTTGGCTTTGGTCTAGCAAAAAAAGTATGACAATTATGACTACGAAAAATATTGTTTTATAGAGAGCAATTATTGAAAGAACTTTAAAAAGAGACACTTTTAGAAAGTGTAACAAACTGGCAACTTCATATCAAAAACAACTCAACAAAACAAGTGGAAACGTGTGGAATGGAAGAATGAAAAAATTTTGTTTCTATGACAAAACCGCTTCTTTGTTTCTGAAAAATCTTCAATGAGCAAGTTCAAAAAAATTTTTTTTATGATCGTTCCTCTACGTCCTTCCGGAAAGTCGCCGGACTGATTTTTGAAGTTTGCACTGTGCGAAAAAAGTGGGATGCGAGCGACAGCCCAAAAGTGCCTACAAATGCCGGAGATCAAGAGAAATGACGATTATAGGAGTTACAAGAAAAGCCGTGGAACGCCATCAGCCAAACCAAATGTATATACAGTGAGGGACCTGATCCAATGGCAAAAAACGTCTCCCTTTGCATCCCGGAAGGGGCCAAAATGACTCCAAACCCTTTCCTTTTCTAAGCTAAAAAACTCTGCTTTGAAAAGCGCGCCCTTTCCTTCAAGGCGGGCTCTTCAAAGCGGGGTTTTTAGCTTAGAGAAGGGAAGGGTTTGGAGACATTTTGGTCCATTCCGGAATGCAAAATGAGTCGTTTTTTGCCATTGGATCACGTCCCTCACTGTACATATGCATATGAATGCATGTATACCACTGTAACGGACCTGATCCCACGGCAAAAAACGTACCATTTTGCATCCTGGAAGTATCAAAAAATGTAGCAAAATGACTCCCCCCAAGGTAAAAAAACTCCGATTTCAAAAGCGCGCCCACTCTTTTTGTGAGGGAAAGGATTCAAAACAGAGTTTTTTTTCACTTGGAGAGGGAGGCATTTTGCCACATTTTTGATACTTCCCGGATACAAAATGGCACTTTTTTGCCATTGGATCAGGTCCGCCACTGTATTGCACGGTGCGAAAAGCAAGAAATTCCATAGTACAAAGAAAACATATTTTTTCTTACAATGCGTGTCGCCGATTTTATTCCAACGATTTTTTGGACGGCCTAGTATGGTCAAGGGTTGAAGATCGCGAGGAAACGAATAGTGGTACAAGACGAAAGAGATTAAGACAAGTACAAAAGGAGAACTGTCCGTTCAACCCTGGCATTCTATGCAAAGTTCAAAAAAATGAACATATCGTATAGTATTATCTATAATCAAAAAATTTCAAACCTTTCCCAAATTTTGCTTTAAACATGAACAGTTCAGCTGTCGAAAAGCTCCTTCAAGCAATGTGAATTGTAAGGAAAATCGGAATTTAAATACCGCAAGAGACGCAAAGCCCTGTCGCATGCAATCACTCTTTGCGTTCAAAGGTCGAAAACGAACTTTAGCCGTCTGAAAAATATTTTTGTAAACAATATGCGCTTATACTGAAAAGGTTAAAAAAATTATTTAAAACGCCACAGGTTGAGTTATTTTTTGACCGAAAAGATATCTCGGATGACAATTTAGAGACACCACTCGATCAGAGTGAAACAGAAAAATTGACAAAACCGAACTAACAGGGGAAGTACCCTAAGTGCGACGCTCACAATCAGATATTCTTTAAATTTTGCACACATGTCGGTCATGTACTATGTATCAATTCTTGAAAGTTTTAGCTCGGGCTTCGCAAGCGCCGCCAAGATATTGAACGATCTTTGCCGCCGCGAGAGTAGGCTAAAATCGGAGAGCGGTCAGAGAGAAAAGTACTTTTTGATCATAACTTTGCTAGTTCCGTGCGGAAAAAACTGATTTTTTGTGGAAACATCACCCTTTACGGTAGAAATAGGCATGAAACTTTTCGTGCCGAAATTCGGCAAAAAGTCCTAAATTTTGGCAGACTTTCGATCTGGAAATCTTGGTTGTTTCTGCAAAGCGTGAGCTAGAATTCTTAAATATAATTTAGAAAAAAATTGTTCTAAATTTGTGCCAAGTTTCATAAAAATCTGAGCGTCACACTTGGGGGTACTTCCCTTGTAAGAATGGCAATCATCTGGGCTCGGGGCATAAGCAAATCTTGAAGAACTTAGATCACAGTCATTCCTACATACAACAAAAACATTTGTCGTCCGCCGAGATAAGCTCATCTTGATTGCAAGTTTCTTTCGGAAAATTGTAACAAGCAAACAACAAACAAGTTTTTGAGCAGGACTGTATGAAATCGTTATCAAGACCATAGGCGATTTTTCAGAAATTTACAAACCATTTTCTTCACTGAACCCCCTAAATATAGGCATGTTGCAAATGAGATCTTCTTGTCCGCCGTTTTCTGTGTTCGTATCAATCTTGTTCGCCTTGTTCATTGTTTCTCTTCTCGACAAGATTCAAGCGTAAAAAGGCCTGATATGCTGCTTTTCATGCTTAATTCAGCTGCAATCTCAAACATCGCTTTTTTCGTGATGTAACACGGCACTACAGCACATAACTTCCCATATAATAAAAGCTCTAAAGCGTGAGCTTTTATTATATGGGAAGATTTGTGTTTTATAATACGCGATCCAAACCCTCGACCTTGTGCTCCCCCCTTCCCCCTTTCTTTAATCGCTGTTTTGATTGAGAAGCGCTCGTTCGATGGTGTGGCATCGTCTTGGGGTCGGAGGAAGGCTACAAAACTTGTTATGTGATAACAATTTCGGCGGTTGAAAGTCCGTCGAGACTGCACTGTTCTCTTGTCGAGTTTTGTTAACTGGTTTTTGCGGTAAAATTTGTCTGATGTCCAGTCTTTGTAGTCCAAAAACTGGACATCAAAAGTAAAATTTCATGTCGGATTTGCGATAGAAATACCTTTTGTTTCAATTCTATTCATTTTGTATATGAAAAAAAAACGTTTTTAAAATACGCCATGTGTTACTTGTCCTTGAATTTCAGGGTTCACAAAGACGATGACGGTGCTGAGTAAGGTCCAGCGATGGCTTCCCTCGGTCAAGGAGACCACGCCGGCTTTGTTGGGAACTGCGGCCGTGGTCTTGATCATCAAGTTCTATAAGAAACAACACAACTTACAGTAAGGGCTAAAGTTTCATTTTTTACAATTTAGAAGTCATCAAAATTCATGTGCTTGAAGATTTGAGTCGAAATATTCGCTCACAGACGTCCATTTTTTATCACAAAATGACAACCAATTTGAAGCGGTTTTGCCAGCTTTTATTTAAAAATAAGCGCATCGCCTTAGGCAATTTTTTATTCTCCAAAAACCCAAAACTCGATTTTTTGAGTTAAAATTGTTTCAGCCAATTAGCGGTTGGGCCGCTCGTAAAATTCGACAAATCCAAGAAAAAAGAGGAGAAATCGCACGTGGATCTGGTGTTCCTCAAGAAACTGTGGAGAATCGTCAAGATTCTGATTCCCAGCGTCTTTTCCGCCGAGGTCTTTTATCTGGCGCTGATCGCGGTCACATTGTTGTCACGGACGTATGCTGATTTGTGGATGATCACCACTTCAACGTCCATTGAAGCTGCTATTATTGACAGGGACAGGAAACGGTTCGTTAAATGGATCATCCATTACTTGATGTGCATGCCCATCATTTCGGTGGTCAATAATTTGCTCAAGGTATGTCCGGGAGCTCATACTTGCATTGCTTTCTCAACCAGAAGGTCTTGGAGAGCAGATCTAGGAAATTTCGAACTGCTTTTGCCCTAAAGTTTCTCCTAACAAAAACTTCTTTAAATTTTTGTCATTTTATGCAAAAAATCGCATATCAGGTGCTGGAAATTTTTTCTCACGCTTTACAGAGCAGTATGTGTAAATGGTTGTTGCTGCAGAAAGAGTATGTAAAAAGCGGAGAGCGGTAAAAGAGAAAAACGTTTTTTGGACAGCTTTCTGGCTAACATGGGAAGTACCCCAAGTGCGACGCTCAGATTTTCTTTAGATTTTGCACACATGCCGGGCATGAACTAAATATCAATTCCTGAAAGTTTCAGCTTGCGCTTTGCAGGCGCCACCGAGATACTGAACGATTTTTGTCGCCGAGAGAATACGCTAAACGCGGAGAGAGGTCAGAGACAAAAACCCTTTTTGGCCATAAGTTCGCTAGTTTTGCGCGGAAAAAATTTACTTTTTTGTGGAAACATTACCCTCTATGGTAGAAATAGGTATGAAAATTTTCGTCCCGAATTTCGATCTAAAAATCTCGGTTGTTTCTGCAAAGCGCAAGCTAGGATTCTCGCATATATCCTAGAAAATTTATTCTAAATTTGTGCCAAGTTTCATCAAAATCTGAGCGTCGCACTTGGGGTACTTCCCCTGTAAATTAAAAATCCTTCTTATGTTGGCTTTTCCCAATAAACCCTCAAAATAAGCATTTCATTTTCCTTCGTTTCAGTTCGGAATCAGCGAGCTGAAGCTCCGCTTCCGCGAGCGTTTGACCCATTACTTATACAACCACTACCTCAATGGCTTCACTTTCTACAAGATGTCCAACCTGGACAACCGCATTGCGAATGCGGACCAACTCCTCACGCAGGACGTGGACCGTTTCTGCGAGGGAATCGTCGAGTTCTACAGTAATATCAGCAAACCGTTGGTCGACGTGGCCCTGTATGTTAGCACAATCGGCGGGGCTCTCGGGTTTTCGGCGCCCGGTCGGCTTTTCGCCTACTTGATCGCCTCGGGCATCGCTTTAACGTACTTGCGAAGGCCTGTGGGGAAGCTGACGGTCGTTGAGCAACAACTGGAAGGCGAATTCCGATACGTGAATTCGCGGCTAATCATGAACAGCGAGGAGATTGCGTTCTATCAAGGGAACGAGCGAGAGAAGACCTCGATTATGAACGCCTTCCAGCGGATGGTGCAGCATCTCCGGCATGTGATTTTGTTCCGCTTCTCGTTGGGATTCGTGGACAATATTGTGGCCAAATACTGTGCGACTGTGGTGGGATGGTACACAATGAGCCGGCCGTTCTTCAGCCGAAGCAACGTCTCCTTGAGGGGAAAGAGCAAAAATGAGCTGATGCAGGTAAGAAGGGATTCTTTGTGGCCACAAAGGAAGGCCAAAAAATGGGTGTTTGGTAAAAAAATTTTATTACAACTCTTACACTACAAACACTGCTCATTGTAAGGGGTTTTAAAGCTTCTTACAGCTTGCTTTACGCCAAAATAACCCCTATGCACAAAAAAGATTCCGCAATGATAACACTCCCAAATCCCTGGAGGCTACAAGCCTTAATTAGTCTTAGAATGGACCTCAAAATCGCTTGATAGCATCTCAAACCAGTAGAATGATCACTTTAAGTGCAAATTCCTGCAATTTTGTGGTAAACAGCTGCAATAAAAACGATGTGTCTTGATAAGAAAAGGCGTCCAGTTACTACCCGTTCCCATTTTTTTACTGACCAAATCTACTAAATTTAGAATACTTTTAACGAATTAAAACTGTGATTCTAGGACTACTACAACAGTGGTCGCATGATGTTCAAGTTGGCTGAAGCCCTGGGGCGGTTGGCGTTGGCTGGCCGCGAGCTCACTCGTCTGTCCGGATTCACAACTCGCGTCGACACTTTGCTCAACGTTTTGAAGGATTTGGAGGATGGGCGATACGAAAGAACCATGGTAAATGGAAACAGCCAAGTGGAGGAGCAACATGTGAGTTATTTCATCAAGGTTTTGAGCCGTGTTTACACCAACGAAAATTAGTTTTCAAGCTAAAACTTTATGCAAATAATTTTTTGGCTATTTTAAATATTAGAACTTCCAGCGGGCGATACGATCCAGTGGCAAAAAAACGTACCATTTTGCATCCGGGAAACCTCAAAAATGTGGCAAAATGCTTCCCTCTCCAAGTGAAAAGACTTAGTTTTTGAAGGGCCCTCACAAAAAGAGCGGGCGCGCTTTTGAAATCTGACTTTTTTCACGTGGAGAGGGAAGCATTTTGCCGCATTTTTGATACTTCCCGGATGCAAAATGGTACGTTTTTTGCCACTGCATCAGGTCCCCCACAGTACACGCGAAATTTCATCAAAATTTGGCCATGTAAACTTTTTTGATCATTCACTTTTCAGGCCCTACTCTCCGCCGAAGGCCTTGGAATCAAACCGGGAAAAGGCGAGATTCTCCTTCAAGATAATGTGATCCGATTCGAAAATGTTCCATTGGTCACTCCCAACGGCGATGTTTTGGTGGAAAATTTGAATTTGGAAGTCCCTTCAGGCCGAAATGTCTTGGTTTGTGGACCAAATGGGTGCGGAAAGTCGTCTCTTTTCCGAATTCTCGGTGAATTGTGGCCTCTTTGGGGAGGAAAACTTACAAAACCCGAGTGTGGCAAGCTGTTTTATGTCCCACAGGTAAGAGATGCGACAAGATCGAAGCGTTTTATGTCACTATCATCCTATAGTGGGGGACCTGATCCAGTGACAAAAAAAGGTACCATTTTGAATCAAGGAGGCATCAAAAAATGTGGTAAAATGCTTCCATCTCCAAGTGAAAAAACTCAGATTTCAAAAGCCCGCTCTTTTTGTGAGGGCCCTTCAAATCGGTTTTTTTTTCGCTTGGGGAGGGAGGTATTTTGCTACATTTTTTCATACTTTTCGGATGCAAAATGGTACTTTTTTGCCAGTGGATCCGATCCCCCGCTGTGTATAGTGGCATGTTGAACAAGTCACCATTTTTAAATCTTAAAAGTGTGCCTGTTCTCCAGCTCAAAGAAAAGTTTGAAACCAACCAGTTCAATGGCCAAGAACTTTATTTTATGCCGTTTTCTTTCAGCGCCCCTACATGACAATTGGCACGCTCCGCGATCAGATTATCTATCCGGATAAGCCGGCGGACATGCGGCGGAAGGGGATCAACGACAAAGACCTAGTCCAATTCCTCGACCAAGTCCAACTCTCCTATATCCTGAGCCGCGAAGGTGGCTGGGACTCCATCCAGGACTGGATGGACGTCCTCTCAGGCGGAGAGAAGCAACGAATCGCCATGGCCAGACTGTTCTATCACAAGCCGCAGTTCGCCATCCTCGACGAGTGCACGTCGGCGGTGAGTGTGGACGTGGAGGGCGCCATGTACGAGAAATGCCGCGAGCTTAACATCACCCTGTTCACAGTGTCGCATCGCAAGTCCTTGTGGGTCCATCACGAATTTTACCTGCAAATGGACGGCCGAGGGCACTACGAATTCGAAAAGATCACCGAAAATGTCGTTCAGTTCGGGTCGTAATCGAAGTTTTTTTTTGTATAAATTTATTTGTTTACCTTATAAGATGCATAAAATTACTCAAAGTTTTGGAGAAAAAAACTGAATGATTTCTGAACTACCACAGACTAGAAATTATAAGATTACTGGGTTTTGAAGACTTCGTTGGCCACACAAACAGCAGCATAGCTCTGCTCCACCTTGTGCTCACCATGAGGATTCTTGGCCACGACCTTGTAGATTCCTTGGTCGGATTGGGTGGGGTTCTAAACAAAAATTTGAGCTTTAGAACTCTTATCATGTGTATAGAAATACTTAAAGTAGCTAATTTTATGGAGAAATTTCTGAAAATCCGAACTCCAAGGATTTAGTGTCACGTTTACAGGGGAAGTAGTACCCCCAAGTGCGGCGCTCAGATTTTGCTTCAATTTTGCGCACACGTGAGGCATGAACTAAATATCAATTCCTTAAAGTTTTAGCTCGCGCTTTGCAGGCACAGCCGGGATATTCAACGCTCTTTACCGCCGAGAGTGTACACTGAACGTGGAGAGCGGTCAAAGAGAAAAACACTTTTTGGCCATAACTTGGCTAGTTTCGTGCGGAAAAAATTGATTTTTTGTGGAAACATTACCCTCTATGGTACAAATAGGCATGGAACTTTTTGTGCCGAAACTCGGCAAAAAGTGTCAAATTTTCGCTGACTTTCGATCTAAAAATCTCGGTTTTTTTCTGCAAAGCGCGGGCTAGGATTCTCGCATATATCTTAGAAAAAAATATTCTAAATTTGTGCCGAGTTTCTTCAAAATCTGAGGGTCGCAATTGGGGTACTTCCACTGTGAGTAGCTTACATTTCGAAAACTTTTATGCTCAGTCAGTCAAAGCGAACTCTTTCATAAAACGGGATTGGAAGCCTACAAAAATAATGGCTTTTTTGTTTTTTGCCATGTGTTTACAACTATTTTACATTACACTATACATCGACCTCCAACTTACCTTCATAATCATAGTGCACATGTATTTTCCGACCTGCTTCTTAACCTTGAATACGTACCGATCCCCAGTCAGTTCCTTGTCCTTCAAATACCAAGTTACGGTGGGCTCGGGGTTGGCATTACACATACACTCGAATAAAACAGAGCCGTCTGGCCGATTGATTATGCTAGGCGCCTTGTCAAAGAACGGTGCAATTCCCATTTTCTGAAAATTGATGTCATTGCGCTTACAAGGTTTTTCGGGAAACAGGCGAGCTAATTTTGTCTTATAAATACCAAAAAATATTATTTTAGTCATCAAAAATTCGAAATGCGAAAAGTCAGATAAACGTGGATTTTCGGTCTGAAGAGTATTTGAAATAGCGAAAAAAACAATAAAATTTGAACCGGAATCAAATGTCGCATGGCCGCTCCCCCTCAACTCCTCTCTTTTTCCCCTTCTTCTTGGATCAATCAAAGCCGATCTCATGGACAAACAGCCGGCCCAAACTCTGTGTTTATAATTAGTCAATTATGTTTCTCCTCCGTTTCAGTCATTTCGGAGCTTTATTCGTCTGGCTCGACCACATTTCACAAAAAGTAATGATTTTGATGTTGGACTAGGGAATAAAATTTATTTTTGAGCTTAGAAATTTACATCTTCTGAAGCGAAACAAATACAGCATGTAACCATGACTCTTGTTTGAAGATTTGGAAGCAGGTGACAACTATGTAATATACAATACTATTAGCTTATGCCATGGTTACAAAAAGTGATGATAAAACACCAAAAAATCCGAATTTTCTGTTGTGATTGATTTCACAATGCTTCTAAGCTACTCTTAGCGGTGCTTCCTTACATTTACTACATAAAAATCTTGACTACAGTACTTACAATACCAAATTTCGGCCTCTCACCAGGGGTGGTCGGCGGGCCGGCCCGGGCCGGGCCGGCCCGGCCCGGCCCAAACGGGCCGGCCGGCCTCAAAAATGGAAATTGACAAACGGGCCGGGCCCGTCACGGGCCGGGCCGGGCCGGGCCGCGGGCCTGGGGTTTTTTCCGGCCCGGCCCGGCCCGTCTAAAATACAATGCCAAACCGTTGGCATTCATTGTTTTCGCGCCGGGAAAATTAATTGATGTTGTTATAGTTGCTGTTTCTCAAGTTCTAACACGTTTACAAGTCTATAGTTCCATTATAGAACCACAAAACTATCACATTGATCCTTTACTAGCTAGATCAACGCCTTTTTTGCCTCAGTTTAGATCCCGAGCCTGGGCGCAGTTCGCAGAACCCTCTATAGACGGGCCTGCACGGGCCGGGCCGGGCCGGGCCAGGCCCGTCACGGGCCGGGCCGGGCCGGGCCTGGAAAAAGACTAGACGGGCCGGGCCGGTGATTAGACGGGCCGGGCCGCGGGCCGAAAATCGGAAAAATAGGGTCTGCTGACCACCCCTGCCTCTCACAAAATCAGAGAAACATATGACCCTATAAGCGCAACACATGACACGTTCAAAGAAAATTCGCCGCAAATTCTCGATGAATGTTCTTTGATGAAGAAGATGGGCAAAATATCAAATTATTCTCAATTGTCTCATAGATTCCGGTCGGTTGAGCGACAAAGATGCGACGTTTGACCTCCGGGATTGGAAAGAACTTGGTTTTTAACAGATTTTTCAATGGCAATGCGGTAAGTTATAGTTTCAATGGTTATTTTTTTATTTAGGAGAGATTCAAAATTGTGGAAGTAGGCCCCAGAGATGGTTTACAGAATGAAAAGGTGAGAGTTTACCTTTTAAATTACATTTGATATGTTATCCTTTATGAATAGTTCCAACAAAGTTTTGATTTTAGACCCTCGTTCCGGCCGTCACGAAAGTCGAGTTGATAGATCGTTTGAGTGATTGTGGACTTCAAACTGTTGAAGTTACCAGCTTTGTCTCTCCAAAATGGGTTCCACAGATGGCAGATAACAACCAAGTCTTGAATGGGATAAAACAGAAGCCAGGAGTCAGTTATCCCGTTCTCGTCCCGAATATGGCCGGTCTGAAGGCCGCTCTTGCTAATCCAAACGTCAAAGAAATTGCGGTGTTTGGTGCAGCTTCAGAATCATTCACACGGTATGTTATTCTTGTTTCGATGTTTTATCTTTAGTAAAAATACGAATTGCTCAATGGAGGAAAGCTTGAAGAGGCTGAAGGAGGTAGCGGAAGAGGGAATAAAGCATGGTCTGGCTGTTAGAGGATATATCTCGATGGTCATTGGAGATCCGGATGAAGGAGCGATCGATCCGAGAATTGTTGCCAAGATATCAGAACAACTATTTTCTTTTGGGTGTTATGAAGGTAAGGGTAGAGTGTATTGGTGAATATAAGCTATTTTTCGTTTGATAGGGTCTAACTTTTGTGTTTCAGTTTCTCTCGGCGACACAATTGGAGTTGGAAGCGCCAGGACCACCGGAAAGATGTTGGACGAGGTTTTGAAGGTGGCTCCGGCTGGGAAATTTGCTGTCCACTGCCACGACACATACGGACAAGCCCTTTCAAATGTTTTGGTGGCAATAGAGAAGGGAATTCGAGTTGCGGACGCCAGTATTTCGGGTCTTGGAGGTTGTCCGTACGCTAAAGGGGCCACTGGAAACTTGGCCACAGAAGACTTGCTGTACATGTTGAATGATTTGGGATTTGAGACGGTAACTGTTTTTTTTTGTTTTATGCGATTCATGTTTCGCCCCATGATAGGGCAACCGTTTGACGGGGAATGGTTGTTTACTTCCCAAAGCATTACTTAGAACCTTATATTTTATTTTAGGGAGTGGATTTGGATAGACTGATCGAAACAGGTCAATGGATTTGCAAGGAAATGGGAAGGGAGAACGCTTCGAGAGCAGGCCGAGCGCTGTTGACCAGGAAAGAACGTCAAAGCAAACGAGGATGAGCAGAACAGCGCGCTTGAACGATCCGTGGCAAGGTCGCATTACTCATCAGAATGGGGAAATCAGAGCTGAAGTTGTTTCATCACCCAATGTCTCACTTTCTTCATTTTTTACCCTTCGTTCTAAGGCGGGGACATTAGTTTTCGATATAAAGTCTTATTCATACCAGCTGTTGATTTTTATGCGCTCGAATAGACCGAAAATTGAAGATAATGGAGTGAAGATGTAAATAGATGTTGTGGTTCTCTTTTATGCAACTTTTTGGCTCGATTTTCACGTGCAAATCGCGTGAAGAAGAGGCGGGAAACCTAGTGCAACATCTGGCGGGTAGACTGCGATCAGCTGCCTCTTATCTTGTCTTATTTGTTATCGAGTATAAAAGTACGCAGCTGCAGAAATATTTCAACGGCCCAAAGACGCTGAGTCACTTCGTCCGCCCAAGGCAATTTCGAAAACTTGACCATTTTTTGGTCATTTCTTTTTTGCCCTTTTTTTTGGCTATTTTTACCTAATAAAAAAGGTCGTTTCGGGTTCGTTCTGTGTCTGCGACCGCAATGAGTAACGTTTAGGTCGTTTTGATCCATTTTGCGCCGATGTGCCTTGTTTTTTTCGCGTTTTAAAGTTTTTTTTGCCTAGTATAATATAAAATCTTGTCGAAATCGCTATTTTCTCGATTTTTTCAGGTACTCGGGTCCAACTCAAGATGGCCAATCCATGGGCCATCGTTTTGCTGCTAGCGTACGTCCTCATTGATCTCGCATGGACCATAATCCCGTTCGGGCTTTACATCCCAGGCTTCGGCTTCGATTACAACACACTTGAAAGGAATTTGAATCCAGTTGAATACAATATTCTGAAAAACGGCTTCGACTTTCTCGTGTGCACGCTGCTGAGGTTCATCTTTGTCCTTCTTGGACTGATTCTCATTGCGACTAAAAGAAGCACAAAATTGTTCTTTCTGATTTTTGCAAGCTTCGGAGTCTGTTCGATATCGTTTTCACTGGTCAAGGTGAGTGTTCTGTTATCTTTTGTTTATTTTTTAGGAGGTTTTCTGCATTTGGAAGGCAGATGCGGTCTAAATTGTGTTTTTGATCACACAATAACGTTTAGTATGCGTTTTGTTGTGATTTTATGCCTAAAACAACAAGTGGAGCTACCATTTTACTTCTAAATTCCCTGTGATCCTTTAGAAGGCAAAGGGCACCTTTTTACTTTCCGTTTTTATCCTTTACTGCTATGGAAAATTTATTTTGTACCTATTTCAGCTCTTATGTTTCTCCGAATATCCGGAACAGCTGAAATACGTTGGTATTTGGATGAGCATCGTGTGGAACATCCTCGGTTCGATCCTCTCCGTCGCTTCCTTCCACTTTTTGATCAGAAAATGGCTGTTCAAGACCGAGTACGAACGAATGCAAGAAGAAGCTGAGGCCGAAGAGAATCCGGAGGAGAATGCTCCAGCGAATGGTGAAGAGAAGCCGGAGAAGGTGACGAGGAAGTCGGTGACGGCACACGTCAAGTTCCTATTGCAATACGCCTGTCAATATTGGCCGTGGTTCAGCATGGCGTGCGTTTTCTTGGTGATCTACTCAACTGGTAGGTAAAATAATATTATAATTTTAATCTTGTTGTTCAAAGCGAAAAAAAATCAAACAATTTTCAGCTAGAATCTTTATTCCTTTCTACACGGGTCAAGTGATCGCCAACATTGTACACAGGGACGAAAAGTCCAGTTACGCCTTCTACTCCACGGTCTTGAAGATGTGCGGCTTCATGATTGTAGCGTAAGTTCTTCTTATTATTGTTGTTACGTCTTTAGAACCCTTTTCGCTGGCCTTCGTGGGGCTTCGTTCAGTTGGGGAGGAGCGTTGGTGAATCGAATCATGAGGAAGAACTTGTTCGACTCGTTGATCCGCCAGGAGATCGCATTCTTCGACAAAATGCAGACTGGTGCCATCTTATCACGACTCACAACCGACTGTCAGACCGTCACAAACATTTTGGATTTGAACATCAACCTTTTCATGAGGAACAGCGTGATGCTTGTTGGATCCCTCATTTTCATGTTGAACTTGTCGTGGCGTCTTACGGTGGTCACTTTCATCGTTATCCCACCGATTGGAGTGTTCACTAAGCTCTATGGAGATTACTATGATGTGAGTTTTTGGGACTACTAGGTTCGCACTAACTTTATGATGTCAAAATTTATGCTACGAAGGCCGACATAATTTAATGTAAAAAAACGTTTATTTATCGTTTAATGTAAAAAACGTTTATTTATCCACTAAAACTAACAAAAATGTAAAAACACAGCACGGAAAATTACATTAGAGCAGTGATAAATTATTAGAGATCTCAAGAGTAGACCGTTTACTTGTTCTCAATGGGCTTGCTTTGCTTGAAGTTGATGGGGATGGACCTCTTCTCGGGCTCGTTGAGTGCCGTCTTCTTGGGCGCCTTGACGATCAGCTCACCCTTCTCGTTGAGATCGCATTGCACATGGTCCTTGCTGAAGCCCTCGGGGATTCGAACGGTCCTCTTCAGCGTCTTCTCGTAGTGCTCGTGTCTTCCGGATTGCTTGTGATGCGCGGAGATGGTGACGGCATCACCCTCATGTTGGACCTCAATCTCCTCGGGACGGAATCCTTGGACATTGCAGGTGTAGGAGAAGCCGTCAGTGTAGTCGAACTGACCCATCTCACGCTCCAGACGCTGCAGCTCCGAGTTGAGTCCACGCCATGGGTTCACACTGTAGCCGGTGGACGAGCGGAAGGGATCGAACAACAAAAGCGACATGTTGTAGTAGGCACAGTAAAATCAGTAGAATCACACAAAACTTGTTCTTTTTCGATTTGACTTGCCTGCCCTCACTGCGGCTTTCGCTTATATACCGCCCAAGATAGTCATCGCGAAAGGCCTGGAAGCATTTTCGTTGATTTTTTCGCAGCCCCGCCCACTTTCCTCAAATTTCGGGAAAACTCTGCACAGTGCGAGAAAGTCGAAAGCAGCGAATGAGCCCGCTTTTTCTCTGATCTCTAGTTTTCTTTTAGTTTTCATTTGTCTTTTGCGTAGGCGCTCTTTCTCTGCGGTCTCCGATAAATTGCGTGCTCTCTCGAATTAGCGAAAGAAAAGAGCGAAACTCGTGCGTTTTTGCGGAAATTTCGCGAATGCGTGTGGTTTTTTGGCCTTTCTCTCGCACTTTCCGCACGTTTCCAGTTGTTTTCGAATATAAATGTTGTTCTTTCTTCCTTTTTTTGCGAAGCGGGAGAGTGCTTTGCGCCCTATAGCGTACATGCAACGTCCGCGTTCCCTCTGAATTGGCACGTTCGCTTGTTTACGAATTCCACTGCCAAAGATAGGATCGAAAACAACAAAAAGATACAGTAAACTCGATTAATATGAAGAGTAAGTAAATAAGACCGGTGGAAGAATAGAAGATGCAAGGAAACTCAATTAGAAAATTTTTTTGTTTACACCCGGAGCCATGTGTAATATAATGAATTTCAGAAATTGGCCGAAAGCTTCCAGACAACGATGGCAGAAGCGAACAGAACGGCCGAGGAATGCCTGGGAACGATGAGGACAGTCAGAGCGTTTGCTTGTGAGCACAAAGAATCGGAAAGATTTGATGAACGCTTGGAAGAAACGCTGAGAATTATGAGGGTAAGTTTTGGTTTCCTTCTTTGTGTTCTTGACTTTTAGATGGGATGTGATAGCTAATACGTTGTTGGAAAGGCAATTACTTGTTTTTCAAGCAATGTGGGCTAGAAATTTATATTGTACATGGAACAGATGTCAAAGATTTATTTCATACGTTTCAGCGGAAGACCATTGCCTACATGGGATATGCCTGGCTGAACGAGCTCTCCGAGAACGTGGTCTTGATCTCAGTCTTGGTTTATGCCGGCCATTTAGCCATGAACGGGCTCCTAACCATCGAACAAATCACTTCTTTCCTTCTGTATCAACTTCAGTTGGGTGAAAATTTTTATGTAAGTTCTTTTTGAATTGTTCATTTCGTCTTTAGAATCTGAACTACGTCTTCTCCGGACTGATGGAAAGTGTTGGCGCCTCCAGAAAGGTATTCGAATACATGCACAAGAAGCCGGACATCCCCTACAATGGCACAGTGGAACGACCAGTCCAAGGAAGCATTGAATTCGAAGATGTGTCCTTCTCCTACCCAACCAGACCCAATTCCAAGGTCTTGAAGGTAATTTTTGTTTAGTTTTTATATTACTTTCGATTTGTTAAACTAAAATTGAGGTAGAACAATGTGTTATTGTTGTTTTTTTAGCATCTGAGCTTGTCCATCAAGCCTGGAGAGACGGTTGCCCTGGTTGGACCATCCGGCGCCGGAAAGTCATCCATCATCGCTCTGCTCGAATACTTTTATGAAGTGAACAAGGGGAAGATCAAGTTGGATGGAGTTGATATAAAAGAATACGCTCACAGATTCTACCATCAACAGGTCTCTCTGGTTAGCCAAGAGCCCACCTTGTACTCGGGATCAGTGAGGTACAACATCCTCTATGGATGTGAGGAATGGGCGACGGATGATGATATGATTGAAGCGGCTAAACTGGCCAACGCCCATGGTTTTATCACCGAGCTGGAACATGGCTACGACACCAAATGCGGAGAAAAAGGAGTTCAGATGAGTGGTAAGTGGGATTACGAAGAATTATGACCGTTTTTTCATGAATCATGCAGTTTTATCATGTGTAATATGAAAAGTTTTGATTTTCCCCCGTTATTTGTCTTTTTATTTATGAATAATGTTTCAGGAGGCCAAAAACAACGAATTGCCATTGCCAGAGCCCTTGTGCGCAAACCCGCCGTTCTCATTCTTGACGAAGCAACGTCCGCATTGGATGCCGAGTCCGAGTACATTATCCAACAAGCATTGAATCAGTGCTCGGTTGGTCGCACAGTGATCGTCATCGCGCATCGGTTGAGCACCGTCGAGAAGGCGGACCGCATCTTTGTCATCCAGAAAGGCCAAGTCGTCCAAGAAGGAAGCCATCAAACCCTGATGGAGGTGGATGGAATCTACAAGAATCTTGTGAAGCGACAATTGTTGAATGGAGCAGAATCGAGTGGACAAGACGACTCCGGAGTTATGGATTCACCGGAATCTGTGAAACAACAAGAACCAACCAATTCGGATCAAGTACAACAAGTTGATGAACTGGTCCTCCCCGAGGAATCTCAGGCTTAAAGGCATGCTTTCGAACACGTAATTTTGCATTCTTTTCTCCATTTTGCATTAGGTTTTGGGCTGTTCATTGGGCATCCGGACCTTGTTTTAGGTGATTTTTCGAAATTTGTTGGTTCTCCTATACTTGCGCTACAAACTATTTGGTACTCCATGTCGGTTGTTTTAAGCAATTACGAGGTATCTCCATTATTTATTTTGTCTGCAAATTTAATTTTTCATCGACTCCTTTCAACCTAGTTGTTCTCTTTTCTGTCGAATTTTTCGTTTTTTATTTATTTTGTTATTCTTGTTTTCTCTTTTGTAATGACATAATAAATTGTTGGTTACAAGGTTTCGGTTTATATTACACAAAGAAGAACTCGATTCCTCACTTTTCGAAATGAAACTCCAACTATTCTTCTGTTTTTTAGCGGTTAGTCTTTGGAACAGACATGGAAGAGCGGAAGATTGTGGATTGTATCAAGGTGACTTCAAAAAGTCCAGTGTGTAAGTTGCGTTTGATACCCTTTGTATGTCCAGAAGAAAAAATAATGCAAATCCTACAAAAAATTCAATTTTCAGGCTGAAACGGCTTGATTACTGTATGAAAAATCGATTGTAAGTTTGAATCGGCCACTTTGAGTAGAGTCAGTTACAGTGGGGGAGATCCAGTGACAAAAAACGTACCATTTGGTATCCGGGTAGCATCAAAAATGTGGCAAAATGCTTCCCTCTCCAAGCGAAAAAACTTCGTTTTGAAAGGCGCGCCCTTTCCCTCACAAAAAAGAGATTTTTGATGCTTCCCGGATGCAAAATGGTACGTTTTTGCCACTGGATCAGGTCCCCCACTGTATGACGAATTTTTCATTTAGCGAATCGCCCTGCCGACCGTTAACCCAGCCCGAAATTCTGCTGGAAAAAGCGTTCAAAAGGCTTTGGAATTTAAGTAAGTTTCAAACTCTTCGATGAAATTACCATGTTATCCCTAAAATAATAGCCAAAAATTAAGCTTCGACTGACATTGGAAGTGCCGAGGGCTGCTCCAAAATCATAAAACAACAGCTTCCGCAAGCCTACGATCAGATCCTTCGCAAATACGATAAGTTGAACGAGAAGGCCTTCTGGAATGAATGTCTTGATGTGACGGACATCTGTCGGTAAGTTACGACTTTCTATAGTGAAATGTTTCAGTGACAACATGAAATTCGTCTACTCCGGGACTTGTTTCTTGATGACTCACTGTTCGAAAAAGTTGGCTTCCATCGCTTATGTCATGCTTTATTCGTATCAACAAATCTCTGTGCAGACTGAAATGCCGTTACGGTAAGATGGGGTGGCTTTTTGTAGCTATTCGATTTAGCTCTAAGCTGGCTTGGGAGATAGTTTTAGGCATTAGACATAAAAATATTTAAAAAATTTTTAAAAAATATTAAAAAATTTAAGATTTTTGGGGTAATATAAACTTTTTTAATTCTGCCACTTTGATTTCATTTATAACATAATTGATGTGAAAAACGGCCTTTATTTTAGCTGCGATGGCACCTCAAAGTTTGATCCTCTCCCCGAAATTTATTTCATGGACAGCAATGTTGACATGAACATTCTGGATAACAGGTTCTGTGAGGGTCTTCCGATTCCACCATTGCGAGAGCAGAGGTTATTCCGACAGTTCAAGAAGAAGGAATAATTTTTATGATGACTTTAAATTTGCGACAAAAAAAGCTTAATTTGTAATCTTCATGACATCAATAAACTGAAAATATTATAGCCTGAAAACAGAATCTATCGGCAGTTTTAAAGTGTTCAGGCTATTTTTAGAAAATTTAAGTGCCTATGATTAAAATTAAAATTACGGTATGTTACAGTAACTCAATTGCAACTTTTAGGTTTCGCTGAAGCCAAAGGAAGAGCAAAGTTTTAATTTTTTTGCAAAATTTTCATTTTTTTTATTTGTGGCTTGCTTTGAGACCATAAGTAAAATTTCAGGGGGCGGGCGCACACTTGCGGGCAACCACTTTGCGGGCAAATTTTTTGCGGGCGGCCAGCACCGGCATTTGCGGGCAGTCTGGGACATTTGCGGGCAGGGTCGACAGTTGCGGGCAGCCTGGAAGATTTGCGGGCAGCCGACATTTGCGGGCAACCGACACCTGATTGTGAGGGTAACAGGGTGGAGGTGGTAAAATTACTATGCTATTTTGGAAATTTGCCGACATTTGCGGGCAGCCACATTTGCGGGCAACCGGCGCTTGAGGATAACAGGGTGGAGGTGGAAAAATTACTGCAATATTTTGGAAGTTTTCCGACATTTGCGGGCAAGCAATACTTGCGGGAAGCCGACATTTGCGGGCAACAGTTCCAAAAGTACCAATACAGTCTGTGTGATTGTTTTTTCCTGTTGCCCGCAAATGTCGGCTGCCCGCAAGTGTCGGCTGCCCGCAAGTGTCGGTTGCCCGCAAGTGTCCCAGGCTGCCCGCAAACGTTTCAGCTGCCCGCAAATGTGACCCCCCAAATTTTGCCCGCAAAGTGGTTGCCCGCAAAAAATTTGCCCGCAAAATGGTTGCCCGCAAAGTGGTTGCCCGCAGTGTCGCGACGCCTTTCAGGGAAATCTAGACGCTTGGTAAGAAGAAACTTTCTTTTTTGGGAAAAAATAAATATTTTTGTGTTTACTGTGCAAATCTAACAAACATGTGTTCAACATTTCCTCGTGTTTCCCTCCGGTCATTGCTCAACGCTCTGCATTTGTCTTCGAGGCATTTCGAATATGACGGAATGACCAGCGAACACTCATCGTCAGATCGCTTTTTTGATCAAACGAAAAAAAATTTCAAAAAGTCTTTAATTTTTGACCTTCTTATCATTTCGGTTTATTTCACTATCTTTTAAGAAAAAATTCAATTTATGTTAGCTTCCTTATAACGTCATAATTTTCGGTGATCTTGAAATCTACGGATTGCGCTTCAAGTTCATTTCGAATAAAGAAATCTTTTTCGCCACGGATTTTAATTATTTTTCAGATGATTCGTCGAATCCAGCCGTTATTTGGCTTGGCCAAAACAACTACCACTTCAACCGGATGTCGGAGTCTCTCTTATGTGGTTGATCGTAAGGTTTTTTCAAAATTTTTTTTTTATTTTTCATCATAATTTTTTCACTTCAAAATCCGACCAAAAGTCAATTTCCGCAAAGTCCCCCTCACCGCACTGTGCAAGGATGTCAAAAAATTCGCACAGTGCAAAGAAGTTTGTGCAGTCTCCGCCCACTTGAGTCCTTTTCAGAGTTTCCGCTTCAAAAATTAGCGACAACCCGTCGCACATCCAAAATCGCTGCGATTTGCCCCCGCGACATCAAATTTGTCGCTGGTTTTGCCAAAATTTGGTGCGATTCCTTTGCAAAAGTGAATGCGAGAGAGTGTGCGATTGAAGGAGAACGGAAAAGAGGGGAAAAGAAAAGTCTGCTTTTTGAATTGAAGAGAATCGGGAATGCACGGTGCGGGTGAAACAAACAAAATTGAAGGTGCACTGTGCAGTTGGGTTTGAATGCAGAAAGGGTTTCTTGGCTCCGAATTTATGAAAATTTGCATGTCGTCTTGTCATTACTGTTTATTTATTTACTGAATATTTTTTAGCGACCCTCGGGCTAAATCAAGATCAACTCGAAATCCAAAAGTTGGCCAAAGATTTTGCCAAAAACGAACTTTTCCCAGTGGCCGAACAATGCGATCAACAGGTAAGAAGAATTTTTTTTTAGCATTCTTCAGTTGTTTCGTATCAAAGCCCATAAAATTTTATTTGCGTTCAGGAACAACTCCCTTTGGATAAGCTCAAAAAAGCCGGAGATGTGGGCTTCGGAGCGATTTATTGCTCCGAGGAGCATGGAGGAACCGGACTCTCTCGATTCGACGCTTCCTTGATCTTTGAACAGCTGTCAATGGCCGATGCGAGTACGGCCGCGTACATTAGTATCCATAATATGGTAGCTGCGATGATTGATACCTACGGGTCAGATGAAATCAAAGCAAAATACCTGCCCAAAATGGCCTCTTTTGAATGGCTGGGAAGTTATTGTCTTACCGAGCCGGATTCTGGTGAGTAATTTTATTTTGTTTATGGTAATAACCCCAAAAATTCTCCAAAAATTTTTTGCATCATCCTTTAGGTTCTGACGCCGCTGCTCTCAAAACGAACGCCAAAATCGATGGTGACCACTATGTAATCAACGGATCCAAAGCTTTCATCAGTGGCAGCGGAGATTCCAAAGTTTATTTGGTAATGTTACGTCATCATGGGCAGCCCGGCCCTAAGGGCATTTTCTGCCTGCTGGTCGAAAATGATCGTCCCGGCTTTAGCGTAGGCAAAAAGGAGAGGAAGTTGGGCTGGAACACCCAACCAACTCGAATTATCACCTTCGAAGATTGCCGGGTTCCGATCAGTAATCGGATTGGCGGCGAAAACCAAGGATTTAATATAGCCATGGCGGGGTTGAATGGAGGAAGAGTCAACATTGCGTCCTGCTCGTTGGGGGCAGCACAGGCCAGCTTCGACGCCGCGATTGATCATGTCCAGGTAGGTGAGACAAGAATAAAAAGTTTTCTAAAAAAGTATCAAGAAAATGGCTAGAATATTTGATCTTTTTGCTTTAGCTTACGTTCAAAATAGCTAACTTCCGTATCCGATATCCCTTCTATGTTCTTACAGATCCGAAAACAATTCAATCAACCGATCGGTGACTTCCAGTGGACTCAATTCAAACTGGCCGAGATGGCCACTAAACTGGTCTCTTCGAGGCTGCTTATCAGGAACGCAGCCGATCATTTGACCAGGAAAACTCCTCATGCCGCTTCGTTATGCGCCATGGCAAAACTTCATGGGACGGATGAGTGCTTTAATGTGAGTTTCGAGAGCTACAAGGACCTGATCCAGTGGCATAAAACGTGCCATTTTGCATCCGGAAAGTATCAAAAATGTGGCAAAATACCTCCCTCTTCAAGTGAAAAAACTCCGCGATTTTAAACGCGTGCCCGCTTTTTTTGTGAGAAAAAGGGCGCGCCCTTCAAAACAAAGTTTTTTCACTTGGAGAGGGAAGCATTTTGCCGCATTTTTTGATGCTTCCAGGATGCAAAATGGTACGTTTTTTGCCACTGAAAATTTTACTCCAAATTCTTCCAGGTGGTGAACCAAGCGCTCCAAATGTTCGGAGGATACGGTGTGCTCAAAGATTATCCCATTGAGAAGCATTTGAGAGATTGCCGAGTCCATCAGATCATCGAGGGCACCAACGAAGTGATGAGAATGATCTTGGGAAGAGATGTTTTAACCAAAGAAAAGTACTCATAATATGCTCAATATACATTTTACTACTCTTTAACGGGTTAATGAAACTTCCTATTGCTTTGATAACATTCGTTGAGGCCTTTTTTCATTTCTATCGGAAAATGTTTTGGCAAAAACAAATTTTGAAACTCCAATTTTTGGAACTTTACTCGTTTTATCATTAGAATTGGAACTAGTGTTTGCAAACAGCAAAAATATAGTGAGTATAAAGGCTTGATTAGGTAGAACAGAACAGTCACAAGAAGCCGTCGGTTGGTCAAAAAAGATCCACTTTTTTTGCCATGGATAAAATTACAGTGAGGGTCCTGATCCAGTGGCCAAAAACGTACCATTTTGCAACCGGGAAGCATCAAACATGTGGCAAAATGCTTCCCCCTCCAAGGGAAAAAACTTCGTTTTGAAGAGCGCTTTCCCTCACAAAAAGAGCGGGCGCGCTTTTGAAATCGGAGTTTTTCCCTTGGAGAGGGAGGTATTTTGCCACATTTTTTAACACTTCCTGGATGCCAAATGGTACGTTTTTTGCCACTGGATCAGGTCCCCCACTGTATATCCTGTTTTTGATTTACCATAAAAAGTAATTCTCTCTTATTTTCGCAGTAAACACCATCTACTTTAGCGCATGTATCTATCATTCATCCCTTTCCCAAGTATTAAAAATAATATAATCATCAGCCATGTGACTGCTGCAAAAGGTCCCTATTTCACTTCATTTTGCCCCAAGAGGCTCCCCTTTCATTCGAAACATGTGTCGGAACGCGTGTTCTCTAACGTGGCTGACCAGAAAAGAGATTGTTGCTTGGGTGTTTGTTGAGATCGCAAATTATCGCATATAACGCTAGAGAAGAGTTCTCTGAACAGTCAATCTTTTTTCGGCATGAAACTCTAGGAATATACGTATCTTTGGAGGGGATGACATATGTCAGTTGAGGGCTTTAAGGCGCCTCGAGTTGAGGAATTCATTGAAGATTAGGGAAGGCCTTCTGGTTTGGTACTTTGGCGCCATAGTCATAAGTGAATCCTATTTCTCAAAATTTTCAAAAACATCTCTTACAGCCGTTCTTTTTTCGAATTCTAGCCCGCGTTTCATCTAAACTTATGTTAGGATGTTTTAAATTAAATTAAATTTGAAATCACAGTGTTGTAATTTTTTTTGACGACAAAAACCAAGTTTTATAGTGAAGGTCTTTTATGAAATTTGGCATAAATTTTGAAAAATCATCTCTTCCCAGCGGGATTCGAAAAGTTGTTTCCCAAAAACCATTTTTTTGTCTGGCCGCCTCCCCTCTTTTTTGACGCATCCTACCACAGGAACGATTGTAAAATCTCAGCTGCGTCTGCAAAGGGAGAGCCAAAGTTTTGAGATTTACATGTGCGCTACAGTGGGAGACCTGATCCAGTGGCAAAAAAGTACCATTTTTCATCCGGGAAGTATCAAAAATGTGGCAAGATGCTTCCCTCTCCAAGTGAAAAAACTCCGGTTTCAAAAGAGCGCCCGCTCTTTTCGCTTCAAAATGAAGTTTTTTCACTTGGAGAGGGAAGCATTTTGCCACATTTTTGATGCTTCCCGGATGAAAAATGGTACGTTATTGCCACTGGATTAGGCCCGTCACTGTAATTACAATAGGCATTAAAGTTTTTATGAATATCGGAGGGTCAGAATTGTGGTAATCCCACTTTATCATAAAATTTCCCATCGCATTTTGATTTTCAAACAAAATTTCACTTCAATTTCCATCCCCATGCTCTAATACAACTCCTAAACTGTTTCTTGGTCATCCCCATCTTTTTGCGTCTCACGCGAAACGTGAACAGACGGCTGCCCCCAACTGTTCGACTTGAACTCGAACGAAAAAAAGCGGAAAGAACTATGAAGCAACCGTTCCCACCTCAAAGAACGTTCACATTTCGGCGTTGCAGATCACCACGAGTTCCCCATTCGTGAAAAGAGCGGCCGCGGAAGGGGCGGCGAAATTTCGAACGACACGAGGCTACTTTTAGAGACTTTTTACGAGTTTATCCAGTAATTTGCCACAGAAATTTAATTTTTTCCGACGTTCAATCGGTAATTAGGGCTTTATAGGGCACACTAAATGTTTTAGAGTAATTGGACACTCAGATTCGGCCAATTCTAAGGGATTTTAGCCCTGTTTGGCTTAATTTTATGTCTAAACTGATTTTATTTGTGGCAGAATGCAGTTTTGTGAATCCCTGAGGGACTAAACGTATGTAATAGCTTTCGTATGTCTTAATTAACACCATGGCCACAAAATACACATAAGATCACATTGTTTTAGCCGTTTTCTCCTCGATATTATCCTAGTAGTATTTAAAGTAATAAACATTGCTAAAATTTCGCGTGTTTTTGGTTTTCTGAAGCGCTATGAGTGCCTTCAGAGCTTTCTGAAGGCGTAAACAAGGTTTCAGACAAACATCTCGCGCTAAAAAACATTGTTTTAACCAGGATTCTTGAATTTTTCACTAGAAACCTCTAAAATAATATTTTTTTGCCTTTCTAGACGTGTGATCTCGAAATCACGCTCGAATCACCTCATGAACACGTCATTCGAGCCGATTTGAAAGGTACATTCCAACCTCCAGACAAAAAATAAACTCCGTTTTCCGTCTAAAATTTGTTTTCCTTTCCTTGGATTTTCCCGATTCCCGTCCGCTTTTTTCTTCTTTTTTTTTGAATCCCGTGCCCAAATCGAGGGCCAAGGCCGAAAAAGGCCAACAAAAATGGAATTTCCCGCTATTCTCTAACTTTTTATGGCAATTTATGGGTATGTGACTCTTGGGAGAGGGAATTCCCGCCATTTTTTTGGTATTTTTTGAAGAACAGCAACCCAGACAATGTTTTTTCCCATGCATTTCTGATGTAATTCCTTGTTAAAACTGTCTTATTCACATGCAGACAGCAGATTTTGTATCATTTTATGATTTTTCCCTGATTTTATGTGTGAAACGGAATTTTTTTAGGTGTTTACCTAGTATAATATAAAAATTTCTCCGGATGTTTGATGTTTTGATTATAAAACACTGGAATATGATGTATGACTTATTACGATCGTGTTTTCCCGATATTAAACAATAATTTATACCGAAGTTACCTTTTTTATAACTAGTGCAATATAATTTTTTTTCCAGTTTTAAATTTTTTTGTTTTTAGTGTTTGAAGCAGGTGTGAAGATGCGTTCGGTGAGGATTGCGCAGATCGGGCGTGTTCGTCAAGCCCGTTTGGCCTCCTCGTTGCCCCGGAAGTCCTTGAACGGCATCGGGGCGCGAGAAATTGCGTATCCTTTGGCCAATCCAAAGCAACAAGTCCGAAGTTTGGACAAGGCTTTTGATAGAATCAAGTCTGGTGATCACATTTTCGTCCATGGTATTGCGGTAACGCCCACATACTTGTTGGAAGGGCTCAGTGAAGCGGCCAAGGCCAAGGATTTGAAGAAGATTACCCTCCATCATCTCCATCTCGAAGGCCCAACCCCTTGGACGGCGCCGGATGTTAAGAGCAAGTGTTTTTGATTATTTCGTTTGTTTTTCTTTAGGTTGAACGGAAAAGTAACGAAAGAAACAGCGGGTTCTTATCTGTGATGTACCAGATGGTGTCTAGGCTGAAAATTCTGACAAGGTTAATGAACTTTGGTGATGAACGCACTTCATCACGTTTTTTTTATGATTTTGAGCTGATAGTTGAAGGAAAATTTCTTTGATTTCAAGACCTTTTATATCGAAATTTTCGTCTGATGCCTAGTGGAAGAGATAATTGACACAAAGGCGAAAAGTTACCCTAATTTTGACCTTTTCAGATAGAATTCGGTCGAACTCGCTCTTCACCGGTCACAATCTTCGTCATGCGGTCAATGATGGCACTGCCGACTTCAACTCCATCTTCCTTCACGAGATCCCTCTACTTTTTCGTCGGGGCCAAGTTAAGCTTGCCGCAGCGCTAGTCCAGGTTTCTCCACCCGATGCCAAAGGATTCTGCTCCCTCGGAACCAGTGTTGACGCCGCCCGGGCTGCTTGTTGTCATGCTGACATCATTATTGCCGTCTCCAATAAGTACGTTCCCCGCACTTTTGGCGATGGCGTCATCCACTCGTCGCATTTTGATGTGCTGGTCGAACATGACACTCCATTGCATCAGAGAACGATTGGAGAGAGCGGAGAGATTGATCAAAAAATCGGGCAGATCATTGCCGAAAATTTGGTTGAGGATGGAGCCACTTTGCAGATGGGTAAGATATTATTTGAAGCCTTGTGCATGCTGTGTTGAATTTTTAGGTATTGGTGCCATCCCTGATGCTGCTCTGGCCGCCTTGAAAAACCATAAAGACCTGGGTATTCACACCGAAATGTGCTCGGACGGTTTGCTGCCTTTGATCGAGTGTAATGCCGTTACGAACGGCAAGAAATACCATCATCCCGGTAAAACAGTCACCAGTTTTGCGTATGGAACTCAGAAACTCTACGATTTCCTCGATGACAACACCTCCGTCCACTTTGGAGATGTCCAATGGGTTAATGACCCGTCAATTGTCAGACAAAATCCCAAAGTTTGTGCCATCAACTCGGCTGTGGAAGTCGATCTGACTGGTCAGGTAAGACTTAAATCACATAAAAGTCATGGTTTTGCGTCAAATTTTTGCTTAGAAAATGAATTCTTATCGCTTTTATATACGCGATGACTAGCTGGTCATGGATAATGTAAAAATTCCAATGAAAACAGATATTTTTTTGATGGAGTAGTCAGTGGATGTAATTTCAGGTTGTCGCAGACTCCGTTGGTAAACGATTCCTCTCCGGTTTCGGTGGGCAAGTCGACTTTATCAGAGGCGCAGCTCTGGGTGATGATGGAGAAGGTCGGCCGATCATTGCTCTCCCATCAGCCGCCAAAAAGGGTCAATCCAAGATTGTCCCGACAATTAATGAGGTATGCTTACTGTTTACAGTGATTTGAAGTTAATCCTAGTCGATTAAAACTGTATAATATCGATATTATCCATGATCTTACCGAAATTATTGATAACACCGAAATTTTTGATAATTCCCCTTATCTTCAGGGAGCTGGAGTTGTGACATCCCGTTCCCATGTCCATTACGTTGTCACTGAATACGGTATTGCTCAATTGTGGGGCAAGAACATGAGACAACGCGCTTATGAACTGATCAAAATTGCCCATCCCGACAACCGAGAGGCCCTCGAAAAGGCGGCCTTCGAACGTCTGAAGGTCATCCCCACTGCGGATTAGGTCTCCTCCCATTAATTATATTGTTTGTACCACTCAACGGCCATGTTTGCATTGCTTTACACGGCCCCTCAAATCTCTGGGTTCCTTCTTTTGTCATGTAAATGATAAACAATTGAATTGAAATTGAATCGTATTTTGTATTTTCTTGTGGTAGTTGCAATCTATATTTAAATTATTTTCACAATACAATATACAAAGTTTACCGGTAAAAATATGAGTACAGGGTATACAAGGGTAAATTACTATATTTTTTTCTGAGATATGTGGGCAAAATGGCATTGGAATGGGCTAGTAAGTATACAAACTGACTATTGTGAGATAAATTAATTGCAAAATCAGACAGCAGATAACTTGAATAAAAAAACTGGGGAGATTAGTCATGGATAACATATCGGATTTCATGGCGAACCTTAGAGCTAGACAGTAAATTTTTGGTATCTGCATATTCTAGGAGACTTAACGTACAGTTACGGACCCGATCCAGTGGCAAAAACGTACCATTTTGCATCAGGGAAGCATCAAAAATATGGCAAAATGCTTCCCTCTCCAAGTAGAGCGCGCTTTTGAAATCGAAGTTTTTTCACTTGGAGAGGGAAGCATTTTGCCACATTTTCGATGCTTCCCGGATGCAAAATGGTACGTTTTTTGCCACTGGATCAGGTCCCCCACTGTGGCTCCCATAATGTAGTATCTTCATTTATCACTAAAGAACTCTTGGATCCCATTTGTTTTTCCATTAATTCCCGGGACTTTTTTCCCTTCATTTCCATTCTCCGGCTCTTGTCGGAAGACCACCTTGCCTTCCATATTTCTCGCTACCTCTCGGCCATTTTCAATCGAGCATGTCACCATCTCATTGGCCATTTTCTTTTGTTTCTCATCTAATCCAGCGCCGTCTCTTTGGTCAAAATATTGTTCAAGATTTTCTTTGGATTCCTTTGAATACTCGCTAACTCTGACTCCAACCGCTTCCAGGACTTCAGTTAACTTCTTCGAGTAATCCATATGACCTTTGATCTAAAGGAAAAAAGTGTAAACTTTAGACCACCTAAATTACCAACTTAATACCCAAAAAATTCAAAAGAAACTTACAATATGACTCAAATTGACGTTCACAATCTTCCTCTCCTCTTTGACGGCCACAGGGCCTGTTCCGGCAATAGTGAACTGAACACTCATCGTTCTATAGAGGAATCTCAACAGCCAATCAGTAGTGCAGTATCCATTCACTACTCGACCTCCAACTACGGTGCACAACTGTTTCCATTGCTTTGTGGAGGCACTAACCGGCGCTCCCAGGAGAATGACATCTTCTATGATGCCTAAAAAGAAAATTTTTGATGCTGGTTTATTTTGCACTAGGAAAATTTTTGGAGCATGAATCATACAGTTGGGACCTGATCCAGTGGCAAAAAACGTACTATTTTGCACCCGGGAAGTATCAAAAATGTGGCAAAATGCTTCCCTATCCAAGTGAAAAAACTTCGTTTTGAAGGGCTTCCCTCACAAAAACAGCGGGTTCGCTTTTGAAATCGGAGTTTTCTCACTTGGAGAGGGAAGCATTTTGCCACATTTTTGATACTTCCCGGATGTAAAATGGTACGTTTTTTGCCACTGGATCACATCCCCCACTGTACAATATAAAAATCCTTTAAAAAAGCGAAAAATCGTTTACCTTTCGAGTCCTCCCGCTTGCTCATGGCTAACAGGCAGTGGTATATCACTCTGGCACCTAAGGAGAAGCCTATCAGTGTTATTGGTCGTTTTCCATGAGCTCTTGTTAGTAAAACATCGGCCAACTGCTCGCCCACCTCCGCTGCACGGCTCACACAGACATTCCAGGGATTGTCAATCACCGACGCGGTCGACACCAGTACTAGAGGCCATGCGATCGCCGTGACCAGACCTGAAACGAGAAAAATTTTATTAGGTTGGACGGAAAGTTCGTACGATTTTTTACCCAACTTTCAATTTAATTTTTTTCGCGCCAAGACCGATTGCCCACCGTAAATACCTAGCATATACAAGAGTACAGTGTGAAGATTTATATGCTACGTGCCAATCGTTAGCTCCGCCAAAACGAGCTTAATTATAAGAGGTTTTCCGCTTTGCGGCTATTTCGGGTAGGGTCCAGAACGCAAACTCTAGTTTCCAGATCGCTTTCGATGAAGCTCTGAAACTTTTTAGGCAATGTCCAGTGGTCTTTCTGACTACGTTAAACACAATTAGAAATCATAAAAAAGCGTGTCGGATAAAATAATAGCAACACTTTCAACCAAGTCTTCAGCAAAGGCCCCCTATGAAAACTTTTTCTTATTATTCCGCGTATTTCTTATTGTCTGTCTCTGTAATAGGGTGCAGTAAGGCACATAGAGAGCCCTTTACGTGCAACATGAGTAAACCGGATCACAGATGCCTCGGGTTATCCGCAAAGAGACAAAATTGCCAAAAATTATAGCTGTAGAGCAATGCGCGTAATTTTGTGACAGTCAACAATGGTAGCCCATTGTTTCACGAGGTAGTAGAGCAATAAAGCGGCTCTATTTTGCACCCAAGAAAGGGAGGAGTGGAAAGATGTTATGAGCTCTTTTTAGAATTGTACGGGATGATCCAACAGTTCACCAACGATTTTTTGAGAAAAGTAATTTAGTTCTATTATGTCGTACGGCAAAACAGTTGGCTATTGAGGGGTAGCTGAGTGTAAGGGATTGTCCTTAGTTTCTGCATATCATAGTTTTACACATAGAAATGCACCGGCAAAGCGGCGGTTGCAGTTATATTCAAACTTGGGGTGGTCCTGCAGAAGTCAAATTTTATGGCTATGTTTTGATTTAGTCCCCGGCGACTTTACGCATATTAAGAGCTACAGAAGAAGGCTTTTTAGCAGTGCCAAAACAATTTCCTGGTAGGCCTTATTAAACAAACCAGCCAAGGATTTGTAATTTTGGACCAAAGATGGGTAAATGTCTAAATTAAGTTCTCAGTTCGTAAATGCTTAAGATGGCTGAAGGTTGTACTGCTATATAGGGATGCCTGTCCCCTACCGACACCATATATTTGTGTTTGTCTTTTTCCATCAGCGCAAGAAAAAATAGCAGCAGTAAAAAATCGTACGAACTTTCCGTCCAACCTAATATTATTTCAGGCAGAAAACAATTAGCGATTCTTTTAAATTCCACCATAAAACGGTAGATTCATTAGGATTCAATGTTATTACCAGCTAACGCAGTTTCCATCAGTGTATGTTGGATTGCGTAAGAGATCGCGAATGACATCAAATAATCGATCGCCTTCCCCAATTCCATCAGGTATTTACTCTCATATCGCAAAGTATACTGTTCCTTGGACATCATCAAGTGTCGCCATTGCACTTTGAATGCGTTTTCTCCGTCCTAAAATACGATTTTTTGAGAATTTTATTTCGCACAGTGCAATCGTTAAAATATAGTGGGGGACTGATCCAGTGGCAAAAACGTAACATTTTGCGTCCGAGAGGTATCAAAAATGTGGCAAAATGCTTCCCTCTCCAAGTGAAAAAACTTCATTTTGAAAGGCGCGCTTTCGAAATCTGAGTTTTTTCACTTGGAGAGGGAAGGCCACATTTTTTATACTTCCCGGATGCAAAATGATACGTTTCTTGCCACTAGATCATGTCCCCCACTGTAGGCTTCGACCGCACAGTGCAATTTCTAAACCCCTTACCTGTTCATCGATCCATCCGCTAACACATAGGACACAATGAAGACTCCGATCTTCAGTGAGACTCTCCACAACAAATTCATCGATAGCTCCCACCCGTTTCTTCATTTTATACCCGGCCAATCCAGCGCCAGCGGCGCCAAAAACAGAGCCCATAATGGCGGCGCCTGTGGTTGTGGCAAGACCAGCGACCGCTCCAGTCCCCACAACCACTGAAGCCGCGCCTGCGACAAATGGGGCGGCTAGTCCTCCGGTAAGACCTAAAATAATACACTTTTTTTATTATTCTAAGTAACAGTTTTGATTTTCGGATGTAAAATGCCTCAAATAAAATTTTAAATGGTTAACTCACCTATCAGAACCCCACCAACACCGCCGGCAACTCCAATCATCGCATATCTCTTGAACTTTTTCATTTTCGAATTGCGTTCTCTTGTTGCTTTAGCCGCTCTAAACAAAAATTGAGGTTACGCGATGTACAGTGGGGGATCTGATCCAGTGGCAAAAAACGTGTCATTTTGCATCCAGGAAGTATCAAAAATGTGGCAAAATGCTTCCCTCTCCAAGTGGAAAAACTCTGAATTTCAAAATCGCGCCAGCTCTTTTTGTGAGGGAAGCCCTTCAAAATCGGGTTTTTTCACTTGGAGAGGGAGGCATTTTGCCACATTTTTGATACTTCCCGGATGCAAAATCGTACTTTTTTGCCACTGGATCAGGTCCCCACTCTATTACCATGTAATAGATGCAAAATACGGCATATTGAAACCCACTGAAAGTTTACAAAGCTTTTCGCAAAGTTCTCACCTTACCCAAAATTATACTACCATTAACATCTGATGTCAAAAAAATATAAAATTTCAGATGAAAACTGATTTAGTTCAGTGAAAAAACTCATAAAAAAGTTCTACACACTAGCACACTCACAATTACAACAACAAAATCACTATACAACACCTAAACTGACCCTTTTTGGATGTTCTGTCTATAAAAGAAAATCATTACAAATTCACTTCCCAGAAACTTACTCAGTCTCCACATAATCCTGATTCATTAGAGAGTAGACCAAGGTGTCCTCAATGTCCTCAAAATCGTTCCATTTGACCCCCAACAACGCACCCGTATGACGTAACAATACCCGATGGCGACTGTCATAAGCACCTAAAAAGCGTCGATAAATACGGCCAAAATCTCGTACCTTCTTCCAAAACTGTGAGTAAAAAGCTTCCTAGCAGTGAGATCGTGCCATTCTTCTTGACAAAATCATTATTTTTGATGGCTCCGATGAGTTCTGGGATGTCTTCGTGGTCTTCTTCGACGCGTCTTTTCAGCTCCTCAAAATCCTCGGAAATTTCCAAATTTTCGACGATTAGTTGATCACAGGCTTTCAGAAATCCTCTAAAACAATTTCAATTAGGATGAACAGACTGTTTACTATCTAAAAAGCAAAAAATCAACCGACTTACAACGAACTCTCATCCAAATTCGGCTCCAAATCCCACTTCAACACCAACATCAGGACTGTGCCAAAGTTTTTCCGCGTTTCCGCATCCAAAGTCTTGTTGAGTTCGCTTTTCGCAAGGATAACGTGCTTCGGCATGACATCTAAAACAATTCTCAATCAATTTACAGCACAAAAACAGGAAAATTTTAGGAGAAAATTAGATTTCCCTGAAGGCTTGTCTTTCTTCCAGAATTTTTTAAAAACATTTTTGAATCCCATTTCTGACCGGATTTACATAATGATTATGAGTTGGAATGAAAGACTACTCCCTACGAAATTTATAAAGTTCTAGAGATTACAAATTGTTGGTTGAAATTTCAGTTATATTATCTATGATAATATCGGATGAAAAGGTGATCATAAGTGCAAATAGTGGGCTCTTTTTAAACTACAACGAATGAGAACATCATAAAAGGCCGATTTATGCAGCTTTAGCGTGAAAAGACAAAAGGATTTTAGAGAAAACACCAGTTTTAACTAGTACAATATCGGATGGTCAATGAAACTCATTGAAAACCGACGAGAATTTTGGTGAAAACAACCTCAATTTAATAAAGAAGGCTTGTAGAGTTAGTTCAAAACTAATTTCCCCAGATTTTTCCATCAAAAAATCTTATATTATCCATGACAAAGTCTTACCATTTTCCGAAGAAACCGACGAAAGTCGACTCGGAAACACTTTGAGATCACTTCCAACAGGGTCCGCCGACATTTTGGGGTCTAATGAATCAGAGTTCGGCCGCACCTCTCCCCACAAATCTGTGCTTTCCTCTTCAGATTATAATTGATGTTGTTTCGAAAGGCCGAAACATCGCTGGGCGGCCGCTCCGTCGCCGAAATTAGGAATTCCAAGCAAAATTAGGAATTCAAGGCAAGTTCAGAACGGCGCCTCTGGGCATGGGATTCTGAAAACACATAAAAACGGTAGCATTCCCACGAAATCTAATTAAATCCCCGGTTATAAGGGGTTTCTATGGAGTTGCTGACGAGAATCCGGCCAAAAATAATATTTAAAGCCGTCCTGGATGTGCATGAATTATAGATCTGTGGCCTTCGAACGTTGAGGACCAAAATAAGACCTCGTTTCGTTATTCTAATTAGTTTTTCAATGGAAAATTGCGGAAAAGCGCAATTCCGAGCGAAATTTGGATGTAAACATAAACAAAACGACTATAAAAAGAGCTCGAATGGTGTGGGTCAACCGAAATTCATCTATATACCACCGGTCTGTGGTGTTTGATCGGATTCATTACCCATTCCCATTCAAAAACGCAAGAAAAGGGCCTAAACCAGCCTATTTTAGGTAACAAACAAGCCAAAATAGCAATTTTGGACCTATTTAGTTCAAAATCGTGCTCCCAATTAGGTCTAAACGAAGCAGAATGTCCACTGATTACTCTGCTTACCTTTCGGACTCCAAGAATTGAGCAAAACAAGTTTCCAGACGAGTTTTCCGGCGAGACGCCCAGTTTTCGGTGTGAAAAATACAATTATGCGATTTTTTGTCCCCTCTCGATGGAAAATTCCCCTTCTTCCTTCTGCAAATCAAGAGTCTCGAGGGGAGAGCGGTAAACCCGCACAAAAGAGCGCTAATTTCATTCGCGGAGAACAAAAAATCGTATTTTGGGCGAGAGAGTGCGGCGAAACGAGAGCGCACAGAGCGCGCGCCTTTGTTGCGAGAGAAAAAGAGCTTCTCGGGCGGGGGAGATGAGGTTATTGTTGAGGGGAGGGTTTTTAAAGTGAGAAGCCCTCAGGAAATGCGGGAAAAGAGCGGGGTTGAAGGGTAAGAAAGAATGGACATAGTCATGAATGGATGGATAAGTTTCTGTGAACAAGCCGTTCGCCCGGAGGCGTTGGATTTCCAAAAAAATGGGACGAACAGAGTCTAGGGTCTGAACTACACGCAGAATGGATGCAATTTACAAACTTTTGAACGAGAATTATTGGCCGAAACTTCCTTGTTTCCAAAACGAAATTTGAGAAAATCAAAAAAAAAAAAAATTTTTTAATGTGTCATGATGACAATATTTTTTCTGAAATATGAGTGCAAATGATAAAGAATAGAAGAACAATTCTTATTGACGAGTTATCAGTGTACGGAGAGCGGTGGTCCTCGCAAAGGATGGGGAAAAAACAGTCGCGCAGAAAGATGAAGAATCAGGAATACAGAAGGCGAATGTAGGTGGAAACGACCGTAAGAAGGCCCTGATAGTGGTTCTATTCTACAGAAAGACTTAACAGAATCAATTTTGATTTAGGAAATACCAAGACCGAAAAGATGACATCCCCGATTGCCCTTCGCTGGAGTCCCTGGAACTGAACGAATCTGACCATGAACTGTTAGTTACTGATTATTTATGCGAAAATACGAAAGTTTTATGGTGTCTTGAGATCAGAAGGAACTGTAATCTGTCTAGTTTTGGTATAGTCTGCAAAAAATTACTTTCAATTTTGGCATGGCCAATACAAAAAAATGATGAGAATTTGCGATTTTAACTGTTAATTTTGTTGACTCTAGGCATAGAAGGTCGTAAATGGCCTGTAGACTTAATATACGCCCTTATGGTCATCATTTTTACTCTTTTAGAAATGAGATTTTACTGGGATGTCTGGTATAATATAAGTCTAAAAATCCATCTTCCATCGTATAAAATGTCTTCTAGTTTTTGCAATAGCGATAATATTATACAACAATTTTCTGGGGCTGTTTTTGAACTTTAATACACTTTTTTAATTATATGATTACATATCTAAAACAACATAACTCCGAAAGGGAATCTCCATTTTGCTGGTATAAATAGCCCCGCTAACTCAACAACACACACACGAACAACCATTTTTCTGATATCCCATTCCCAAATGAAATGTCAGCTCGCCATTTCAAGACATCCCAAATGAATATCAGAAACAAAACAACGGCGGCTTGACCCTGAGGGCAGGGCCGGAAATCTGAATGCCCGAAAAATTTCCGAGTAGACGAATGGCATGTCAAACAATTTATCAAACGAATATATCTCGTGAATATGGTAAAATATTTGTATGGGAAAACATTTCAGGCCGGTTACCGCTGATCCCAGCTTGTCCGGAAATAGTCATCAAAATCAGGTGGAGACGTCGGCTGGGCTCGGATATGAGGATGTGGCTGGGCGCAACGAAGCTGGTGATCGATCCAATATCTTCAATTGGTAAGGGGGACGGGATTTGGAGAAGATTTTGCTTAGTGTTTGTAGTAGACATGATTTTTTCTTATGATAGGTGGATAATATAAAAAAACAGATGGCAGTAAAAAAAAAGAATTTTTCATACGAAATATAGGACCTTATTTTGGCTGATTTTATAATGAAACATCGATTTTTCATCGATTTTTGCCAAGATATAAGTGAATTAGATCTTATTATTGGTTTCATCGAAGTAAACGATGTTTATACCCGTATAGTAACCTTCAATTTGAGGTACAATCCTTATTCTCAACCCTCATTTTTTACTAACATCCCATGGGCTTGCCCTATCGTATTTTACCATATGAAAAATTTACTATATGCAGTTTTTGTAAATTACAAAAAAATCACAACACAAAAATAATGCGTCACAGTAACCCCAAATTATTTGATACCACTTCAATGTCGAGCTACAGCGTCTAATTTGTCATTGTTTTAGCCGTGACAGTGACCAATACAGTGCAGCTTCGTTTGATGACTATCTCCGAGCGTAAGTGAAGTAATTCATATCTTATACGATACATTCTAGCCCTCTGTTCAACGTCGACAAGCTTGCTCCGGTTCTCGAAGGCATTGGTACCACTATCTTGGAGATTATTGTTCAACTCTTCCAAATGGCCCGATTTGGAGTGAAATATCCGGTAAGATGAAGGGAATTTGGTATTATAAATTAAATAGAAAGCAACTGTAGGGTAGAATGAGGCCTTTTTGCGCTATTTTGGACAGCTTTAGACAATAAAATTTGATCAACTTGGTTTTAAATTACTTCATTTTACCGTACCCATTGATGACTGAAGCTCAAATTCTGATTTTGAAGATTTTGAGTGGCCGTAGTTTTGTTGTTACTGTATTTTTCATGGCGTATGGGCTTTATTATTGAGAGACTCAGTCATCAACATAGAAATTCTATATTGCTTCAGGCACCTTTTTTTCAGAATGGACCTACAGTGGGGGATCTGATCCAGTGGCAAAAAACGTACCATGTTGCATCCAGGAAGTATAAAAAATGTGGCAAAATACCTCCCTCTCCAAGTGAAAAAACTCCGATTTCAAAAGCGCGCCCACTCTTTTTGCGAGGAAAAAGGGATCGCCCTTCAAAACGAGGTTTTTTTCACTTGTAGAGGGAAGCATTTTGCCACATTTTTGATGCTTCCTGGATGCAAAATGGGACTTTTTTTGCCACTGGATCTGGTCCCGCACTGTAGTCATGATAATAAAAAGTTGATTGAACTCTCAAGGAAGAGTCACATTGCTGACCGATCTTAGATTAGCTCGGCACTATACCATCAACCGTATTTTACAAAGTTTTTTTCAGACTCCTTTCGCTATATGTCTGGTCATCGTCGGCCTTTATTTTGGGATTTTGTACCTGGAAATCTCGGTCGCTGCGACACTCGACTTTTTCGTTGGAGTCTCTTGGCCCCCACTGCACATTTTCTTCAGAAATACGGAGCGATTCTTCAATTCGATTGGGTCTTGGTTCGGGGAAATGGACGAAATTGGGCAGGCAATGTACTGCGACATGGCTTCCACATGGTGCCATCGCTTCAGATTGATGTGTGACGTTCAATGCTCCTTCACTGAGCTGGCGCTGAACAGAAACCGCTAACTGGAGCGTTAATTGGGATCAAGAAGAAAAATTGAGGAATTTTGCTGATTTTTCGAATAAAAATATCGATTTTCATGTGTAATTGTATATTCGAATCTTCTTATTTCGACTCTTAGAGTCCCCATTTTCCTAAAAAATTATTTGGATATCATTTTACATCAAAGGGAACACTCAAACGGCCATTTCTTCTCAGAAAGCTACCAAAAGTGTCATGGATAATATAATTTAGCCCAAACGCCGTAGAGAAATTAAATCTACAAACGTCAGAAATTTGTTAAAGTCGTTTTAGAGCATGCTTTTACCATTTTAAGGCCGTTTACATCTGTTGCACGCACTGCAACGGAATGCCAAAAATAAGAAAAATGGCGGGTATTTCAAAAATTCTCGCTCCAAATGACTATAACGGCAGAACTTGTATTGGAAGAAGGCGTGTTAGACCCAATTAACTTAAAAATTAATGAAAAACGGCATTGGTTTTCTGTACACAGAGTCAGTTTTTATATTATCCATGACAGCTGCAGCTGATTACAAAATTTTAGATTTTTGGTTGAAAATAATTCTAGATTTAGACCAAATTGCCCACAGAACAATTACAAATGACGATGTTTAACAGCGTTTCAGCCCTTGAGGAAAAATCGCATAATGTTCCTTTTGACTCACCAAAAGATTATCAATCCGTCTGGCCAGAGATTGCTTCCCAGTTTATGTCCCACATATGTTTGTTCCATGCAAAATGGAACAGACTTTCTGCCCAATACTATAATTTTTCGGGATTATTTCAAAATTTCTACCTCGAAATCCGATACCTTTTTACATTACACATAACAATAAGAAACATAAAGTTTCTTCCCCGTTTCCAACCGCACGTTCGCCCCGAAAACCACACGCGCACCGTTCCGTGGCCATGGCCTGAGCCTTCGGTTCTCCCCGCCCTCCCCTCTTCGCTTATATCCCGGGCAAATGTTTCGCCTTTATATTTTAGTGTTTGCACTCTGAATTGGTGAAGTCGGTTCGCACGTCTCGGCCCAAAGCCAAGCAACAAAGTGGACGAAAATGGCCAAGTAAGTGCGCTATTGTATTGGGAGATGTGTGTTGACTTCATATGACAGTGTTGTGAATGGAAATTAATTCGACGCTATAACTTAATCGACTGTTATCTATCTCTGATTTTTATTGTCTATGTAAGAAACCGCCTTATACGGCAGCCGACCGCTTTCGCGGAGGTGGCGACGGAAGTCCGAGCCAGGCCAAGTAGCGTCGCTACCTCGCTGCCGTGTTAGTGTAAGCCTCGGCCAAGGGCAGGTTTCCTATGCTCTTGCCTAGGATGATCTCGTCAACAGAAGGTAAATAAAAAGTATTACAATTTGATGTAGAAGGCTTTCGTGCTGCACTTTAGGCGGACGAATTTTGCGGATTATGAAGGCCAGCGGGTCCAGCGGGGTTCGTAAGGTCGTATATGCACTTTTATAACGGGGAGTAAAGAACAATACAGCGGGAAGGACCTGATCCAGTGGCAAAAAACGTATCATTTTGCATCCGGGAAGTATCAAAAATGTGGCAAAAATAAGAAAAAATGTGTTATTGCGATTTCAAAACCAGATTAATATTTTATGGCCTACGTATCCGAAATTTTGTCTCGAAATTCCAAAACATTTTGAAATTTCAAAAATTTCAGCAAAATTTTCAATTTGCCAAAATTAACACTCAAAAAATTCAACAAGTCCACTTGTTTCCTACAGCTTCCAAAGTTCAACATAGTATTTTTTTGTTTTTGTTTGTTTTCCAAGCCCACTTTTCCCGGTTCTTTGGCCAAAAACATTCTCCCTCACTAGTCAGAGCTATTTTTTCATGATGCAATCCGGCCCTAACATGTCGTTCCTTTTCCGTACTTCGCAAGCCCATTGCATTTGTTCGAAAACAAGGCTGCGTTATGGGTGTTGAGCGCAATGTCTTGAGTCGTAGCGAGGGAAGTAATTGGGGTATTACCTGATTAAAAAATAGGTCTACCTTGCTGAGTTCACGGATTTGATTAAAAGCAATAGGTTAATAAGGTTGTTATTCGGTGTATTTTGGGATTTTTAGTAAAGGGAATATGGCTTTAGGGCATGATAAATTGCATTACTCTCCAACGAATACCTATAAGGCGATAGATTGTTTTCTGTTTTTTGCCATATCTGCTTAGATGTGGCATGTGTAATATAAGCTCTGTTTTCCATTAATTGGAAGTGTAAGGGGGTTCTGTCTATACATAAGCTACATAGATTATTCTTTGTACTGGACTTAAACTTGTTCTAAAACACGGCATTTTTTATCCATCTATCACGAAAACGATCAAACAGGAGTGTTTACGTGATAAAAAAATTTTTGCTCCAAAACAGAACTTCCGGATTGACACCTGGACCTCTGCGAACCCCCTAAACAAACGTTTCCAAAAGTCAGACAGGTTAGACAAACTCAATCCGTCAAATGTTTACCTATTCGGGTAATCAGAGTCTGATCCCGCCTTTTATCTGATGGTCAAAATTCGGAGGGCTGTCGACGTGAAACCATTCGATATTTCGGAGTCGGAAAGTACGTGCAGCTCCGGGAAAAATGCCGGCCCAACGAAGACGGCGTTCCCCCCAGGCGCTCCTCATTGAAGCCTCGGCCCTTCACGGCCGAAAACTTATTTTTAAAGCGTTCTTTTCGTCGGTTTTTGAGCTTTAGAGAGTCAGATCGCATGTGAGACGTGTTTTTTGGCCGGGAAGGTTCAGATTTCTGGGTTATATCCGTGTTGGCTACAATTTTTACAAAATTTTTGTGGGTTTTTTAAGAAATTTTGAAGAAAAAATAATATTGTTGTTTTAACTTATTAGCTATTATATTAACAGGCAAAAAATTACCATTTTTTGTCCTAAGATTCCGTATTTCACCCATTTTTATTGTATCCTTCACGCGCCAGTTGTTGCATCTGACTGGTGGTGGTGAAGATACGGAGTAAGCCAGGTGTAGAAGTTATAATAAGTATAAGTTGATTTATTAGATAAAATCAACAATACGTAGCGTAACACAAAATTTACTGAACAAAAATAACAACTGAAATCCTATTTCTTCTCTTCTAAGCTTCGAGAAACTTCGAATGAAGCGGAATGCCAATTCTGTAATCGTAGTTTTCATTTCGGGACAAAACATTTTTTGATTCTGAACGGATTGCAACAATCTCCGAGGTATCCGATAAATTGTGCGACATTTCGTCCAAACGACTGAAAATTGTTGAAAAAATTCGACAATTTTTTTGCAAATAAATGTAGAAGTCGTATTTCACATTGTTTTGTCTACATTTGCTTATTGAATTGCTTTCGACCTCCTCTTTCTTCCAATATAACATGAGTAACAGGTATAATATAACTTTATCCTTTGTTTATCCTCCAAATTTCAGCGACATGTCCCAAACAATCGCCGGCCTGCTGGAGGAGGTGTCTCCCATCCAAAAGACAGCCCACAACAAGGTGACGGTGGTCGGAGTTGGGCAAGTTGGCATGGCTTGTGCGTACAGCGTCCTTCAACACAACGTTGCGAGTGAGATCTGTCTGGTGGATGTGGTTCCGGACAAGCTGCGGGGAGAAATGATGGACCTTCAGCATGGTCTGGCCTTCACCAGACCTTGCACTGTGCGTGCATCGACGGATTACGCGATTACGGAGGGCTCCAAGATCTGCGTGATTACTGCCGGATGCAGGCAACGGGAAGGCGAAACCCGGCTGTCACTGGTGCAGAGAAATGTCGAGATCTTCAAGGGAATTGTTCCCAATTTGGTCAAGTACAGCCCCAACACCATTATTCTAGTTGTTTCGAATCCAGGTAAGAGCTTTGGGAAACTTGTTGTTGTAGTTGATAATCAAGGTGAAGATTGGATGGAAAACCAAATTTTTGATCAAAATATGAACTAATTTAGATATGAGTAGATTAAAAAAAGTGTCTTCTTGCTTCTGATTTTCCTTTGTTTTAGTTTGTAAGCTTATTTAGCCGTGTTCTGACCAATTTTATCTTACACATGAGATCAGAAGGAAAAAATGATGTTTTAAGTTAGATACCTGTTGAATTTTAGCTAACCAAAGCCGTAAATTTAATTTCACGGTTAATTCTATTCTATTTTCAGTCGATGTGCTAACTTACGTTACCTGGAAACTCTCCGGGCTTCCAAAAGAACGTGTCATCGGCTCCGGAACCAATTTGGACTCTGCGCGCTTCCGCTTTTTGCTCTCCGAGCGTCTTCAAATAGCTCCATCGAGTTGTCACGGATGGATTATAGGAGAGCACGGTGATACTTCAGGTAATTTTTTGACATTTTAAAATTTTCGAATTTTATATTACATTTGGTTCTATCTGATGGGGAAAATGGTCGATTTGAGGTGGAAAAAGTTGTGGGATGAGTTGATTATGTAGTAAATGAGATATTAGATGTAATAAAGGGTTTTTTAATTTCAGTCCCGGTCTGGAGCGGAGTCAACGTGGCCGGTGTTCCGCTAGTGAAAGTGAACCCCAATATTGGCACTCAGATCGACTCGGATCATTGGGCACAGCACATTCATCAAGGCGTGGTCGACTCGGCCTATGAGATCATCAAACTGAAGGGGTACACTTCTTGGGCCATTGGTCTGTCGGTCTCCACCATCGTCACGGCGGTCATGCACAACAGCCGACATGTTTTTGCCCTATCAACCAATGTTAAAGTAAGGTTTTCGAAATTTTTTTCAATTTTTTATGGTTTAGAAAACTCAGTGTCAAGTGTAATATATTATTATACTTGTTGTGATCCTGATGTTTCTAGGGCTTCCATGGCATCGACGACGAAGTGTATTTGTCGCTTCCCGCCGTTCTCGGCGCCAATGGAATCACTCATATTGTGAAACAAAACCTCTCCGAACAGGAAGTGGAGCAATTGAAGAAGTCCGCCAAGGCTCTGGCCGAAGTTCAGAAGGGCCTAAGCCTGTAGACGGTGGTTGATAATAGTATTTTAAGCTTATTTTGATGTCTTTTACATTATGTGGATCTTTATATTGTAGTATAGGTAACATGGTAATAAATATGTGTAGTGGAATGGTTTGGTAATTTTGAATCGACTAAAAATTGAATTGTGTATCAATTTTTCAAATACAGGACCTTATATCTTCCAGTGGCAAAAAAACGTATCATTTTGCATCCAGGAAGCATCAAAAAATGTGGCAAAATACCTCCCTCTCCAAGTGAAAAAAACTCCGATTTCAAAAGCGCGCCCGCTCTTTTTGTGAGGAAAAATTCAAAACGAAGTTTCTTCACCTGGAAAGGGAGGCATTTTGTCACATTTTTGATACTTCCCGGATGCAAAATGGTATGTTTTTTGCCACTGGATCAGGTCCTTCACTGGAAATAAACATTAGAAAAAATTCTATTTTTGAAATCCCCGCCATCGGTGCAGTCCGCACAGGTGTAAGAAAAGTTTTTTTTTCAACTTTTTTTACCCAGCGGGCCTTGAAACTCCCATGATTCCAAATTTCGATCATGAAAATTTCAAAAAAAAAGTTTAAAATCTTGAGAAATTTTGAGTTCAGAGCTCTCGAAGAGTGATCAATCAACCTTCCTTCTGAACGAAAATGCCGCCAAATGAGCGCAAATTCAATTTTCATGCAATTTGTTTCACTATGCAAATTAATCCCCAACAAAAGCCAAAAATCCTAAAAGTGCAAGTTCAGTTTTTTTCGATTATTTGAATTTCCAAAATCCGCGCCATTGTTTAGTTTGTGCAGTCAGTCAAGCCGGTCGAGTTGATAAAAACAACAAAATGGGCGGGTCGTAAGTTTTTTTTATAGTGTTGAACCTGATCCAGAGGCAAAAAACGTATCATTTTGCGTCCGGGAGGTATCCAAAATGTGGCAAAATGCTTCCCTATCCAAGTGAAAAAACTTCGTCTTCAAAAGCGCGCCCTTCAAAACGAAGTTTTTTCACTTGGAGATGGAAGCATTTCGCCTCATTTTTGATGCTTCCCGAATGCAAAATGGTACGTTTTTTGCCGCTTGATCAGGTCCGTCACTGTAGACAGTCGTTGTAGTACCGTTCTTTCTGCACTGATCGACCGACTCAGCCCGTATTTTTCTTCATTTTTAGAGAGTCGAAGCCAGAGCGCAATCGATTCCCCATGGTTCCGCACCGGCCGATTTTGAGGAAGCCGTTGAATCGTAGCAAGAACAACAAGAAGAAAAGCAAGAAGTCGCCGAAGAATCTGAGCAAGGAGGACAGACTCCCGCATAAAACAACGACTCCTCCAAGCGGTACTGCGGTTGAGGTAAGGTCTAGGTAGAGGTGACGTCATTGGTCATCATGATGATGATAATCTGTTATTAATAGTGGATTCGACACCCAAAAATACTTTTTTAGAGTTAAATATGGCCTGTTTGTTGAGTTTTTTAGTTTATTGAAAAATTTGGAATACATTTTTGTGGATACACTGGCAAAAAATTATATTGTAGTAGGTGGTCTATTATAATATAAAAATTTTACGTTGACATACCCGCTTCGTCCCTGTCCTTGTGTTGGGCGTATTATCAGTTTTAAGGGATTCAGAGAAGTATATTGCGATATATCTGAAGCATATTACACTAGACGTTATCTATGGTGGCGGACCTGATCCAGTGGCAAAAAACGTACCATTTTGCATCCGGGAAGTATCAAAAAACGCGGCAAAATACGTCACTCCCCAAGTGAAAAAAACTCAGATTTCAAAAACCCTTCAAAACGGAGTTTTTTTTATTTGGAGAGTGAGGTTTTTTGCCACATTTTTGATACTTTCAAGATGCAAGATGGTACTTTTTTTGTCACTTTTTTGCCATCAGGTCCTGTAACACCTATTTTGGGTCCAGAAACCGCCTTAAGTCATAGCCATGGCCTTCTCAATTTCCCTCGTTCATTCCAGAACACCCCCACCCCTGAAGTTCGTGATCCTCGTCCGGAACCGATTCCATCCTCTTCCGAAACCAACACTACCCCAGTATTGGGCATAACTCAGTCCGAAGAGATTGCCAGCGTTCCCAAGAAGCCGCTGAGCAAAAAGAGCACCGAAGAGGACGATTATATTCTCGCGGCGGAGAAGAAGAAGCGTTTCCAGAAGCGGGAGAAGTTAACCGCCGACGAGCCGACCAACTTTGTCAAGGTTCAAGGGGGCCAAAGACCCGCGGTTTCGAAGCAAAAAGAGAAGGCGCTGAAGAAAAAGAAGAGAAAGGGTAAGCGAATAGTGATGTCAATTTTCTTGGAGATCAAGAATTTGAAGCTTAGAAATTCTTGTCACCGATTTTTGACTAAAATTTTAAAAAAATCATCAAAATTTGTCATGGATAATATAATGACTGATTATGGCGATTTCTTGCTCTACAGTGCTTGAAAATCATATGTCACGATTATACCAGCCTTTTCCAACGTTATTGAGAAGTTTCCCGCTGTAAAAATTCAAATTGACCGATTTCCCGCCATGCCTTGGCATTATGTTGCAAGTGTCGATTTCGACCGGTAAATAGTTGAAATGTGAAAAAGCAGCGAATTTATGAATATTTGTGATGCATAATACTCCAGGCTCATATTTCGCAGCATTTTGAGACCAAATTCATATTATTCATGAGAAATTTGTTGATATTTTTTTTTTCAAAAGCCGCGGTTTTCTCAAAAACTACAACTCAAAGCTCTAATAACCAGCTCTGACCCTGAAAACCAGTCGAATTCCCGCAACTCCTTTTTTGAATTTCTGGTTTTGCTAAGGTCAAGTCTTCATTTTGCGGCTTTCGGGATGATTCGAAGCCCGATAACTGATGTTTATCGGCAATTAATGTGTCCGTTTTTTTGCAGGGCCGGTCTGTGATGATGCGAATCTGGTCACGGCGAACACGTAAGTTGTTTTTTTGTAAGTTTGTAAAGTTTTGAGACAAAATTTATATTATACTTGATGACATTACAGTACGGCCGACGAGGACGCGGTCACCAACGACACTACCGGCGTGACAGATACGGTTGACACGACCGGGGATGCGCTGCTGTTCTCGGCGCACGATGGCTTGGATTCGGTGAAAACGGCCAGAGAAAAGGAGGAAAAATGATTTTACTTTCTGGATGAATAAAAGATTTTGAAAGATAAAAAACCCGAATTTGAACTTGAAATGAATCCTCAAAATGGGGCGGAGCAAAGAGTAAATGCTTCGAAGGGCTTGTAATAACATCCGTCTTGGAGATTTGAATAAAAATGGTGACAGAAAAATGGATTTATATTAGAGTAGGGGCAAGAACGGGGCGATGATGAAGATGTGGACTGGATTGGTGGTTTTCGTGGGAATTATGGCGACTAGTGTTGACGCTATGAAGACACCGAGCATTCTCTGCATTATCCATACCAGCAAAGGCTCACATAAGACGAGGGTAAGCGTTGCGAGTGGGATCTGGTGTAAATAAGTCTACTACAATATAATTCTGATATCTAGAGGTATTAAGGCGCTGAAGGTTTAAGAAATTAGATCTTAGAATTCTCAGAGCATGCCTTTTTTCACACATAGGTTTTATTTTGCATAAATTTATAGGGTTTCCTTGAAAATCATTGTTTTCGTGGCGGGACTCGAGAAATGAGTCGATTTTTTCTTTTGAACAAAACCTAATTTATAGTACAGTGGGGGCCTGATCCAGTGGCAAAAAACGTACCATTTTTGCATCTAGGAAGTGTCATAAAATGTGGCAAAATACCTCCATCTCCAAGTGAAAAAACTCGGATTTCAAAAGGCGTCCGCTTTTTTAATGAGGGAGCCCTTCAAAACGAAGTTTTTTTCACTTGGATGGAGAAGCATTTTGCCACATTTTTGATACTCCTGATGCGAAATGGTACGTTTTTGCCAATGGATAAGGTCCCCCACTGTAGCTTTCATTTTGCATAAGTCTTTAGGCCTTCTTCACAGGGGACTCGGATTTACTTATAAGTAAAATTTTTTACTTATATTTACCAATAACTTACATATAAGTTAAAAAAGGCGGGGCTTATTTATTTTTACTTATATTTACGTTTATTTACTTATATTTACAAATAGCGGTACTTATATGTAAAAAACGGCGGAGCTCGTTTATTTTTACTTATATGTACATATATGAGCCTCGAAAAGAAAACTTTTGAGCGTCAAAGACGCTTTTTGGTTTCTGCACGCGTTGGCCGGACTTAGAAAAATTCTAAGTTTTTGGAGCGTCAAAGAACGTATCTCAGCCTTGGATCGAATAAAGTAAGTTGCTTGTAGTCAGTTTTTTTTTTCTTTTACAGGGTAACAGAGTGCTCGGATCAAAATTTGTGAACGCGAGAACCTTCCCGAGCATGGAGCATGTTAACGTCAAACTTCACGCAGTTCCCAAAAATCTATGAACAAGCACTATGAGGAAAGAATTTGGATGAACAACTGTGTGCTCAAACTTGGTAGGTGTTTTTTAACTGTTTTCACATTTCATAAAACCAAATATTTTTCCAGAGATAGTTTTGCTATGTTGTACTAGGTCCAGGTGAAGCCTCTAGGTTTCAGATTATCGAAAAATTGGCCGTGGAGGGTAGTAAATGGACAATGTACACACGATCCCGGAAAAATGGCACTCGGATGATTCAGGTATGTTGAGAATATTCACCTGGACCTAGTGCAACATGACAAACTTGGTGTCTCGAAATTTCATTGGCAAACTTGGTGAACCTAAAACTAATTTTTTCGGGGTGCAGAAGCACAAACAATTGAGAAGAGCTTATAGTAAATATCGTCAAACGACCTTATCTTCTTTATTTTTGCTATTTTCAGTGAATCCAGACGCAGAAATCGCCATAGAAGATCCCGAAAATAAGCAATTGATGCCTCATGAGGACAACAACAGATGAGAAACCTATCCGGAGCACTTGTATTTGTCGTTTTTGAGAATCGAAATAAACGTGTATAATATAATCTGCACTATGCATAATTCTGGGTTACAAATAAGTAAAATATCCTTATTGGTAAATATAAGTAAAATATCCTTATTTGTAAATATAAGTAAATTCGGAGCGCGCCGAAAATAAAGTTTACATATAAGTAATTTCAGAATTACTTATATGTACGATTATTTACTTATATGTACGTTTATTTACTTATATAAACTTCAATTTCATATAAGTAAAAAAGGCGTACATATAAGTAAATCCGAGTTCCCTGTGTTTAAAAATCGCTATTTCCGTGGCGGGACTCGAGAAATTTGCCGATTTTTTCTTTTGAACAAAAAATTATTCAAATACGATAATATCTTATCCTCTAGTGCATATTAGAGTCGCTATTTTTGATGATATTTGACACCAAATACTGACCCACTCTTTTAAGCTGGCTGTTATTCTGGACACTTGGGCCAAGAAGTGTGATGACGTCCTCGTCTTCACAGATGCACCCCTCGAATACGACGTCCCTCACGTCTACTTCCCCATGATGAACACTCGTGATCACTCATGGGAGAAGATCCGCAGGGTATTCCGCTTCGCTTTTGAGGACATGGAAAAGAAATACGATTGGTATCTGAGAGCCGATGATGACGCGTATGTGTTGGTGGATAATGCTCGAACCTTGGTGAAAGAGCACGATCCCGAGAAGCCGGCAGTGTTGGGATATCGATGGGGATTCTTTGAGGTGGGTGCTGGTAGTAGTGGAAGTTAATTTCAGAGATTTTTTGGGAGAAAAATGAAACTTTTTGAGGGTTGGAAATAATTTTTTTCGTATAAAATATGGTTAGTTTTACAAGGGAAGTCACTTAAATCACGGATCGATTTTTAAAAACGACTGTTACAGCGATGGGGAGGGTAGGACGGAGATATCAAGTCTGAAAACCGCTACCTCCACCGGCCTCTGGGAGCCGAGATAATCGACCAAAAAGTTTGACCAAATTCCTCCGAACATTTCTTCCTTCCGAAAGAAAAGAATCCAGCGAACCGAATGGTCCGGTGGTCTGGAAGCGCGCTTCCGGGCCTTCACCTTTTCAGGTTCGAATCCGAGCGGGTCTCGAACTTGTGAAAAATTTATAAAACAGTTGCTGTGATCCAGTAAATTTACTAGCAATTTATTTTTATATTTCATGCCTATTTTACGGTAAATTTTCAACCTTGAAAATTAAAATCGTTTGGAACTCGAATTCAAATTATTACTCTGAAATTTTATCGTAAAATATGCAAAAAATCAAAATTTTTGTCTTACCGGTAAATTTACTGGATTACAGGAAAAGTTTAATAAACTATGTGACCCATGCGGATTCGAACCTGAAAAGATCAAGGCCCGGAAGCGCGCTTCCAGACCACCGGACCATTCGGTTCTCTTCCCTTCTTCTTTCGGAAGAGAGGACTATTCGGAGCAACTTTTTTTGGTCAAACCTTTTTGGTCGATTATCTCGGCTCCCAGAGGCCGGTGGAGGTAGCGGTTTTCAGATTTGATACTAGTGGCGACATAAAGTCCTGACACATTTTGTCGCGGGTGTCGCGCGAGAAAAGTGGCAAGTTCGCGCGAAAGTGCATGTCGCTAGTGCAAAAAAGGGGAATTGCCGCGACGGGTCCGAAAGAAAAACAAAATGCACTGTGCAAATGTGTCAGGACTTTATGTCGCGACTAGTATCTCCGTCTTTCCCTCCCCATCGCTGTAACAGTCGTTTTGAAAAATCGATCCGTGACTTAAGTGACTTCCCTTGTTAGTCTTGATACAGATCTGTGAACTCCATTTTGCTCACGTTCAAAAAATTTCTTACAGTGGGGGGACTTGATCTATCTAATCTATTGGCCAAAAACGTACCATTTTGCATCCGGGAGGTATCAAAAATGTGGCAAAATACCTCCTTCTCCAAGTGAAAAAACTCCGATTTCAAAAGCTCGCCCGCTTTTTTTGTGAGAGAAAGTTCAAAACGGAGTTTTTGTGGTTTGAGATGGAGGCATTTTGCCACATTTTTGATACCTCCCGGATGCAAAATGGTACGTTTTTTGCCACTTCGATGTAGTTTTAAGCCGATTTTTTGAGAGAAAAACATAATTCTTTTTTGATTTTTATTATCGCTTTCAGCCTCGAGGTTATGTTGATGGCGGGGTTTACATCGTAAGCCGAGCAGGAATGAAAGTGTTCAACGATATCATGAAGAACGACACTATTTGTCCCGACTTCCATCGAGCCGAAGAGGATCAAGAGGTAGGTTTTTGAAGGATAGTTATTGTAGGAAGTCGGGTCAGGAATGTTGTTTGTTGGTCTGAAAAGAAGTATTTGTATTTTTGACATCAAAACTATAATAAGTATTTACATCATAAAAACCCTTGTTTAAAAGATTAGAAGCTTGGACACCTTTTGATCTTTTTGGATCACATTTGAGGATTTTTGATACTTTTGGTTTTCAACGATGTACTTGTGGCCAAGGAGGTCTTAGAAACGTTTTTTTATAATTCCAGTTGGTTTTTTTGATTTTTTTCTTACAAGGAAAGTACTTCTATGGGGTGTGGAGTTACAGGTCGAGATATATATCAAAAAATTCGCAAAAATTTTCTGATTCAGAATATATAAAAATTAGCTGCCTAATTTTGGTTTATCAGCGAGTTTTATCAATAAACGTTTTTCTCGAGGAAAAAAATTTCCGGCAACAAAAGCGCGCTCGGTCTCTTCCTTCGGAAGAGAGAGGTGTGGCCGAGTGGATAGAGCGCTGGATTGGAAATCCGAGGGAAAGGGGTTCGATTCTTTTTGCCACACAGAACCCATTTTTTACATTGGAACTACCTTTAAGGTGTAGTTGTAATCTAATTTGATATTTTAAGGCTTTTCACGGCCTCAGAATTTAGTTTAGCACAAAACAAAATTTTTTTATTGTTAAAAACACGGTCAAAAAGACACTTGCATGGTGTCGCGAGAAAACTTCTGAGGACAAAAACATGTCATCAGACCAAAATTAGGCAGCTAATTTTTATATATTCTGAATCAGAAAATTTTTGCGAATTTTTTGATATATATCTCGACCTGTAACTCCACACCCCATAGAAGTACTTTCCTTGTTAAAGTTACATTTATCGTCAAATAATACATGTGTAATGTCCACTACGTATACAATATTACCCCGATTTTAGCCGAAAACCCGTTGGGATGATATATCCTTTCGCACGTCAATCCAAGATAGAAGAAAAAATTTCCCGCCCCTTTTTGGTGATTCGTTCAAAACGAAATGATAAAAAGCATTTTCTTATCTTTCTTCTTCCTTTTCGAGAAAAAGCAATTATTTCGGGCAAGAAAAAGTGCCGATAATTTCGCGACATTTCGTCTCTCATTTAAATCAATGAAAACGATACGAAGTTTCGAAACGGTTCAGGAAATGCGCTGGATTGACGTGTTTCGTCCATTCATTGATTCAAATAGCTTTTTTTGCTGCCTGAATTTTAGTGTACTACCGAAAAAACGGCTGAAAAAGTAGTAGGAAGTCTGCGTTTCTAATTGCTTTTCCTTCCGTTGACTTGCGAGGTCCCAAACTTATATTAGTGAAATAGCTCAAGTTGGTCAACCACTTACAGTTGACGGACCTGATCCAGTGACAACACACGTACCATTTTGCATCCGGGAAGTATCAAAAAATGTGGCAAAATGCCTCCCTTTCCTACTGAAAAAATTCCGTTTTGAACCAGGCAAAATGGTACGTATTTTGCCACTGGATCAGGTCCCCCACCGTACCTGAATTCGCGCAAAACTTGTTCAAATTACAATTATTTATACTTTATTTTTATTGATATTAAATCTACAACATAGTTTTAAATGTCATGGATAATATAAAAAGTCATCAAAACATGCCAAAATATTTGAACAGGTTGAAAAATTAACATCTAAAATTTTCAGATCTCCCGTTGCCTCGCCAAGGTCGGGGTTTATCCGGTGGATACGAGGGATAAATTGGGCAGAGAGCGGTTCCATCACTTCCATATTGACGAATTCAAAAGCAAATATTTGGTCGAATTTATTAAGCAGAACTCATTTTACGGGTATAAGAAGGTGAGTTTGGCTTGTAATTATTATTTATAAAAACTTTAATTACGTATTTTACATTGTAAAAACTTTTTTTGCTGCATTTTTATCATCGTATTTTGCATTTCTTTGATCGGTATTTCATTTTTTCTAAATTATAAAATTATTTTTTATTTTTCCATTTTTGAAAAAATACGAAAAATTATACATGCGTATTTTACAAATTGCAAATCCGCTTTTTTACAGTTCCCCGAGGCCATCAGCGACACCACCGTCTCCTTCCACCACCTCACTCCCTACGAAATGAAGGTAATGGACTACTTGTTGAACCAGTTGGAGAGGAAGAGGGGGAAGCTGGACGCGTCTGTGCTCACCTCGGGCCGCTCCATCTTCTCATTCCTTTCGTGAACTTGACGGGTTTCTCTTCCACTGATCTCATCTATAATAAAGATTCTGATATTCGATAAAATTTCTGGATTTGGAAGAAGCCGTCGCTTACAAAAAGCGATTTTTTTGGCGATTAAGAAGTAGTCGGAAAATCAGCATGGCTTTTTATGAACATACAAAAAAGTTAGATGGAATATTGGTGATGAATTTTGAGTCATAAAGGAACATAATAGAGAAATTTAAGGTCAAAGTTGATGACAATTTAGATGTCTATTGATGATTATACTTTCTTTATGACTCAAAAAGTTTTTGGACTTTATGAAATTTGTTTTCAACAAGTAAATCCCGAAATTTAAACTGGAAAGGGCTATCTAAAGTTGGCTTTTACCGAAAATTTATGTATAATAATATTTGTGTAGCTTCTAAAACTTTTGCGTCCTGTTTTTGCCCGTAAAAGATGACATCGCAAACCGTCCTTTTATTTATAATTTTGGATTAGAGCTAAATTAGTGTAATCTGTTCCAAATATGGTAAACGATACCTCAAACGAAAGCCTGAGATATCAGCTACAAAATGATATTAATATTTCGAAATTTCACCATCGCTGGTCTTTTTTAGAGACTTTTTTTTGGAGGTCTCAAGAGTTAATTTTGGGCGAAATTAAGCTGCTGTACAACACGTCCACAGCGGTTCAATTGCAGTTGACCTACCTGCAGTTGACTGTTTAGATGTTTGGCTGTACAGTGGGGGACCTGACCCAGTGGCAAAAAACGTACCATTTTGCTTCCAGGAAGCATAAAAAATGTGCCAAAATACCTCCCTCTCCAAGTGAAAAAACTCACAGGGGAAGTACTCCAAGTGCGACGCTCAGATTTTGATGAAACTTGGCACAGATTTAGAATAATTTTTTCCAAGATATATGCGAGAATTCTAGCTCGCGCTTTGCAGAAACAACCGAGATTTTTAGATCAAAAGTCGGCCAAAATTTATGACTTTTTGCCGAATTTCGGCTCGAAAAGTTTCGTGCTTATTTCAACCGTAAAGGATAATGTTTCTACAAAAAATCAAATTTTTCCACTCGAAACTGCCAAAGTTAGGGCCAAAAAGCGTGTTTTCTCTCTGACCGCTCTCCGCGTTTCGCATGCTCTCTCGGCGGCAAAAATCGTTCGATATCTCGGCGGCGCCCGCAAAGCGCGAGCTAAAACTTTCAGGAATTGATATCTAGTCTATTCCCGACGTGTGTGCAAAATTTAAAGAAAATCTGAGCGTCGCACTTGGAGTAATTCCCCTGTCGGATTTCAAAAGCGCGCCTGATCTTTTTGTGAGGAAAAAAGGCGCGCCCTTCAAAACGAAGCTTTCACTTGGAGAGGGACGCGTTTCGCCACATTTTTGGTACTTCGCGGATGCAAAATGGTACGTTTTTTGCCACTGGAGTAGGTCCGTCACTGTATCATTCGCTCTAAAAAGCGCAGCCGAGAAAGTCAACGGTCAGAGTGACCAAGATAAGAGAGACCGCCGAAAAAATGTTAGAGAAGAAGCTTCAGAAAACCACTTCCCCATCTGAGAGAGTTGTTGAGGTGGTCAAAATAAAGCTGATGATATTGGTTATGATTAAAAGCGTAATGATTATTAACAGTAAGCTTGAAATGACTTTTATAATTCTCCACGCCTGTTGCATTTTTACACTTTTCTAAAGATCTCCGAACTTTGACCAGCCCCAGCGTTTTGCCGTTTACGTATTCCTTGAAAGGGTTGAACTCTCATCCGGAATATCCGATGGCCCACCTTCGGATGATGTTTTATTTATCTGAGGCTCCATTATACGTCGGGGTTTATTGTTTATGTGAAAGGTTATGGGTAAGAAACATAGGGTATCATGTTTTGTCGTATGTTCTCGTCATGAAGGATAGAGGAAAAGGCACATGGGTTTCCGGGAAAATGGGAGTTTTGGGAATGGCTCAAAATATATATATGTACATAATACTTTTAAAGTGTATTTAGAAAATACGGTAACCAGAAAGGCGGAAATTATGTTGCTTTAGTAATTCTAGGTTATTATTGATAAGTTATTTTGTTTTGTAATGAAAAAATAGATTTTTCATATAACATGTAGAAGACACAGGGGAAACATGTTTATATCCCACATTGGATAAACACGGAAGGGATAAAGTTGGTGGAGATTTCATTATTTATCGGATAATCCGTCTTTGTCGTTCTGCGAAGTGACCATATCCGGAGAGCTAGCAAATTTGTTCCATTGTCAGAAAAACAGAATAACGTAACGACCAAAGTTTGGGGGTTAAATCAAAACTTAAAAATAAAGGTGATACATATAGGAAAGCACCGTTTAATCATAGCTTTTGTTTTTTCAAAACTCGAAAACATGGTCAAAAAGAAATACTTTTTATGCTGCTTCCCCGAACAGTCCTCGGTTTATGTGATGTACCAGTTCCTTTGCTAAGCACGCGCTAAAACTTTCGGGGACTGATTTGAATATATACATACCTATGTACGTATATGTATACTTATATGAGCTACTTAGAGTGAAAATCTCAAATTGAAGAAAACGAAAAGATTACACTTAGAACATTTCCTTTGTAAATAACTTTACATACGATGTTTATAGGGCAGTATAACACTTCCCGGATGCAAAATGGTACGTTTTTTGCCGCTGGATCAGGCCCGCCACTGTACAACAAACAACAAGCTATAATTCTACAACAAAACTTGTCTATAATGAACAATTTTAAAGGCCAGAGCTGGAATAACCACTTCTACACATATAACTATACTATAACTTTTCTTCTTCCTTATAGAACATTTCTTTATTGTGTGGGGGTAAAAGGGACGATCATACACCATGTGAAAACAAAGACTGTATTATTTTATTCCTGTTCATCTTCAACCAAGACGAGAGAGATAACGGGAGAGAACCGAGAGAGAGAGTGCAGAAAATTTGGTGATAAAATACGCCGGCATCCGCACACGCCGTCCGCATTCCGTAGGCCGTGCATCCATAAAGACTTGTTGTTATTTGGGGGAGTTATTGAGTGTTAAAGTCGGCGTGCTCGTAGCCATCGTACGCCGGCGGCGACCGCTTGCCGAACCGAATAAACGTGGGCTTTCCGTTGGAGCGACTGGCGCGGTATAACCGATAACTGTTCTGGTCGTTCAGCCGGTACAGGGCCTTCAGGATGTTCTCTCGCTTCTGGAAATGAGGGGAATTGAATTTTTGGACAGTAAAATGTATCAAAATAAATTGAATTTTGTCAAGGAAGTGGCGCAAGTACGACCCACAGAGCTGCTTTAAAATTTGCATACTTTTTCTGGAATTGATGCGACTCAGTTTGCCTAGGTCCACACACCAATTCCAGAAAGTTTTAGCTCCCTTTTTGCGGCAGCAGCTGGGATATTCGACGACTAAAAAAATGCGGAGAGCCGTGAGGGAAGAAAGCGCCTTTTTGCCCATGTTTCTGCCAATTGCCCGTAGAAAAAGTTGATTCTTTTTGTGGAAAAAGAAAAATTATCTTCTGACAATAGGATGTACAGTAGCGGACCTGATCCAATGGCCAAAAACGTATCATTTTGTATCCGGAAAGCTACAAAAATGTGGCAAAATACCTCCCTCTCCAAGTGAAAAAACTCCGTTTTGAAGGCCTCTCCCTCACAAAAAGATCGGGCGCGCTTTTGAAATCGGAATGTTACAAAAAGACCTATAAATTTATGAAAAATCAAACCTACAGTGGGGGACCTGATCCAGTGCAAAAAACGTATCATTTTGCATCCGGGAAGTATCAAAAATGCCCTCACTGTAACATGTTGCGCATTTTTATAGAAAAATTTTCAGAAAAGTGACAAATTTCCATCAGCTTTCAAACCAAAAGTCTCGGTCGTTTCTGCAAAGCGCGCACTCCAAATCTCGGATTTGTTTTTGGGAACGCTGAATTACCTCTTTCCTCGCAATGGCCTGATTAGGACCGTCTGTAATTCAAATCTAATTTCTTGCATTTTTTGTACCTTAATTTGCATGTTATTGTGTAAAAACTGTCTGGAAAATAACTAAATCATTTCCGAGTCTGTATGCACTCTTCAAGTTCAAAACTTTTGCAGGAAATTTTGCGCTCTTTTCCTTCCAAAAACCCTTGTTTTCCTGCCAAAGGAACTGCCACTATTTACAATTAGCGAATCTTTTGAGTGTGAAGTCGAAAACAGAAGCCCGTCTTCCCTGTTTGCTTTCAAGGATGGGCCCCAATAAAGGTAATTTCCTTACCGCCGTCTCCTCATCGCTGATGCATTCGGCCAGAACGCCCAACATCAGGAGAATCCCCACCACGCGCTGCACCGTGCACTTCATCCCTTCTCTGAAAAACAGGATTTTTTTTGTGGAGGAGGATTGGAAAATAGCGAAAAATTTGGTTCAACGGAACCCTTTTACACAGTGAAAGACCTGCTCCAGTGGCAAGAAACGTACCATTTTGCATCCGGGAAGTATCAAAAATTTGGCAAAATGCTTCCCTCTCCAAGTGGAAAAGCTCAGGGAAAGAACGCGCCCTTCAAAACCAAGTCTTTTCACTTGGAAAGGGAAGCATTTTGCCACATTTTTGATCCCTTCCGGATGCGAAATGGTACGTTTTTTGCCACTGGATCAGGCCCCCGACTGTAGCGAACACGGAAGAATTATAGTCATCACAATGAATGGGACGTAATCTACAGGGAACATCAATGGTATTTTGAGGAGGAGGGGCTTTAGTTTTGATGGATTTTAGATATAATAAGTCATAAATAAAAGATGGAAATATTGAAAAATATATCCGTGAGGATGACTTAATGAATAAAATAGTTTTGCCATTGAAGTCAGGCATAGAGAAATGGCGGATTGAAAAACCACATTTATGTACAGTCAGGGACCTGATCTAGTGGCAAAAAACGTATCATTTTGCATCTGGGAAGCAGCAAAAATGTGGCAAAATGCCTCCCTCTCCAACTAAAAAAAACTCTGTTTTGAACTGCGCGCCCTTTCTCTCAAAAATAGAGTGGGTGCGCTTTTGGAATCGAAGTTTTTTCACTTGGAGAGGGAGGTATTTTGCCACATTTTTGATACTTCCCGGATGCAAAATGTTACGTTTTTGGGCAATGGATCAGGTCCGCCGCTGTACATCTAGAAACTATTTTTCATTGTAAAATACAAAGCCTCTCCGGCTTCTTTAACCTCTCCGACTCAATAGAAAAAGTTGTAGAACCTCTCTAGTAAACTGTAACACGCTGAACACAACACTTGAACTAAAGGCTGACAGCCAAGTGATTGCCCGAATATTTAGCGGAGTAATTGACAAGTACAATCCGATAGCCTAATTCGTAGTTAATTTGGAGCGAGTGTGGACAACAAAAAATCTGTTCGTTGAACTGGAAAGCGGCGACTGTAAGCAAGAGTGGGGCTGGGTAAATATGTAGGGCCATGCGTGGAGAATTTGATACAAAAGTCGTAAACAACTAGCGTGTCTGTGAGAAATCGGCTAGACATAAAAAAGAGTTGTCTAATGACAGCCTCTAATTCTTTTTTTCATCCAACGACTTAGCCTATAAGTCGTTAGATGACATGTAGACATGACTGGAGATCACACTTAAAATTCAGTTACATCCAATAAACAAGAGGAAGAAAAAAGAGTTTTGTTACTACAACATGAGCGACTCTCGTGCACTAATCCAAACGTATCACCGGGGTTAATTACGATAATGCACTAGGGAAAAAACATTCGCAAAACATCACCAACATAAGGAGCATAACTCTGGGAACACTTCCTCTGGAAAACGCTTATATAGGACAAGAAAAACAAGATAACTTTTAGTGCAACTCATATGTGAGCTGACGATCTTCTAGAGCATCTAAAAAACGACAAGCCCTAGTAGCGGCGTATTTAGTATCATCATTTTTTCTTTCAACGGGCTGTTTTAAAATCCAGGGTGACAAATAAAAAATGCAACTTCTTTCATGGGTCCTGCCGCGAAAACTTTTAGGTGCAGCGAAATACTTTTCATACCATTAAATTCTCGGTGTTTTTCTGTCCTAGTCTTTTGATTTTCATGCCCATATCGATTGATTATCATCTTTGTTTTGAGTGTCAAACATAGGGACCCCGATATTCAAGTCTCCGATTTCTGAGATCTCTGTGGAGGCATGCCTATGTATTAGAAGATTTTACACTTTATACCGCTCTCTAGACAGCCAAAATTTGCTTATCTTTCAAATGTCTTTCAACTATTAGATGAGTAATTCTAGAACTGGATCTTCTGAAGATTATATTTTTTTCGCCTCCTCGGAAAAAATATAATCAAACCTCTGCACGAAGACTAATTGTAAGCAAAAACCGAAAGATTTATGCGTTCTGGTGTTCGCTGTGGTTTATTTTGCCTAACAAATTGAGTCTTCGGACCTTCGAAAAAGCTCGTCATGGACAGTTCACGTCATAAGGGAGCTTGTTGTACAGAGAGCTCAATGTAAAGCTACAAAAAGTCTGTATATCCTACTGCTGTACTCTCGACTTGTACCGACCTTGAACGCCTTAAAAATCGTCATCCAGAAGACTCCCAATACCGTACTCCAATCTCCCAAAAAATGAAAAGCGAACAGAAAAGAAAAGTCACGATGTCGCTGAACAAAAGGGAAAATTTCGAAAACAAAAAATTCCAATTCGAAATCCATTTCCGATGACAATGAACGTTACGGTAAGAAACACAAAGGACTTAATGCCCCGCGGCCTATTCCGGATGAATTCGGCGAAAAAGGTTTAATGAAAAAGCTGGACCAGGAATGCTGCGGCCACAAAAAGGGTGGCCATAAAAGTGGGCGGAGCCAAACGGAGAATTCGGATTAATACTTTTAGATGGACTTGAGAGAAGTGGGAGTGCTATGGAACCACGACTTAAAATCGCAAAGACATGTGCAGGTTGAACTGTACAACTCTTTCCAGGAAGATGAGGAATAAGTAAATAAATAATTGGAAGTATAACAGAGTGTAGACGGAGAAAAACAAAGTCGAAGAATAGGAACGGTGTGCGCCTGGAATACAATGGGAACCTCGGTATGGAGGTCGGTGGAATTTTCCCATACAACCGACGCTGTCTATGTCTACAGTGACGGACCTGATCCAGTGGCAAAAAACGTACCATTTTGCATCCGAAAAGTATCAAAAATGTGGCAAAATACCTCCCTCTCCAAGTGAAAAACCTCCGATTTTAAAAGCGCGCCCGCACGAAGTTTTTTCACTTGGAGAGGGAAGCATTTTGCCACATTTTTGAGGGCGCGCCTATTCCCTCACAACCAGAGCGGGCGCACGTCAAAGAAGTGAAAAAACAAGGTATCTCGGATCATTGACTTTTGACGAAATGTCGCTAAATTATCGAGTCACAAAAGAAAACTTTCCCAGAGAAAAAAGTTTTTTTTCGAGAAACATGTTAAAAATTATGTGGCACTTCGCAAAAAATGAATGATCCGAGATTCCCTGCTTTTTCAATTTTCTGAAAGAATTTTTTTGACGTGGGGCGCGCTTTTGAAATCTGAGTTTTTTCACTAGGAGAGGGAGGTATTTTGCCACATTTTTGATACTTCCCGGATGCAAAATGATACGTTTTTGCCACTGGATCAGGTTCCCCACTGTATGGCGAGCAATTTCAGAGATCTCAAGAGTCAACTTCCAGCCGACACGGGCTGCAAAAAGGCGAAACCCTTACAATAAAAATAATTTTTTAGTCCTTTCCTTGTGGTGGCCAAATCTGTTATACAACAGGAAATGCTTTTATGAAGCTTTTTACGACAATTCCAAACGTCTCGGTTTACAAAAGAACTCGGTGTTTTTAGATAGCAAAAAATCGAAAATTTCTTGCGATTGTCAGCGTGGAAACTTTGTTGTATCTTCACTGGCTTGTTTTCGTCTGTAAAGGCAAGTGTTGCTACAAAAAGCCAAGTTTTTCTTTACGCAATTTGCAAAGAAACGGCAGAGAAACGTTTTAACGACACTCTCTGCATTACCTAGATTAGTTTCTCGGCAAAAGATGCACCTAATTTCCAGCAAAATCCAAAATTTTCCTGCTAAAACTCAGTTAAACTTAATGAGCAACCAACGTTAAATTTAGCCAAGAGAAATCGAGGTTAATGGGGCCTTCAACGTGTTTATGAGGTCTGGACATTAAGCCCCATGAAAGGGAGTTTAATCGACAAAAACATGTTGGTGTTTTCGGTCCAAAAAACAAACATGGAGGATCAGAAGGATCAGAGTTTGGATAGTGAAAATGGGGAGTGCCAAAAAGCCTTTTCAGCAGTCACGTTTCAAATTCCGTTAGGAAACGGATGAATTTTTGCGGGAAGTTGCAAGTGAGAAACGGCTTTCGTTCGTCCGAGTTCGTTAAAAGCAGAATCTTTTTGTCATTGTTAGACATCAAAATGCACGATTCTGGCACAATTTAGAACAGCACAAATCTTCTGACACTCTCATCTTATACTGGTAACCCTATTATAATACAGTGGCGGACCTGATCCAGTGGCAAAAAAAGTACCATTTTGCTTCCAGGAAGTATCAAAAAATGTAGCAAAATGCCTCCCTCTCCAAGTGAAAAAACTCCGATTTCAAAAGCGCGCCCGCTCTTTTTGTGAGAGAAGCCCTTCAAAACAAAGTTTTTTCACTTGGAAAGGGAGGCATTTTGCCACATTTTTGATACTTCCCGGATGCAAAATGGTACGTTTTTTGCCACTGGATCAGGCCCCTCGCTGTAATATAAAAATGTTTTGTTAAAGTACCCGCTATATCCCGGTATATCTGACTTAAAATATCATATTACACTATACGTGTTCGATACAGTCGGGACCCGATCTAGTGGCAAAAAACGTACCATTTTGAATGAAAAATGTGGCAAAATGCTTCCCTTTCCAAGTGAAAAAAACTTGGTTTTGAAGGGCGCGTTCTTTCCCTGAGCTTTTCCACTTGGAGAGGGAAGCATTTTGCCATATTTTTGACACTTCCCGAATGCAAAATGGTACGTTTTTTGCCACTGGATCAGGTCCCTCACTGTATCATAAAACCCCGAAAATAAAAGAAAACCCCACTTCTCCCATGTTCAAACACCCCAAAGAAAACCCCCAAGGCCTTCGTTGGTAGTCTGACCATTTCCGAATTTCATTCGTCCGCCCTATTAAATGTCTTACAGGAATAGATGCCAAAATATCCTGGGAAAATTTAGCGGCGTCTCGTTTGAAGTGTCATCGCTAAATTGAGATTTTTAAAAATGACTCCAGAATGCGTGCATGGATTTATTCACGCATTGTAAAAATGGAAAAAAGTTGAACCTTCAAGAAATGAGGTCATTTTAGATTATATGGTGGCGGACCTGATCCATTGGTGAAAAAAGTACCATTTTTCATTCGGGAAGTATCAAAAATGTGGCAAAATGCTTCCCTCTCCGAGTAAAAGACTCCGATTTCAAAAGCGCGCCCGCTCTTTTTGTGAGGGAAAGGGCGCGCAGTTCAAAACGGAGTTTTTTAGTTGGAGAGGGAGGCATTTTGCCACATTTTTGAAACTTCACAGATGCAAAATGATACGTTTTTTGCCATTGGATCAGGTGCCCCATTGCACAGTCAAGCTTTGCTATAACAAAAACTGCGTTTACTGGGCAATTTGAGATTTCTTGAGAGTAGATCTTGTGTCAAGATGATGAGAACGAAACCCTTCTATATAACCAATAAATTTGTTTGTCAATTTGCGGTTTGTTGTACAGGGTTTCAATGCTGGAAACTTAAAAAAAAATTTTTTTTTGAAGGATTGCTTTACTTTGATATTGTGAAAGTAATATTGATTAGAAGCCGTGGAATGAGGCACATAAGCTTACAATTAGGCTGTTATTTCCATAAAACTGCATTCCTGGAAGTTTTTGCTCGCGCTTTGCCGGGGTCGCCGTCATTCAACCTGAGGCCGAAAGAGTGCGAAAAGCGGTTATACAACGTCACTTTTGGCTATATGTATCTTTGACACTACCGAGCGAAAAAATCGATTTTTTTGTGGAAACGTTTCCCCTTGTGGCAGAAATAGATATGAAAATTCCCATGCCCAAATTTTCCAAAAAAGCTTTCCAACTTTCGATCTAAAAATATTTTTTTTACTATGTCTGCATTTGCAGGGCCGTATTACAATTAAAAATTGAATGCCAAATAAGCCTCTAGAGCCCACACAGACTCAAATTGTCTCCATTGTGGCCTCTCGTTTACGTCAGATTCCACGGATGTTACAAGGAAGGTCTGCAAGAAATCACAAAAAAAAAGACTTCCTGGACATTTTTTTTGGACTTTCTAGAGTCCATTTGCACTGCTTTCAAATTTCAAGACCATACTTTTGCTTGCGTGTTCATTAAAATTACACTGCAAAAGTGCAGGTCTTTGGGATCGTGATTTTGTAATGAGATTTTTAAGAAATGACGGAGAACCATAACAGGGTTGAAGCACGTTTGGCATTCCATTTTTTTATTTCAAATAATCCATCAAAAACCACAGTAACATACCATGTTTTTGATGACAAATCCTAATTTTCATATTTTCGTATAATATTTCAATATTCAAATTTCTCGGCAAAATAGCAGGCTCTCCGAGGGAACTTATTCCAAATTCAAGTTATAAAAAGCTCGTTAACACGAAACCCTTTGCAACCCGTAAAAATGCATTTCGGAGAATTCTTATGACCCCCAAAACATGGCCTTAGGGCATTAATGGTACGAGCAGGACGGCAAGCACGATTACAACATCGAATTTGGATGTAAAATACGAACCCGGATTTGGGACTAGACTTGTAGTAAAATGATCAATTTATTACAATTTGAGAGCGAAAAAAGTGCAATTTCAAGAAATAAACGGCATTATTATTTATTACAATTAAAAATATGATTTTTGGAAAAGTGAAAAATGTTTGAAATTTTCATCGAAAAAATATTGCTAACATACGCTAATCCAGAGTAAAATATAACTTTTGCCATATCTCTAATTTGCTGCTCAAAATTAAATTTATAGCATACCACTAGTCGTTCCAGAAAGTGCGTAGATTTTTTGGGCCTTTTTTCGCACCGCAAAGTGCAAGTTTCCCGTTCCCCCGCGATCCTTTTCGAAACATTTTGCACTGTGCAATTTCATTTCGTGCGCCCAAAATCCGCGCCGACCCCGTTGAGAAAAGCTTGTGTCGCAGCGACAAGAAAAATTCACAGTGCGCTGCGACACCGCACAGTGCAAAAACAGTGTTTTGAAAAGGGTAAACAACGCACAGTGCGCTCTTCTTTCGCACCCCGCCAAATTTTTATCGCGCGACACCTCGTCGCAACGCCGAATTCATGCGCCCGCACGGTGCGAAAACATGTCAAGAATTTTTGGGAAAAAAGTCTTCAGATCTCTTGATTTCACAAGGAAAGTACTTTTATGGGGGCTCCTACTTTTTGACGGGACATATCTCAAAAAATCAGAAAAAATGCGCTGATCAAGGATATATAAATCTTAGCTGCCCATTTTAGGTTTTTATAGGTGAAAATGCCCAAAAACTGGCTTATTTTCCCTACAAAAGGTACAGGCATTCGAAACGATAAAAAGCGCATTCGGTCTCTTCCTTCGGAAGAGAGTGGTGTGGCCGAGTGGCTAGGGCCGTAGTCTGGGAATCAAGAGGGGGAACGCCGCACGGGTTCGATTTCCCTTTTGGGCTGAATCAACTTTTTTTGAAGTTGAAGGTCGGAACAATAAATTTTTGGGCCAAGACTGATTTATTACGTCTTAGAAACTCAATAAACATCATTTTAAGCCAAAATAAAAATTGTAAACCTGTGAAAAATTAAGCGAAAAGGGGTTCATATAGGACTTTAAGTCAACTTCCGATTGAGTTTTCACCCCTAAAAACCTAAAATGGGCAGCTAAGATTTATATATCCTTGATCAGCACATTTTTTCTGATTTTTTGAGATATGTCCCGCCAAAAAGTAGGAGCCCCCATAAAAGTACTTTCCTTGTCAAAAGAGCGTCTTTCTTTCGGCCTGCTCTCCGCGTTTCGCGCACTCTCTCGTTCGCCAACGATGGTTGAATATCTCGGCTGCGGCTGCAAAGCGCGATCTAAAATTTTCAGAAATTCACATTGGATCTACACCCAATGTGTGTGCAAAATTTAAAGAAAATCTGAGCGTCCCACTTCAAACATCAAAGTACTGACGTCTTCGCGAAAAAATGGCAAAAATGCGTCGACCCTCCTTATTTATTGGGCCAATTATTACTATTTTCCATGAGGATAATAGAATTTATAGTCTAATCGTCGTGAGACTGTAGGCGGGCAAATATGGCGAAAACAAAGTTGGAAAATACGGCCAAAATACGCCAATTTCCTTTGAATTTGACTCTCTCGTCTATGAAAACACCTCTAAAGTGAATTAAGTCAATATAAATTTTTTCTGAAAACCCAAAAATTTATATTGTAGTAAAAAATTTTGCGTAAAAAAATCGGTAATACACAAAGATTAATTTAAAAATTAATTTGTGTCTGGCTCGGCGCCATCTTTAATGTTAAAATCATTAATAATCCGCAAAATTTATCCGTTTTTATTTTTACCCCGAAGGCAAAAAAGAAATTTTTTTACGATTTTCGCCAAGAAAAACCCGTAATTTCGAAATTCAAAAAATGTAATCAAGATTTCTAAAGTGTAAATACCCAAATTCTTGGGCATTTTATTTGTTTTTAATCCATTTAAAAAAGCAAATTATTTCTTTCCCCGAGGGGAAAAGGGAGGTCGAAAATATGTGCTTTATAAAGATAAAAAATAATTTATTGATACTGTCAAACAAATTTCAGAGATCTTTCAAAAAAATTTTTTTTTACTTATTTATTCATTACTTGTACAATAACAAGTACAAAACTCAAACAAAAAAAAAAAAAAATTTTAAATGGCCAATAATTTTGCGGAGTTAGGTGAACAATGAGCGAGACAGTTCGTGCTATAAAATACGAAAAACAAAAAAAAAGTAAAAAAGAAAACGAAGAAAAAACCCGTTTTTTGTGGAAAAAGACGTTATTTTTGGTGGGGGAAATGCGATAATAGTCAAAGATCATGGAAATACTACAGGGGGATTACACTTCAGACAATACATTGATGTGAAACTACACAGTGGAGAACCTGATCCAGTGGCAAAAAACGTACCATTTTGCATCCGGGAAGTATTAAAAATGTGGCCAAATCCTTCCCCCTCCAAGTGAAAAAAAAACTTCGTTTTGAAGGGCCCTCACAAAGGTCGCCCTTTTGAAATCGGAGTTTTTTCACTTGGAGAGGGAGGTATTTTGCCACATTTTGATGCTTCCCGGATGCAAAATGTTACGTATTTTGCCACTGGATCAGGTCCCCCACTGTAATTGACAAAAGTCATCGTATTCCATTGAATTTTAAATTTTCTGTTCCGTGATGCCTAGTATAACATAATTTCAAAATTTTTTTGGCGATTACGAGTTTTTACCTACTAGTAAAAACAGTAGAACACTTCTTCAAAAGAAAATCTCAATAATCCCAATTATAAACCGACCAATTAAAAAAATTCCAAAAAATCCGTCATGATGACATTTTTAACGCTACATACTTTCGCAAATTCTCTTGCAAGCATAGAATTAGAGAGTCTTCAACTAACCAAGAAAAAAATTTCAAGTCAAAATCTACTTTCAGTCAGTTCTTATGACCGAATTTCTATAAGGATGACGGATTTTTTGGAATTCTCAAAACTTTTATCTCCAAGAGATTTAGACCCCCAGAATACGAAATACGATAACTTTCGTTTTTATGCTTCATAGACACCACTAACGACCAAAAAAATTCAAAAAATTGAAAATTATACATCACAAGTCACCTAAAACAAGGTCCAAAATTGCTGACAAAAAGCTCCAAGATATGCAAAAACCAAAGCTCATATTTTTCCCAGCCTCTTTCTCATTCTACTTCCTGAACAAATTCCTACACTGTCCCATGAAAATGAAGAGAACGGGCAATAAAAACAGGGCGTGATACATGCCCAACACCGTCACCAAGATGATCGTTTTCCAGAACACTGCGACCACATACGCGTCCACGAAGAGCAATGGGATCATGCCGAGCACAGTGGAGAGTCCACTTTGGATTACGGGCCATCCAACTCCGTAAAAAGTGTGCAAGAGTCGATCTTTTGTGTCGATTTTTGGTAATTTTGACGACTTCATGGATTCCGCCGGTACTTTCTTCGGTAATTTGAGGTCGTCCGGGTTGATCATGATCGAGGTGGGACGGGGACGCTGGAAATACGAGTGTATAGCAATTATATTCAATTCGAATATTATAAAAAATAGATTTTTTCGATTTTTGGGACAAAAAATAAAATTTTTTGATTGAAATATTTGATTGAAAAATAATGCCCAAGGCTAGTCAGGTCCTAAATAATGCCATAAAACGGCGAGAAAACATCACTATCAACGTTTTTATTCCAAAAATTCAATTTTTTTCATGGATAATATAAAAATTGTCAAAAAATTGATAATCAAAAATATTTTTAGATGCTAAAACAACACCAACTTCTCTCAAAACAAAACCTAGCTCTTTCTGTGAAATACGTCCAACTTTCCTGCACAAAAATTTAAAAAAAAATCAAAAACTACTCACAATTTTCCGATTTTTCGGTTGATGTGTATAATAATGATAGCACACATGTGCGCTGTAATCCACACTGAACCCGATGCTCATCAGCATGCTGATCAACGACACCGCGTCCAAATTCACCGACCACAAGTACAAGTATCCGACCGTCCCGCAGCTGATGGACAGTATCGACAAAACCACCGAAAAGATGGCTTCAAAGTCCATGATGAAGAAGAAAACGAGCACCGACATGAGCACAATAGCCGAGACTAAAATTATAAATCATTTAGAGTTGCAAACAACACAAAATTTTGAGGGAAAAATCAAAAATTTATAAAATTTTATATTCTCCTTACCAGCTGTCTGGATGAAATTCATTGGAGCGCTGGCCGCACTTTCCGTGGGCACCTTTTCGAATGGATGATGGGAGAGGATGTGGAACTCCCTTCCATATCGATGGAGGATCTCGCGGCGCTTCTCTAGCAGCTCTTCCACATCATTAAAGTTGCTCATGTTGTAATAGGTAATGTGGAAGGAAAAGGAGTCGATCACTTCCTCGCCTTGCCGATTCTTGCTAAAATACGAGTCGATTAGACATTCTAAAACATCATGTTCATAATAGCACCATTAAAAATCAAGATTCCAAAAAAAGTTTTTTACAAAAAATGTCATGATGACGAATTTTTTGTAAATTTCCAAAACTCAAAAAATCGATTTTAATCTTTTAAAAAAAGTTGATTAACGACTCAGAGTCTTAAAACTCACGATGTATGGATGCTTTTGGGGTCCATGTTGAACATTCTATAATTTTTGAGCATTACAGTAGGCGCCCAGATATCCTCCTCTTCCATTGGCCAGAACTCAGCAGTCTGAAAATCAAATTGAATAAAATTTGATGTAAAATGCGTTCTGATAGCTAATGTTTAATATTAAAAAATTCAAAACTTCGTTATTCGATCCGTATTTTACCAAAAAAATACAAAAGAAATGACCTCGATTTGGCGTCTAAAATTTCAAAAGGGTAAAAAAAATCGTCTAATATGGCCTACCCATGCTATCAAAAATCTAAAATTCGTATTTCATCTTACTGTAATTTCAAGAAAACCCAAAAAATGACAAAAAATCGCTAATTTTAGTTCGTTTTTTGCGAAATATGAGTTTCTTTTTTTTTAAAAAAGTGATTGAAATTTCAAGACCAAGAGTCTTCAAACCAATACTAAGATTTTGAGACCCCATACGATACTGTAAATTATAGAAAATCAAAAAAAAAAAAATTAAACAATGGAAACTGCCCAATTTTACCTCAAACCCATAGTTTTTCCAAATTTCATCCAAAAAATCCTCTTCTATCTTCTAACACACAAGCCACGTCAATCCAAAATAGAAGAAAGAATTTCCCGCCCCTTTTTGGTGATTCGTTCAAAACGAAATGTCACTATCCGATAAAACGCATTTTCTTATCTTTCTTCTTCGTTTCCGAGAAAAACCAATTATTTTGGGCGAGAAAAAGTGCCAAAACCTTACCTGTTCATAATCCCTCGTCCACACAGTGCTTCCCTTCTTGCCCATTCCAAATTTTGGGATATTCTCCAATTCATCGATCATTTGATGGAACAAGTCTCTTTCCTCCTGTTTTTGGAACGGTGGCATCGGATCGACGACAAAGTTGACCACGAAACTTTCGCTCAGAACAAATTCTTGCATTTTCCTTGAGATCGGCGTCAACGGCGATTCCTTCAGATACAGATTTTCCATGTCAAAGTTGGTGTTGACTTTGGTGCAAAAGTAGATACTGACGAGTAAATGGGCCGAGAAGATGGTGAGGATCAGAAATTGGGCGGGCCAGGAGTGGAGGGCGTTCACGAAACATTGGAGATAGGTGCCTTTGGGCTCGGTGGGGACGGGGAGATCGATTTCGGAGGACTTGCGGAAACTGAAGGCCCTTTTTAGACGCTCGGCGTTGCGGATGAGGTGTTTGCGCCAGGATCCGTGGGACGAGATACTTCCGTTGGTCTGAAATACAAAAATTTATATTGTTCATCATGGGTAACGGAACTGGGACGATTGGGGAAACCGAAAAGTATCATTTTCCTTCCATGCAAGTGTCGAAATTACGATAATCGAGGGTGCTGATTTCGAAAATGACATTCATTTTTTTTTTGATTTTTACTTTTTTCCTTAAGCAGTACTGTAAAGTAGTAATTTTTTGATTTTTTTTCATAAATACTCGATTTAGGGGTTTTCAACAGCGCTGATTTCGAAATCATGTTAACTTTTCCTTTAGTACTATATAGTACTATCTGATACTATGTAGTACGAGGTGAAAATATGGCCTTTATGCGTTAGTGGTGTTGTTCTGGTGCCTAGTACTGCTATTTTGACCTCGTACTATATAGTACCATGTAGCACTAAACAGCACCAAGTCTTTAAAACGTGTTTTTGAAGAGTACTAAGCTTCAAAATAACAACATCAACGCGTAAAGACCATATTTTCACCTCGTACTACATAGTATCAGATAGTACTATTTAGTACTAGAGGAAAAATTAACATGATTTTCGAAATCAGCACCATCGAAAACCCCTAAATCGAGTATTTATGAAAAAAAAATTAAAAAAGTACTACTTTACAGTACGACTTAAGGAAAAAGTAACAATCAAAAAAATGAATGTCATTTTCGAAATCACCACCATCGATTATCCTAATTTAGCCATTTGCATCGAAGGAAAACAATACTTTTCAGTTTCCCCCCATCGTCCAACTCCGATGGGTAACATAAAACCCAATTTTGATAAGTAAAAAACGCCGCAGACAAAAAGCGAGTCAACTTACAGAGCTCTCGGTACTTGACTTCATATTTTCTTCGATTTCGATTTGTCTCTTCCCGCAGAAAACACAAATCGCCGCGAAAAATGTGAGCTGATACACAAAGTCGATGGCCAAGGCGATCGACGTGTAAATGCAGAAGAGCTGCACCACCGGCATGTTGGAAATGATGCCCACACCGAAGCAGAGGACGTCCGTGATCGACGTGACGGAGACGGAGGCGCCGGACTTGGCCAAACTTTCGCCCATTCGAGTTTCAAAGTCGGCATGGGGACTGAAAAAGTGAAAATTTCAAAATTTTTTTGATTTCAGTTATTTCAGTTGAAAAGTAACCTAAATTTAAAAGAAAATATTTTTAACACCATCCCTTACCTTGACTGTCTCCATCCAGCCAAGATTAGGAAAGCGTCGTCAATTCCAATGGTAATAATTAAAAACGGAACAACCGTCAAAATATTCGAAAATGGAAGTCCAGCAGCCCAGACAAGCCCAAACGTCGTCACCAATGCCATGCCAGGGGAGATCACACCAAAAATTGCCTAAAAATTAAAAATTTTTATCAAGTGTAATACAATTTTTACCCACCTCAACACATTGCGACTTATATAGCGGATCGTCCAGAAGAGTTATCACCATAAAAGCAGTTAGCACAGCTCCTGTCAGGCCCAAAAAAGGGATTGCGGTCACCGTAATTTGACGTTGTTCGTAGAGCTCGCGATTTCGACTCAAAACAGCGAAATTCAAAGTCGTAGATTCGTGAGAAGCGGTTTCGAACAGATGTAGAAGCTTTTCTTCGAGGTCGTCTCGGATTGCTCGGCCGTTTGGAATGTTGAGATCAACCTAAATTTGAGAATTCGAGGTTTGACGCAATTTTAGGTAACAAATTCCTAAAGTAATATAAAAAAGAAGAAAAAAAGAAGATCTTACCATATAATGGAGGATAAACAGCTTGAATGACTTGATCACATCCAGATCCTCTTGTTTTTCCGTGGTAAACTTCCCCAATGAGTAACCAAGGAAGACATTGTTGTTCAGCGCAATGGCATTTGGATAGGTCAATACGAAGTTCAGAGATCCAGAAGGATTGTTCATTGCGGCCTAACACAAATAGCATGAGCCTATACAACCTTGCAAACCGCCACATCCCAAAAGTCATGGAAAAATACCAAAAAAATCAAGGATAATGCCAAGTGTCTATCCAATTTTAAATTTCTACTCGTCATAGTTAATGTAAAAGCAATATCCATGAAAGATTTGTCGTTTTAGACTCTAGAGAGCATGGGAAATGTTATCCAAAACGTTTGCACATGATCAATTGGTTTTTCCAACTCAAAATTGAGTTTACATTACACAAACCAACAAAATCAAAATCGCCAAATCTGCTCACCTGAATGAACCCAATGACCAACGCATTGCTCTCATTGCAATAGATTCCACATACGTCCTTATAAGTCAACAAATTCCCTCGATCCGAGACTGTGACGTTCTCCACGATGAATTTATTGACCGCCGCCAACTCCTTCAAACTCTCGGAATTCATCAGATTCCCGCCGTCTTTTCGATCGACCAGAACTTGAATCTAAAGTCGAAATTGATTTTTGCAGAGAGTACAATACCTAAGCTTCATGACAAGACAAGAATTTACCCGATAATGATGAGTTGCGGCGACATATTCGAACTTTTCCATCCCCTTCTCTTCTATCCGACTGAGCGCGTTTAGAGGTGAATAAATGTCCCAGATATCATCTTGCGAACTGAAGTTGAACAGGCCAACACATGAGATCAGAGTTGTGATTATGGGGAATATCTAAAAAACGGAAAAATTGAGGGAAAAGTGGGAAAATAATATTATTTTAGGTCAAATATCAAAATTTTGGACAAAACTTGAGGTGAAAGTAAGTTGGGCACGCCGTAAACAACTGGAAAACATTTATTATGCCTTTACTCGTCATTTTACATCACTTTTACCTTCATTTCGACCAAAAGCTTGAATAAAAAACTCTCCGATAATTTTTGTGACACTTCACCGCAACAAAGTGCCACAGATGAACAGAAATGCCAAATTCTTACCAAGAATGGGATTGGATGCCTTGCAACAAGTCTGCCATACCAGAAAAACGCAGATTCTAGCCGTCTCATTTCCAAAGTGACCACAAAATTTAGTGTAATATCCAATAATGTCCAATTTCACGTTTAAATCTCAATTTTCTGAAATTGAAATTAATTCGCATTGAAATGTTGCGCTACGCGATCATTGATGACTCGAAAGTATTTCCCATTAATTGGTCGAAAAATTTTGATTGATTTCGGGGTCAAATACGAATAAAATGTGTCGAAGATTCCCGATCGCCTCCGGAAATACAAGGTAATTTCGGTTGAGACAATGGGGAATCATAAATGGAGGGAAAGTCGTCCCGAAGCGGGAGAATTGCGGAAAAACAAGGAGAGGGTCAAGATTTTTTGGGGTGGGAGGAAAAAAGTTACCCCTAGGGTACAAAGAGTAGACTAGAGATCACTATAATGAAAATTTGTTCGAACTAGGTGATTAGATTTTGCTGAAATTGGCTAACATTTAGATTAAGGTGCTATACGACAACATGCGAAATTTTAGGGGATGCTTTCCAGAAGCTATGATATTTATGTTGCAATTTGAAAAACGGGATTTTTTGATGAAAAAATCAAAAATTTATCCCTCTCTTGAGAAGAACGATGATCAAAAAATCTTTCAAGAATACTTTTTCCCTAACTGCATTTTTTCTTTTTTATAATCATCAAAATTGTAAAAATCTCAGAGATTAACCAATTTTCATAGCTTTAGGCTTGAAAAAAATGGTGTCTGTTAACCAGTGAAGAGCTCAATTTGGTTTTTAAAAATCCATCTTTTTTAATGTGGAACCCTAAAAGTCATTGGCAAAAAGAATTTTTGTCTGGCCAGCTCTCCTCATTTTCCGTGCTCTCTCGAAAAAAAGCTAGTTGAATATCTCAGCTGCGCCTGAAAATATTGATCTCAAATTTTCAAAAATTTATATGTGTGCTATACACTGTAAGCTGTGCTATATTTGATAAAAATCGGAAAAGTTGATTTAGCGTACTAAAAAATCCGAAATTCCAAGAAGAAATTGTGTCAAAAAATTAAAAAATTTTTTAAAGCTTCCGTTAGAAAGAGCTCCTCACAAAGAATGAAAAAGTTGTAAAGAAATTAAATAGTAATATGGCAGTCGTAATGTTATTGTTTGAGAAAGTGGTTTGATGGTATACGAAGTGATGCGGAAAGGTGAAGGGAATGGGGTCAAAAAATGAGTTAATGGGAGGACACAAAAAACTGGGTTACGCACTTTAAAATAACGGGAATTGTATAAAATGGCGGGGACGGGGTAATTGGGGTCACGTAAATATACGACGTCTGTATACAACGTATACAAGATGAAAAAAAGAAAATCAAAAAAAAAAAAAAAAAATGATGAACAAATTGTGGAGAAGTCACGTCAAATGTCACAAACTGCGTTTACAGCGGAGCATGTCTTTGTGTCGACTCTCCTGAAACTAATGATTTTGGAAGTCCCAGAAGTCATGTTGAAGCCAAAATAAACCTTTGCAAAACGAGTATTCTTGCACAAATAATCTTTGTAGGGCCTCGTGATTCTTTGTATAAACGTTGCAACTATGGGCAAGATCCCTGCAAGCAACAGTGTGACAATAATTGTCGAAAAAAACAACTTTCAACTATTGCAGTTCGATCAATTCCACAAGCAACTTATTCACAACTGATACTCTTGGATTTCTTTCAATTATTGCATACATACTTTCTATAGTACGCATATCAATCCCTGAAAGTTTTAGCGCAAAATTTTCAGGCGCAGCTGAGATATTCAACAAGCTTTTTTTGCGAGAGAGCACGGGAAATGAGGAGAGTCGGTCAGACAAAAGCGGCCTCTTTTCAAGTTCTAAAATAAATAAATTAAGTCTTTATAACGACATTATGCTCCCCACTAATAACGACATCTTTTTTTAATTTGAAATTGTATAAAAAATTTTGATATTTTTTAAATTTTGGCGATAATGAAAAATGAATTTTTTTCAACTAAAAATCTCAGCCAGTGCTAGATTAGAACGTTCAGACCTACCCAACAAAACAATGGGTCATCCACAGAAGAGTGTGGATGATTTTACCAGGATCGAATGTTTTCCTGACCTATCTGACACTCCTCAAACGACCCCATTTCAATCGCTTCTTGAAATTTTCGTCGACTTAATCTCGAAATTTCTTTAAAACAACAAAAAAAAAACAAAACAACAACGAACACAAATCATGATAAGAATCGGAAACAACATGACCCGGCGTAACCTTTAAAGAATTGCGCGAGAAAAACCACCGTGACATCGGAGGGTCCTGTTTTGGCTCAAACGGATTCCAATTTTTTGTTTCACGTCAATCCGTTCAGAACCCCCGAATTTTCGGATTTTCTTCTCGAAGGTTTGCCTGAGGGTCTGTTCCAAATGCGGTGTTAAAGCGCGCGAAAACAAAGGGGTTAGCGAGCAGCCACCTCGATGATGATTAACGGTCCGAAGAATCAACATTGATGGATCGGAGTTCAAGCGAATTTTCGGACATTGGAATTCGAAACTTTTTAAGTTGCAATAAATCAATCGACGATCGAGATGATTTGTTACTCAATAAGAGATGGCTTGTTGCTAAATAAAAGATGACTTGTTGCTAAATCAGTAATAGGAGGTTAAAAAATGATGAGAGGATAAAAGTTGAAGAGATCAAACTAATTCGTTGATTAGTAGTTAATTAGTAGTCTAAAAGTAGAGGAAATGGACTGTAAAGAACAAGATGATAAGATTCTGCTGTGAGCTGGAGATTCAAAGATCCAGAGAAAAGGCTTCTCAAAACTGTGATCAAAAAGATTTTGATGATTTATAAGGTCTGAAAAGTTATAAACGGTAAAAATTTTCCTTGGTTTAAGATTCTAAAAAGAAGATGAAAAACAACCCAGCCTTTTTTCAGAGTCTTCAACGCCTCAATCTTTTCTTAGAACTGCTTTATGTCAAGCTTCAAGAACCCTAACAAATTTTATGCACAAAAATCGCCAAGAGAATCAAATTTTACTCAACTTTACATAGTCTAAAAATCTTGTAAGTCTCTTCAGGCGCGAGTAAAAAAACAGTGCCTCAATAGACACTAGTCACAATTTGTTCCAAGTTTTATCAAAATCAAAGCGCTCCCCATTGACCCCTCCCCCTTTGAGTAACTTTCAACGCTCCTGAATCTCCACATGATGACTTTACTATGAGTTCCGGCTGCGCCTTACAATTACCCACCTCTATTTATTTATTTATGCCGTTAAAGCCTCGATTGACCCGATTCTAGTCACTTTCTCGTAATTTCGTCGTTGAACCGGAACGCGAACGGAAGTGAGGGAAAATCGAAAGTGGGAGGCAGTATTTATTTAACAAATTAAAATAGCAATCACCTAAACTGGAATCATAAATGGTGGGCATTTAAAGAACTATTACACTGTATGAAGAAGAAGAGGGTCTTTGGTTTTTGAGACTCCGAAATTTGGATTCTTTTTTGAAATTTTGGGTTCGAAAGGGCAACGCTTTGCAAGGGCAAAAAATTTTAAAAACGCGCGAAAAACGTTTTTCGTCTGACCGACTCTCATCGTTTTGCGCACTCTCTTAAAAATGGCTGATCTTGGCTGTGCGTGTACTGTGGGGGACCTGATCCAGTGGCAAAAAACATACCATTTTGCGTCCGGGAAGTATCAAAGATGTGGCAAAATGCTTCCCTCTCCGACGCTTTTTGTGAGGGCGCGCCCTTCAAAACAATTTTTTTTCACTTGGAAAGGGAAGCATTTTGCCACATTTTTGATACTTTCCGGATGCAAAATGGTACGTTTTTTGCCAGGGATCGAAATAAGGATACTGCAGGGTGTGTATGCAAATTATTAGGTTGGACGGAAAGTTCGTACGATATTTTACTGCTGCTATTTTTTCTTGAGCCGATGTAAAAAGACAAACACAATTATATGGTGTTGGTAGAGGACAGGCATCCTTATCTGACAGTACAACCCTCAGCCATCTTAAGCGTGTATCAACTGAGAACTTAATTTAGACATTTACCCATCTTTGGCCTACAAGTAGAGATTCTTGGCTGGTTTGTTTAACAAGGCCTAATAGGAAACTATTTTAGCACTGCTAAAAAGCTTCCTTTTAAAGCTCCAAATGTGCGTGAAGTAGTCGGGGATTAAATCCAAACATAGCCAGAAAACTTGATTTTATCGAGACCCACCAAGTTTGAATATAATTACAATAGCCGCTTTGCCGATGCATTCCTATGGGTCTAACTATGATATGCCAAAAATAAAGACACTGCATTACACTAAGCTACCCGCCCTTAGCCAATTGTTTTACTGCGTGATACGACAGAACTCAATGATTTGTTTTTCAAAAACTCGCTGGTGAACTATCGGAGCAATTCGTAAAATTCAAAAAACAGCTCAAAGCAGTTTTCGAGTCCTCCTTTTCTAGGGTGGAAAATAGAGCCTCTATATCGTTCTACTACTTTATGAAGCAATGGGTAACCATTGTTAATTGTCAGCAAATCACATGCATTTCTGTAGAGCTATATATTTTTGGCAATTTTGCCTCTTTAAGGCTAACCCGAAGCGTTTATTATCCGGGACACTCATGAAGCACGTAAAGGGCTACCCAGTTGCCTTACTGGACCAAATTACAGAGACAGACCATAAGCAATACGCGGAATAATAAGAAAAAGTTTTCATGAAGGGCCTTTGCTGAAGATTTGGTTGAAAGTGTTGCCATTATTTTATCCGACACACTTTTTTATGATTTCTAATTGTGTTTAATGTAGTCAGAAAGACCACTGGATACCGCGTACAAAGTTTCAGAGCTTTATCAAAAGCGATCTGGAAACTAGAGCTTACGTTCTGGACCCCACCCGAAATAGCCGCAAAGCGGAAAATCTCTTATAATTAAGCTCGTTTCGGCGGAGCTAACGATTGGCACGTAGAGCATAAATCAGCACACTGTACTCTTGTATATGCTAGGTATTTACGGTGGGCACTCGGTCTTGGCGCGAAAAAAATTAAATTGAAATTTGGGTAAAAAAT